AGCCTCTCACCAATTTTTGCTCCTTTTTTCTTCAAAAAATAATCGTTTACTTAGGCTAATATATAATACGTTTGTTCTACCTCTTCTTTCTCTTCTTCTCGCTACTTCACCTCTTCTCTCTCTTGCTCTCTCCAGCCTCTCTTTAATCGGGATTACTGGCTTTTTGCGATTGATTTATGATGGAGTTCGCCTGTAAAATTCCCGCGGGCTCTGCGACAAAATTGCGAAATAAATGACATCCGTACTGTTGTTGTCTTTTGCGGTCGACTGTAACGAATTACTGCTGCCTTTCTATTCAAATTTCTCTATAACGGTTTTCTTTTCCCACTTCGGCTTAAAATAAAGAGAAGGATTTTCCAGATAATCCTCCAAAAAACAAACAGATTGCGGTTAAAAGTTAAAAAAAGACGTTTATCCTTGACACTATTACTATTATAGAATATATATTTTTAACCTTGATTAATAATTAATATACATTTTATGCAGAGTGTCTTTTATCTTAATTAAAAATATTCACTTTCTCAGGCCTTTTAGGCCTTTCCTTGTATCGGTCAAAATGTTAAATATACAACATTTCTTGTAAGTTAGTTCTGAAGGCGTTCTAGAACAACTTTGGTATGTTTACTCTGTCTTACTCCCCTTTAAAATATAAACACATTCAATAATCAAATTTCACTTACGAACAAGTAAACCCATTGAAAAACATTGAAAAATAACACTAACTATATTATAATACGAGAACGGTAAACAAAAAAAAGTAACGCTTTTCTTTATTTATAGAGACAGTATGTAATATGTGTAAGAGTGTATCGATATATTGAATATATGTACAATGATATATATATACATTGTAGACATTTTCCTGTCCTGTCCAATGCTACTATTACATTTCACAAAGAAAAAATGAGGGATACCTGCGTTGCGTGAGAGCGTTTTGACTAAAAGATGCTTTATCAGATTTTTAAATATAATATTTTCAATAAGTAAATATAATGGGAAAAAAAGAAAGCGATTAAGGAGAAAAGTGAGCTTTAAGTAATGAAAAGAATAGAGTGAAAGAAAAACTTATTCCTTAGCCATTAGCAGCGGCTGTTCCATTTGGAATTCTCACTTTAAATATTTTTATTCGCCTAAATAAAAAACACATTTTAAACGGAAGTTTGTTTAATTTTTTTGTTTTAATTAAAATTGTTAGAAAAATACGTAATATATATAAGAAAATATTTAAAAATCGAGATCAATACCATCCCAACTGTGGACTGGTTTTTTACCATCATGAATGTGACGTTAATTCCCTAATGGCGAGCTGTTTTGAAGTTGAGTCCTATATGGTGTAGACTACAACTAAGAACCATTTTGAAACTGTATAATATTGCTTGTAACAACGAATATTTATTTTTTTATTGTTGGACCGTAGAGACGAAAAAATGAAAAAGAGCGTCTGTTTTTATCTTATCAAGGAATTTACCATTTTTCCAACGGAGAGACGTTGAGTTATTACGAGATTCCACTTAGATAAAGTATTTTCTTGGATAAGGCACTATCCTTAGAGAAAGAACGTGAAGAGCATTAACACAAAAATAGCTGTTTGCAAACAAATCGACAAAATAAATAACAATAATAATAATAATTACATATTTAACCCCTTTTCCACCTTTCAATGCATATTTTGATGGTGGAATCATTCGATTTTTTTCGTGGAAAATGGAATTTTACGTAACGAGCGTCGCGTGCCTGATTGAATAATTATTTCGATGCCGGCATATGGCCGATAATAGCTGAAAATCGATTGTTGAGTTTTAAAAAAGCAGTCCTTAGTAAAACACCTGCGTCTCTCCTGCTTAACTACATTAAAAGAGAGGAAGAAGATATATAAAACAGTTTTTTTTCACCTTTTTCTTTAGATTTTTTCCCTATTTAATTTTTTATCTACTAAAAATTCCTCCCTTCTTTCATTGCCTCATTCCCTCCAGTCTCCGTATCACGCAACCGTTGATTGGTGGTGCTTTGATACTAATTAGTGGGTCCAATCACGTTTAATTTAAGATTTTCGACCAGGTTTGTCATGTGATTATTTATACGAGTTTTTTTCGGATGCTTTCCTTTTTCTCTTTGTAAACTCTTGTTTATTTTATTCTACAAAAAACATTATTCGTTTAGTTAGGGGAAGAGCTGAAAAATAAGATAACTAACCTACTACTGGAATGTAGAGAAAAGATTGGATGGTTAGACAGTGAGAGTGGAAAAAAGAGGAAAAGGGGAGAAGAGTGGAAGGGAAGATAAAATAGCTTATAGGCTTAATTCACCGGTTACATACAAGTTTTCGATCCTAAGATGAGTGTAAGCGAAAATTTTTAAAAGGTTTCCATCACAGGCAAAAGCAAAATTTATAATTGGTACAAAAAAAAGAGACCTATTGAAATATATTTCTCATCATTCTACCTTTAAATTTACTATATTTCCTCTTTATTAAACAGTGAACAATCTAAAAGGAAACTAGATGAGAAAGACAATAAAAACACAGGGTTAAGTTAAAAAAAATCACAGTTGTATATAAAATAAAGTAAAATTTGACATGAATAAATCGAAAATATTCCATAAATCATACAAAGCTCATTTAAGAACAATTGTTACTGGTCGTGCTCTTTATATATGTACGGAAAATTCTCTACTTAACATAAATAGATGAACGTTTGTGATGAGTGCATACGGATCATTAACTTTATCGTAAATTTGAGTTCGATTATAAAGATTTATTGTTTTGACTGTTCCTTTCCTACTTTTTTTTTGCGGTCAGAGTGAAATGAAAACAAGAAGTCTGTGGGAAAAAACGGGGTAAATTCCTTTGGATAAGAAATATGATAAAGATTGATAAATAGTTAGAAAAAAACATTTTAAGAAGATTAACAGGAAAATTATAAATTGTTAAATATTCAGATGATTTAGGAGAGAGGGTAGCATTAAAACCTTTCTAATTTGGACTCAACTATTTACATTAAGATCTGCTAAAGATAAATAGCCTATCACATGCATGATTGCCTAAACATGCAACTTTCTACTTTGTCGTATTGTTCCAAGATTTTTATATATAAAAAATAAAAACAATAAAAAAATAGCCATTCATCTCAAAGTTTTCCTTTTACTTTATTCTCATTTTCCGTTTGTTTTCTATTATTTTGTATTATTTCTTTCATTTTCATTAAATTTTAATCAATCACTTAACTTGTTGAGTTGAAAAGGTTAATCGTTAAACTTTTCATCAGTTATTTTCCAATGCTATTTTTTATTTCTCTTCGACAAAGATTCCACTCCAAGTATATTTAATAATCAAGTAGCATACAGGATAAATAAGAAATATTCCTTATTTATTTTATATACTGTGTGGAATTTATTAACGATGAATTAATGATTATTTTTAGGGTGTTCTTTATATATTAGTCATAATAGTAAACTGACAAACATAACATATTATCATTCGACTTCCGATCTCATCTAATGATTACATAAATTATGTACATTCCTTTCTTTCTGATAGAATGGAAGGTCTATGAGAAAAATCATTTTTTCCTAACAACTTGTTTACAATTCTTAATCTTTACTTCAGCCTGAAATGTTACATGGAAAATAACAAAAAGTAGCATAAAATCGACATTAAACCGTCTAACGAAGACAAATTTTCTAAAGTATCTTTATCATGCAAAGTAACCATGAAGAGAGATGTTTTCGTGTATACGTATTTTCTTTTTTTCCCCTTCTTTCCTCTTATTTTCTCACTAAAGTTTTCCAGGAAATGCTATTATTTTATATTTAGAACAAGTTGACTTGCTCTAAATAATGTAAAATAGCATAATTCCTGTAAAATTAAAGTACATGCTGCTGGTCCAAAAGCATCCTTTCCTCTTAAAAGGAAAGCAATAGAAACATCATAAATGAAGTAAGGAAAGCGTGCACAATATTCTATACTACGTAAACATTTATAAATGTATAAAGCAGTTGGAACATCTGTCGTTATTAATCATTAGGAGGATTAAATGCAGTACGTTCTATCGATGCCACAAAGGCAATTACCTTTTAGTTATCCTCTACATTAATCTTCCGATAAAGTGATAAAAAAACAGAATAGAAAGATATTTTTAATATATATGTATTTGCTCTTTCTTTATTACTATTAGCTTTAAGACTTCAAATTAAAAGAAAACAAAGAGTATACTGAACTAATAGTAAAAAATATAATTAAATTAAAAAGTAGTAGAAAGTAAACTAAATGACAGAGTTTTTTACATTATGCAACAATCATTGTCGGACTTTCATACATTTATATTGCATATATGTATTTTGATTGTATTGTATTGTAAATTTGTGTAAATGTTACAGAAATTCTAATTATTTTGTAAAGTTATAATGCACAAGGGATAAAGAGATAGATAGTGAATGATACGTACAGTATATATATATATATTCACTAAGACAGAGAGAGGGAGGGGGAAGGGAGAAGCGGAGAAGTAAAGAAAGTGAGTAAATGAGTTAGAGGTAGAAGTTAAAGGATTAGTGTAAAGTTGAAATTATTTATTAAACAAGCAAAGAAAAGAACGTTAGGTCAGTAGTCCCAAATTTATCAAAATCTTATTAATACAGTTGAAAATTAGCCTGTGATAGAAAAAATGTCACTTTGATTGATTAATCGTTTAATTATCATATCTCATTTATCTTTGTAAAATACCATCATTCTAGTAATAAAACTGTTGCTATTATAATGGTTTTCTATTTGAAATATTGTTATCAAAGATTTTAAACTTAATCAATTACTATTATAATAAATACTAATGGCATCTATTAATATTAATGATGTTTCTATAAAGCTGTAGTACTAATACTTGTCTTTATGAACTCATTATCTTTGATATCTAGTGCAAATGTACTATACAAAGTGTTAGAGAAGCAATTTATTTTTCTATTTAAATTTCAGACTGCAGCCGGATGAGCGAAAAAGGCGTTTTCGCCATGTTTGGCATGTTTAATTCAACGGACGAAGCCTTCCTAGAATCAATCAGTCCGGCTCTTCATCTTCCAGTAATCATACCAAATCGACCTGGACGAATATCGTCTTGCGTAAATCATCAGAGTTATACATTCTATGTAAAACCTTCTTATGTGAGAGCTGTCTTAGATTTATGTAGACACTACGGCTGGAAAGATGCATTCTATTTATTCGATTCAGACGACGGTCTTCATAATGCTAATGAACTGTTATACGAAGCGAGGAAGTTGAATTATTCGCTCAGATTAGATATAGTCAGGTTAACTAACATCAGTCGGCCGTACGCTCAACTTAGGTCAATAGATACTCGCCACGAGGCTGGCTCTAGACATATTATTGTTGATATTCGGAAACCCGAAGATTTACAAACATTCTTGAATAAGATTCAAATTGTTGGAATGAACAGAGCAGAATACCATTACATTTTAGGTACAGGATCCATCTTATATTACAAGAGAATATCTAACCTGAGCATACATACATATTTTAAATTTTAAAAAGAAACACAACCATTAAACAAGACTAGTAAACTGTAGTAAATGTCAGGCCATATACCTCTCTTTTTGGTATTTCTCTGGGACCATAAACAGTTGGTTCTAATGAATATTTTATCTTTAAAAGCTTTCTCATATTAAACTTTCTTTTAAGTAAGTAACATTTAATATCCAAGTTATAAAAGAATTTCCTTCTTTTTCCATTGTACATCATTTAATAAGTAAAATTTATAGGCCAAGTTAAAATTAATAAAACATAAATGATATTTGAAAGATGCTAAGTAGAAAAAGACAGGAAAGATATAAAATAAAACACCTGGAAAGCGTTTAATTTCACTAAATTCTTACTTTCAATAGAATTAACAAAAAATTTGTTTTCTCTTTACCTTACTGAAAAAATTTAGGATTTTTTTTATGTTTTCATTCGAGACGGAATTGATAGAAAAGCGTGAAAAAATCAGAGGCTAAAGACCTAATATTACAAACAGTTGGCTAAAAACGTGCTTTTTTTCCTGTTCTTCTTACTTAAAATTTCTTAACTTTTCCAGACTTGACTAAGCTTCTTTTTTTTTTTTTTATTTATATAAGATTATACTAAGGTAATGACGGAAAGTGAAATAATATGATTATATAGTAAAATTTGCCCTTATCCTTCTCTAAAAGAGGGACAGAAAATGCTCCTGGATAGCTTTGAACTTATAAGGTGAATCCTGTCTAGGTGGTTTAACAATGGACGAATTAGATCTAGTAGACTTTAGTCATGGTGGAGTAAACATGACCGGTTTTAACCTTATAGATTGGAATTCTGCTAAAATTAAGAACCTAGCTAAGAGATGGAATTGGGTGCAAAATCATCGGAGTAAATTTCGGAATAGTATAACAGTTGACTCAATAATCTTTTTCGACTCTATAATAAGTCTATTAAAAGCTGTTGAAAATATGAAAAAAGTTAACAAATCAGCTTTTGAGAATATTTTTCGAAACGGAGATATTTATAATAATGGATCTAAAGGTTTAACGTGCAAAAAATGGAATGGACCTGTTGTACAATGGTTCAAAGGAGAAAATATATCAAAAGCTATAAGAGAAGTTAGCTTTGAAGGCTTCTCAGGTCAAGTGGAGTTCGACCAATATGGTAGAAGGAAAAATTTTACATTAGATATTTTAGAATTACGACTAGACCAGTCTCCACAAAAGGTCGGTAATTGGACAGAAAAAAATGGGCTCATTATATCTAAAGCGATAGATTACGAATCTGATGGAGGAGATTCTGCCAATTCAACAAAAATTATTACAACTATTTTGGTAAGTAACAGTTTTTATAGTAATATTTCATCGTCACTACCTTCTGTTTCCTATCCAACTACCCTCTTTTTCACTTAGCGATAACGACTACAGCTCTTAAATTTATGACGTCATAGGGCTTGAAAGTTTCTAAGCATTTTTTCCCCCATTCCTTCAACAAACCAATTACTTTTCTTACTAGTTTTACTCAGGAGAATTTAAATAAAAAAAAATCTATTTTACAAAATTCTCTAAAGAAATTCTACTGAATTTTTATCCTGGTTAAACACGTTTCGTCTACTTCTTTTCTCCTTTTTTGTCGTTTCTATTAAAACTTTTTATTTTTTTACTCTTGTGAATTTTCTTTAATTCAGAAGAGAAAAGGAGAATAATTTGTTTTGGCAAATGTCCAAATAACTTAAAAAATGACGAAAAAATATTATTCGCTCTTTCTTAAAAAATCAGTGATAAGTAGAATAGGGAAAATTTGCTTCCATACTCATTTTCTTTACTCTTCTTCTTCTTCTTCTTCTTCTTCTTCTTCTTCTTCTTCTTATCATTATAGATAAATTTTAAATAAATCTGGTTGCCTTCTGTTATAGGCTTCGTCGCTTTTTTTCTTTTGACATAAGTAGGTAAAGTGGTTATTAGGTAAATCTGTTTTAGACAATCATTAAGATGTACTTCATAAATTCGTCCTTCCAACTCACTTCTCCTTAATTATCACAAAATTCGCTTCAAGATCCTTTCTTTCTATTTGAATGAGATTTTTATGTAACTTCTCATAATCCTAATTTACTTTTCTAAAGAAAAGCTAATATTTTTTTTAGCTAAAAAAAAAGACTCTCCTAATCCCTTTCACTTGGATTTTATCCTTGTTCGACTTAATTACGGAAGATTTCTTGCTCTTTTCTATTTGTAAAAGTAAATTAAAGAAACAAAACTAGTATTTATACGGAAGAACCAAAGAAAACATATTTGTCTCTTTCCTCTTCTCTTTTTGCCAAACATACCTTTTCCTTATGTTTATAGTTAGATAAAAAGTTTACACCTAGTTTAACATAATGTAACACTACTCTTTATAAATTGATAGAGATAGATTGCTAGTCAAGTAAAAGAAAAAACCCTACTTGTTTTCACACTTTTGCCTTTCTCTCTAAAGTAATTTTAGGCAATAAGACAAAGTAAATCTAAAAGTTTTTATCTATGATATAATTGATATTTTTTCAGTCATCACCCTATTTAATGTTGAAAGATCAGCCTGAAAATGGAAAACCTTTAGTAGGAAATGATCGTTTTGATGGCTACTGTGCCGATCTTGCCCGCGAAATAGCTAAGTTGTGTAATTTCCGTTACGAAATTAGATTAGTGCGCGATGATAAGTATGGAGAAAAATTACCAGATGGAACATGGAATGGAATGGTAAGCTTAGTACGAAAAGTGAAGAAAATCTTTTAAAACAGAGTTAAAAGTGGATTGTAAGCTTTACGGGTCACCGGTTAAGTGGTTTACATTATTTTGTCAGTATTTTTATTTTACCATAATTAGGCGAGGTTGTTAACTGATTAATTCGTTATTAAGCTTAATCTTAATCCAAAGAGTTAGGAAGATTTTACCTCAAAGGTTACATAAGGAAGAAAAATATTTCCAAGTTGAATTTATGTTAATAAATTGAAATGGGGAATTATTAACTAATCTCACGGGGCTAATTCGTTTCATTTGTGTTAATTTAAAGCATGATTAGAATTTTCTACTTGATCATCTATTAAATTTAAACTTTACGCTTAAAAACATATTGCACTCTTTTCCATTGAATCCACTTTTGGCTCCAAAGAGCGAATGCATGCATAAATGTGAGAGAAAGGAAAAATATTTATAGATTTGCATGATTCTATTTGAATGATGAAACAATGTGAATAAGGAGAAAGAATGAATATTTTGCTTCGAGATTGAAAGTGAAATGAAATGTTCGCTATCTCCAAATTTCAGGTAGGGGAATTAACGAATAGATCAGCGGATTTAGCGATCGCTCCGCTAACAATATCTTCTGTGCGCGAACGAGTTATTGATTTCTCCAAGCCGTTCATGTCGCTTGGAATATCGATAATGATAAAGAAACCAGAGAAACAAAAACCAGGAGTTTTTAGCTTCATGGACCCACTTTCTTCACAAATATGGATGTTCGTCATTCTAGCGTACTCGGGAGTTTCAGTAGTTCTCTTTCTCGTCTCACGTTTTAGCCCATTTGAATGGCACGAAAAAACAGCTGAAATAAGCGAAAAGATGACAAATGATTTCAACTTGATGAATAGTATGTGGTTCTCGCTGGCGGCTTTCATGCAGCAGGGCTGCGATATTTCTCCGAGGTTTGTCCTATCGCATTTGGTATAAGCGTATGAGTAAAAAGAAATATAGAGAGCGTCCCTTTTTTCCTAACCCTGCTCTTTTTTCGTATTTTTTTCCGCATGTCTACGAATCTCTTAACTCTCCATTTATTCTAACCGGACAGGGAGAAAGGGGCTGATTTTCGGGCTTTTTTACCCTCCTTTACCTCTACTCTTTTTAACCTTGACACGCTATAAGCCTTTTAACAATCCCCTACGAGCTTTCTACCTCCAACTAGACAAAACTAATAAACTTTATACAACGCAAACAGCCTAGGCGATAATTTTCCCTTTTTATAAAAAAAACGTTATTAATCTTAATGATTTTATAAAAACGAAATTAAGATTAAAAAAGAGAAAAACATTTGGAACAAACGAATAATACATGAAATTCAATAAATAACTATGATATAGCTAATATATCTATTCAATATCAAAAGAAAAAACAAACAGTATTAAATTCTTATCTTCATTTCCCATCCTTTGGGGCATTTTTTATAAAGAAAAAGTAGAAATACAAATTGATTAATATGTATTTTAATAGATAATAAAGGAAAAAAATGATCAAATTCTCTTTCGCATTCTAATTGATACTTAATAAACTGTTTGTCTAAATTAAATTCGTAGGTTAAAGCTTTTCTTTTTTGGAAATGGTGAAGACTTTATAAATGGTAAAAGAAATTAATTTCCCTCCTCTCTTCTCTTAGACTTTAAACAAATAAGTCTCGAAGGATTTTCTCTTTGGATAAGGAATATACTTTATTAGCGGGGAAAGGACTAAGTAATTTAGAAAAAATAGAACATAAAAAGTACGAATTAAAACTAATAAAATTTTAAGGAAAGCCTATATTTTTTATAGCCAAAGTACATTCATAAATTTGTTTTGAATAGCGTTATTGATTAGTGAATTTCAATTCAACTTTTAAAAGATGAAGAGTCAATCGTTAAAGCACTATTCAGTATATTTAACGAAGTTAGAAATATTCATTGGTAAGTTTTTAGAGAGATCAAGAGGGATTATTACTTTTTTTTATGGAATAGGTTTACTATGGAGGGGAAGAAAGCCTTTAACATAACCATTTCTTCCAAAGATCCGAAAGAGAACTTAACATACTCTTGCTAGAAAACAGGTCGTTCCACGTTTTTTTACTTATATGCATATATCAAAAAGAGAAATGAACCAACCGATTAATATCGCCCAGTCCTGGTTGCGCGTTTGTCGATCGGCTGAAACTACCCTTTTGAAAGCAAAATCCCTTAGAGATGCTTATTAAATTCGTTTAACCCATATTAAGTGTATGCTCGTACAGATGCTTATCAGGCAGAATAGTTGGAGGGGTTTGGTGGTTCTTCACCTTAATCATCATTTCATCATATACTGCTAATTTGGCCGCCTTCTTAACCGTCGAGCGTATGCTGACTCCAATTGAATCAGCGGACGACCTCTCGAAGCAGACTCATATCCAGTACGGTACGTTGGACGCCGGTAGTACAAAGAATTTTTTTGCTGTAAGTAACCGTTTGGTTTTCGTTATGGGCTTGCTTTTTGAAAAAGAATTTTTAAGCAAAGCAACGCCTTCTACTTAAAAACGGCTAATGTTTTATTTTTGTATTATCTATTTCTAAACGGAAAAAAATCTCCCTTTTCCTTCTCGTCTTTCCCGATGAAAACCGATATAGGCGTTTGTCAGAGTTTGTCAGGCGACCCGAGGCGGTTGTCTGTTGTTTTAGACGTTTGTCCGCTTCAGGCCGATAGTCTCCTATCTCGTATTTTGTAACGAGCCATTTCCACGACGTATATGTTTCCCTTTCTTTTATTGTACATAAAGTACAAGCAATTTTAAAGACTATATTACCTCAGGTAGACGGTTAAATAGGGTGAATGGAAGAGAAGAGTCTTACTTGATTATTTAAATGAATAGATGATATAAGTATTCAATTAACGTCTAAAAAGTTAACTATAATTATAAGGAGATAAAATCGATATTTAACAATTACGATAGAAAAAGGATTAAGTAGGAGAAGCTCGAATAATCCTATTTTATTTATCCGTTCATGCGTTTGAAGTTTGCTCAGCCATTCGGCAACAAAGAGGCTCAATACGTTTATTCGTTACTTTTTAAATGTCACAGTCTGGTTAAATTTCCAAATATAGATATATCTATTTGTGAGAACTCTCTATATATACAGTATATACTTATATTTATAACTATTTCATGTTTTACAATTTATGAAAATATGAATACCACATTCCCATTGTTTCCTTGAAGATCAACCTCAATTCACTAATTTAATATTTCCAAAAATCCTCCTTATATCATTCCTTATAGTTCTTTTCTTTGCGTCTCTTCCTCCCTCTTCTCTTCATTATAACTAGGAAAAAGAATGATTGATAGTTGTAGGGTTGTTTGTTAGTTTGTAATGTTTGGCCAACGTCTTTCGCCGCAGCATGTTGCCTATAAAGTTTGCATCACTTTTATATTACACAGTATAGAAGAAATGAAAATATTACAACCCCCTCCCATACTTTATCGCATCCAGTTTAATAGGTTAAGTACGTTTACCTTCCGCTAAAAAGCTGTCAAACTTTACCGAATAGGTGCTTATAGACTCCATAATGTATTTAATAAATATGTACTGGTTAATGCAAATACTAAGTGATTCATCAGTCTTATAGAAGCAGTAAACAATAGATACATACGTTTTCACACAGACTATTTATATACAGTATATATACTGTAATATATATATATATATATATATATAGGAGGAAAAGTCAAAGGAAAAAAAGGTGTATTATTGATCAAATTGTTAAAATTGATTAAAGAACAGACATATTGACTTTGGCATGTGCCAGGGGCTTTAGGCGATTATCTCAATTATTTGCTACTAAATAAATTATAATTCTACCTATTTTCGATGATTTCTTTATTTTTTTTATTTTAATTAATAATTATATAAGAGAGCTTTTCTACTTGTTTAAAAGAATATATTACTTTTTCTTCTTCTTCTTTTTAGACTTCTTAAATATCAATTAATAACATTTCTTTTTTAACAAATCCTTTGATGTCCTCCAGAGTCTAGGAATGGTTTGATCATTAATCAACTTCAGTAGTTTGTCATTTCCCATCATATAAATAAGAAAATATTGCATTCTAAAACATATTTATTAAGTTTTATCTCAAATTATTGCTCAAACTAACATTCTTTAAATTTTCATCTATCAAAAAATTCGCTTAATTTATTGAACGCCAACTCCGTATGTATGCTTGGAAATTTACAAAATACAGTATACTGTATATATAGATATATTACGAATGAGTATATTGATAAGGAGATTTATAGCAATATATACAGAAAAATGAAATATATATGTAGTATATTTTTACAGTATATATAACAAACTGCATAACATAAATCATATTAAGTTGTATAATTTCAAAGGAACAAATTTTCCAACCTTTGGATCAAGTCCAACTTCGTAACGAAACTCGGTAACCTAAGGCCGATATATATTATTCATAGTGAATTTCTGGACTGGTGCTTGCTTTTGGCAACTTTAATTTTAATTGAGACGATTGACCTTTGGGTGATAGATTAAAGTTTTTTCCCTTTTCTCTTCTCTCTTAAAAGTCTAATTAGAATATTATATAATAAGAAATTGCAATGATACTGTTTTTCCTATGAGACTTATATAATCATCAATTACTCATTAAGTTTTGTAAGAAAAGAGAAAAATTTGTTATTTAATAAGATAATTAAAGCACCGTTTATCCTTCAAATCCAAATTCGATCGGGATTAGTCGAGGTAGAATCTCTAACGATGGATTACATACTTATCTTCTACTTCTATACTCGTGAACCATTTTCTTGTTTATCTCCACATTTCCTTTTCTTTTTTTCTTCACCAATTCTCATGTGAATGTATAATTTTTTATCTGGGTTAAATATGGGCTTTATAGGCCTAGATAAGTTGTTTCACAGAATAAAGTGGGAATATTGTGGGAATAGATGTGAAAAGAGAATAATAAAATATGAGAACAAGTTTTATTCATATCTGATCTATAAAACTGTACCATTACGTATATTTTATATAAGTGCAAACAAAATCTATACCATATAGAATAAACTATACATTTCCTTATATTTGACTATGCTCCCCTTTCTCTCTTCCACCCACCTAAATAGGTTCCGAGGCAAACATTTATACAAACATAAAGCAAAAGCGTTTACAAATACTGTATTTGTCACATTTATCATAATGCCTCAAGGTGAATATTCTCATTCATATTTGCTATTTACTTTCTTCTTTTCTCTGCATTATCTATATAGACCTCAAAAGTCTCGGTTTATGAACGGATGTGGAAGTTTATGGAGAAGGCCGAACCGAATGTTTTCGCAAAGACAACAGCAGAGGGCGTTGAAAGAGTTCGAGCTTCAAAAGAAAAATATGCTTTTCTACTCGAATCAACAATGAATGATTATTATAATCAAAAGAAACCATGCAATACAATGAAGATAGGAAGAAATTTAGATTCAAAAGGCTATGGGATAGCCACCCCTCTTGGTTCGCCTTTAAGGGAGAAAATTAATCTTGCAGTATTAAGACTCCGAGAACAGGATGTTCTTCAAAAACTATTTAAAAAATGGTGGTTTGACAAAGGTGAATGCGGAACGGACGGTGATAACACGAAGGGCTCCAGTCAGAGTGCCCTAACCTTATCCAACGTTGCCGGTATCTTTTATATACTAATCGGTGGCTTGGGTCTGGCTATGATTACATCTCTGATGGAATTTCTATACAAATCTCACCAGGAGATGACTAGACGGAAAAAGGTAAGTCCCCTATACCCAGAATCTAGTTATTCCCAGGCGCAAAATTGTTTAGAAACTATTGTAAAGGTTAGGAGGATGTTGCTTATTCTTGAAATTATCTCCATGATTTATCATTCACAAAGGAAATATATCAAATAGACAATTAAAGTTGAATCATATTTCCATCATCTCTCGTTTTCTAACTATCCATCCGCCGTCCTAAATGCTTCTTAAATACCAGTCAGTCAGATATAAATAGATTGACCTATATCTTACTTATATATGGAAAAATTCGCTACTAGTATTTTGCTTGATGTAGCAAGGAAATGCTGTTGGAAAATATGATTGTGTCAACACGGACCATTTACGTTACATTGGTAAATAGTAGGATATAAGGACGCAGCATATACTGGTAAACTACAGCAAAAACAAACTTTCTATATAGATTCCCATACTCTAATTGCGCGCCAAAAGTCTTATTATTTCTTTTGGCATAAAAGGTTTGTTTCTATCAAAGAGTTATGGTTTTTAGTTATTTTCATAAAAGGCTGATGACAAAGAGAAGGTCAAGAGATTTCCTCTATCTCATTCAATAGATTTTTTTGTGAGATGTCCAAAAATAACTTGAGCCCCTATATAAGATAAAAAAACCGTAATATAGAAAACTGTCCGAAAAAAGTGCATTACTAGAGATGCAATTATGACAAGAAAACAGTATTAAGATAGTCTTTCGTGAGCCACTTTTCTTAGGGATGGGAAAAGAGAAGAGGGACATTAAACTGTAATTATTATGGATAATTATAGGGAAAAAACGTTATGGATCCCGCAATTCTCAAAACTGTCATGTAATCGAATTGGTTTGGGTGGAAAAACTTCCAGACTACTGTAAATGTTTGCATTCCGCTTTTTAGCTCGATTTGAGCATGTAGTGAATTTACTACACGATTTAGAAGTCATAAAAGTAGCAAAAAATTCAATTCAAATTAAATTTTCTTAGGCCTTCAACGCCTTCAAACAATCCATCAACGACAAACAAACAAAATTAGGAAATCAATGACTTTTTTATTTTTTTCAATACAGGGCAACCTCTGCTCTTCCGTGACACGCCAACGAAATTCGCCCTTTTCACGAGCCGACCGCGAAAACGGCGGGGTAGGGTCGGGCATGCAAAAGTCTAGCACAGTGCCACTAGCAAGATCGAGCGCCGTCAGCCTGGTGTAGCGGTACGTGCGCGGCGTTTAGTGACGCTTCGGGACGTTTTGCGCCGCTTCCTTTTTACCAATCATTCTTTTTTTTAACAATTCATTTTTCTGGCGCTCTGGCGAGACTATCCTACCAAAATATTATTAAAAGTAATCCTATATTGAGTTTTTACCTCCTTATTTTGTATTCACTATTCCTTATGATAAATCGAATCTTCCGTTACCAAATTCCAAAATTCCAGTTTGTTTTCTTCGTTTTAAAACCTTTATAATTAAAATAAAAGAGAAAATACCAAATTTTTATATTATATTGTTTCTGAGCCGCGCAAAACGCTATGCGAAGAAAGTAGTGCTCTTGCTATTGGTCTGGTTTCTGCATGATAATTTCTCTACAATCTTTCTGGTTTGTCATTATAGTTGTGTCTGTTGTTTCTTATCTATTTTCTTATTTCTTCTTTTTCTTTTACTGTTTCACAAAGCTTCCCTAATCAAAGACTGTCGGCTTATATAAAAACGAAATTATTCATTTATAATCTAAATCAACTAGAAAAGTCCTTGAAGATGAGTATATATTGTATATGAACCCTAATAATACTTTCTTTACATCTACTGACAAGCCAGAGGCATTTTTTGAGCATCTTATAAATTATTTGGCAAGTCTCTTAAGAAGGAGAATAAATCTAAGAATAAAAAAGAAATTTCTATAAATGTCATTTAATTCTTAAATAAAGTATAAATAATTTATGAACGTCTTATCAAAAGATAAAGGATAGAAAGAAATGAAAGCGGTAGCAATTCATAAAACACTTTATGTATAGATTTCTTATTTGTTTTTAATTGGCATTTTATTCTTTGTCATAGATTTTATTATTAATTTCAATTTTCTTTTATCTATTATCAGTCATCTGCCTTTTATTTATCTTAATTAACTACAAGTTATTATTATTTTCGACTTTTTCCCATTGTCTTCGTAAATAATCTTTTAATTAAATAATGAAAAAGTAAGACAAATCTCCCTTTATCATTTTTAAATATACAATAAATACTCGGATATAAGGCAACGTATAAATGGTAAATGATATCATTAAAAACAAAGGATATCATTTTCTTTTTCCCATCTAAATTTCATTCATGTTTTTTATATTAAAATATTAATTAAATACTGAGAAGATAGAAGGAAAGAAATCCGAAAGTCTTTGATGAATAATCATTTTAAAAGAAAACTGACTATCAAAATTTTTTGTAACAGTATTCCTACACACCTCCAAATCAAGTAAGCGTTGGAACGGCAAAAAGGAAAAGAAATGACTTACATACACAGGTGTAACTTTTCAAGATGTAATTTGAACTATATATTATTATTATTCACGTCCCAAGTCTTATTATACTATGCATAATATTACAATTTTTGGTTTTTCCTCCAGGATATACTGTATATATATATACAATATATATATATGTATATATATTTCTAACTTTTCTTTACATAACATACAGTCTACCTGTAAATACTGTATAAATATACACATAAGTATATATATATTATATACTTATGTGCGTGTGTGAGTGTATGTGTGTGTATGCGTGTATGTGTTTGTGTTTGTGTGTGTGTGTGTGTGTGTGTGTGTGTGTGTGTGTGTGTGTGTGTGTGTCTGTGTGTGTGTGTGAGTGTGCGTGCGTTTATGTATTCTTTAACAAATTTCTACATGTATGTATGTATATGTATACACTGTAAACAATCAATTAACATTTAAAAAAATAACTAACACAAAGAAAACAAAACAAAAATACATTTAAATCTAAAATTTCTTACAAAAAATATTATTTAACAGTCTTAAATACTTTAGTTGTATGTAACATAAACACATACTCTCCATTTCTCTCAATCCCCACCTATCTTCTATCTTTACCAAATAATTTAGAAATCTTTATGTTTGTCTCTCTCTCTCTCTCTCTCTCTCTCTCTATCTCTCTCTCTCCCCTCCCCCCGATCTCGTACTTTCTACCTTTCACTCATGTTCCCTCTCTCTCTCTCTCTCTCGCTCACTCTCTCCTTCTTCCCATTCTTGTCAATCTAGTCATCTACCAATCTATGTTTTATACTCTACCTATATAAATATTTTTACTGTATTGTATACTGTTTACAATATTTCATTAATATGATTTAAAAGATAAACAGTGTATTAATATACATATATATATTTCACTTTCTTATTTTATACTCAGCATCATTGGTGCACATTTTCTTATAAGAAAACTCTATACATTATAAATATATATATATACATGTATAAATGTACGGTTAAACAATTTCTATACGTTTACTTGCTTTTATAGACCTACCGTTGTTTTTACATGTTCCTGTCTAAATTATTCAATATAAGTTAGGCTATATCATGTTTTGTTTATTCTAGTATACAAAATTTTGATAATTATTAATAAAAAATAAGAGAGAAAAACTATTAAAGTCTTTGTTTTTCTATATTCAGAATGAAGATTTTAAATATTCTGTGGGGGAAGAAGGTGAAGGGGGAGCAAGGGGGTTTATCTCGAGTAGGCCGTTTCTCTTTTTATTCAAAATAAACGTTTTTATTCCATAACTTTCATCTCCTGGGTTGTGTAGTTTATTATTTTACACAAATTGGATTCAGATAGGCCTAATAAAGTAGTGTAATTTTTCAAATAGATTCTTCAGAATGCAATTTAGTGAATTAATTGCATTTTGAAGTAATATGACACGATTAACGAAAACAATTACCGCAAGGGTAAGATACATATGCCCTCATTAGCTTAAGAATGTAGCTTTAAAAATCTTAAACAAAGCAAAATATACGTAAAAGTTTAAAGAAAATAAAGAGGAAATCATTTACAATCACTAGGATATAATGGGATAAAATAAAGAAGAAAAAATTGGAAAAAAGGATTTTAGTAGGAGGATTCTTGAAGGCAGTTTCCATTACTAATGCGACAAACATATGCATAGTCATACAAGGCAAACTGTCACTCGTTATGAGTTATAGATAGCCAAATTTTATATTTTACCACGAGCCAACAAGGATATTTACATAAAAAGAAGTATTTTTAATGATTTTGGACTTGTACGTAACTTGATTTAGTTGAATTCATCAAGGAATAAGTATATAAAGATGAATATCAAATGACGAGCGAACAGTTTACATTTAAAGCTATACTTTCGTACTATACTAATAAAGTGCCCTAGGCAGCTTCAATAAAAATATTATGCATATTTCTATATAATTTTATTTTAAACTTTACCGCAAAAAGTATATATTCTATATAGTAAACATAAAAATATATATACGATTATTACAGTACAAAGTGTAAATCATACAGAATTTTGCTCTGTAAACTTAGAATATACTAATAATATATAGTATACTGTATTTAGTATATACAGTATATATATATATATATATATATGTGATAAAGCTGAAAAAATTTGCAAATTACTGCTAAAAAGAAACCTATAACTCAGCGAAATTGCTCGAATCGACAACAACTTTAGATCGTAGTTAATGCGTCTCCTCTCCATTATTAATGTATTCCAGCTATATACAGTTTATGTTTATTATTTTAGTAATACATTTAAATAAATAAATTTTATTCTTCATAATATTTCAAAATAAACTTAAAAAAATACAATTAAATGATGAGACTATAAAAATAATAGACGGGGAAGATATTTTGAGAGAGTATATGTGTGTGTGTATATATGTGAGACACAGCAACAGAGAGAGAGAGAGAGAGAGAGAGAGAGAGAGAGAGAGAGAGCAGTATGGAAATGAGAGGAAGGGAGTTGGATAGAGAGAATGAGAGGGGAAAATGATAAGAAAATGACCAATTTTTTATTGGTCTTTTACGTTTTGACTATGAGTAAATGGGGACCAATAGAATATGGAGATGTAAGAAATAAAAATTATAGAAATTTATAGAGGAAGCGGGAGAGGAGAGAGAGTAACATGGTACGAGTAGGTGGGAAATCATAGTTGAAGGCAGGGAAACAGAGAGAGAAATACGGAAAGTAAACTAGGGATACTTGGTGATAGTAAGAACGAGGAAAAAAACATTTCTAATATAAATACATATATAAGCTGTATGGAAAATTCGACTGGCTTTCACGAGAGTAAAGCCTCGGCGTATAATTGAAGTGCTCTAGTTAGCCGAGTGCACTGCCAAACGGTATTTATCTCAATTTCTGAACGCTTTACTTACGGACGAATCTCGAGAGACGGCCTCGGTCGTTCGCCGAAGCTTTTATCTTATAAATATTATCTTTCCTCGCCGCACAAAATGTCAGACGCCTCTTCTCTTTAATTATTGAAGAAGCGACCGCGTTACGGACCGTCCAGTAGTCTTTTTCGGACAAAACGAATAAATAAAAAGTTTATATTTAGAAAGAAACTGTCTTTATTAAAGCTTGAAATAAATCACACTCTAACTCCCTAAAATAATCTGTAAGAAGCGAACGACTCGGACGTTCCCCTTCCAAATATCTACTTTTTTTATTGACATACAACGGCCAGAAGGCGTCCAACATCTGATATGCGACTTTATAAAGCATAATGAGTACAAAATTTGCATTTCTCTTGTTTATCTCGCTCTCTTGTCAAAATTCATTTCTTCTCATACTCAGATTTAACGCCATCTGTAGTTTGAAGATAAACGAGTTATCGGGTCGAGGTGAAAGAAAGAATGAAAAAATTCCCTAAATGCTTAAATAATTATCTCTTGTAGTTATTTACGTAAATTCCTAGTAGGTCCGATAAAGAGAAATAAAAGCAATAAAAAGAAAAACAGGCGTTAAGAAAATATCAAGAGAGATCTTTGAAAATCTTCTTGTAAATGGAATAGAAGAAAGTAGAAAAAAAGAAGAGAAGGGGAAGAGAGTGTCTAAAAGGCGATTTCATTCTATAAATAGCAGTTATCTCAGATGTTTCTTAAATTAATGACTATTGAAAAGCTACCAGCCGTAAAATAAAGCATTTAACACTGTATCTTCTGAACGACAAACAAATTTACAAAAAAAAAAATAAAAAAAAAAACTACTGCTACGTTCTTCGAAGCGTATCACGACCCTCTTTCACTCATCGTTGCCTTATCTCAAGTCTTTTGCAGTCTTATAACAGTCGGGTCACGACCGTCGTATGTAAATTAGTCCGCAACCTGCCCGCGTCCCGGCCTTCGGGACCTGCAGCGCGCCAATCTTATTATGCGCCCAAACCAGGGCGCATGCGCATCTCTATCGTTTCCGTTGCTGCAGTTTTCGATATGGCTACGGCAGCGGTGACTGCAACCGGCCTTTTCCAGATTATAATATGCTTCTTTTTAATATCAAAAGCTTCAAACTATCGTTATCCTAAAAATGATGTTCAGTTAGGTAAGTAATTTTTAAAATATGTCCCAAATGTTAATGTTTTCTCAACATTTTCTTATATTTCAACAGGAGTTATTGTTGATGCTAACAAGGAATCTGCAAATATTCTCAAAGCTATGCGTTTTGTTATGAACGCAAAAAAAGATCTGTCAATTGGTCATTCAGATATAAAATTCAATGCAAACACTCAAACCCCCATGATAAACAACAGCTTCGATTTGATGGCCGCTAGTAAGTAGATGTTCTTACTTTTCCCTTTTTTCGAACGAAAAAATGGTTGAGTGGCACCATCTACCGTCTACTGTTTTATAGCATATCTAATTTAAGGAAACCGTAAAACTATAAAATCGTTGTCTTTTCCTCGTCCTACCTTTTATTCAATCTCCGTCCATCTCTCTTTCTTTTCCCCTTCCTTCCACTCAACTTCCTGTTTTATTTACTTTTCTTAAATTGATTATTTCTCTTAAAAAGAAACACTGAACATTAATTAAACACATATTTTATATTTAATGTGGATATTCCTGTTTTTTATTCACAGTGTGCAAGCATATGTCTGAAAAAGTTTATACAATTTTTGGAATGAGTACACCATGTTCAATGGACACGCTACGCTCATTTTCTCGCCAATTTCAAATGCCATATGTTTCTATTGGTACTCCTTTAAAGTCAAATCATCCAAATTCAAATATGGAACCCCCTTTCGAATTATTCATCCGACCCCGATACTCAGAAGCAATTGTTGAACTAATAAGACATTATGGTTGGAAAAACGTCTATTACATTCACGATACGAGAGTAGACGGAATTTTGCGGGCTGAACAGTTGATTGAGAGTCTTTCCGAGGAAATGGTAACGGTTCATTTCGATATGATCTACGCTAGAGACGGAAGTGACGCTCACGATCAGATATCGACAATAGATACAACTAAATCGGAAGACCAAAGAGTCATTATGCTTGATATGAGTAAAGATAACGCCAACGAACTATTCAATAATTTATATACAGATGCGAAAAGATTAAAGTTTCACTTTCTAGTTGTTGAATTAGGAATAGTTGAGTTGAACTTTACGGAAAAAGCTGCTGGAGGTCTGAAAGTAACTGGTTTCCAAATGCTCGGTGCTCCATCTGTAGTTTCTCTTTACGGAGATGGAAAATTCACATCCTCTAATGATATTAATACAACAATTAACAAGTAAATATTTAAGATTTATAAACAAACAAACAAACCAGCGGAAGAGTTTGTCACAAGTATTTTTATTTTCTTTTCAGATACCTAAGATTTATCGACGAAGAAGTTGCTGACTTTAAAAACTATCATCAGTACTTTACACACGACGTCGCTTTAACAATAGACGCCTTAATGGTAATGAAAAAAGCTTGGAAGGCTCTATTAAGTAGAAAAGCTGATATTGACGATTATAAAGATAGTCAAAATATTCAATGCGATAAGAGCAATAGAAAATGGAAAAAGGGTCCGGAAGTAATGAATGCATTAAAAAGGGTTAGAATAAAAAATGGCCTTACAGGAAATATTGCTTTTGACGACAATGGTTATAGGAAAGATTTCGTTCTTTTACTATTCGAAGTTGCCTTTAGTAAGGGCCTTACTCAATTTGGTTACTGGACACCTAAAGTAAAGACAAAAAATGGCAAGACAAGAGGTGGTTTAGGCATAAGGCAACCGGATGAAAAAGAGAGAAATTTATATCAATCGGCAATTAAGGATACAAGAATTCGTTCAAATAAGAAGATAAGAAAAGTTACATCAATATTGGTAAGTGTTTCAATTATATTTATTCTTTGAAATTTTTCTTATTAATTAATTAAATATAGGATTTCTAAATTATTACTTTTCTAATTATAACTATCTACACTTTATACTTTTTTCTATTTAAATACATTTTATACGAAATTGTATCTACACAACAAAATTTCCTTTTAATAAAAAATCAGTACCAATAAACTATTAAACACAGTAAGGGCTGTATGTAATGTATATATACTGTTTGTATATATATATATATATATATATATATATATATTACAATGTATTATGTAGACTGTAAGATTCTTGACTATTTCAAATGAAATTTTTCAAATATTTTATAGTCATGTAATAAACTTGGTGTTTTAATTCAAGTCTTATTCTATGAATACTATACTTTATACTGTGTTTATGGTTTATAAATATATATATACTTACATATATATATATATGTATATGTATTTACATATAATATTATTTTGCATCTTTTATAATACTATTCATTACTATATATTGTTTTAATTTTTTACCTTTTTTTACTCTTTCTTTACACATTTTTTTAAAAGTAATTCTCTGTTTTCTTATACATTTGTTTAGAATTTTTTACTATCAATTTTCTATTACACAGCACTTTGCCTATTTCATTTTACATTCATTCCATTCAAAACAAAAAATAGCTTTTTAAGTAAATTATACAATAAAAAAAATGATAATAAGATTACCAGTTTAACTCTTATCTCTCTCTCTTTTTTTGTTTATTCTATCAAGTTTACTTATTTTAGCAAATTTCTTTTTGTTTTATTTTGTTATATTTATTTGATTATCCAAAATATAATTAAAATTTTCCTCTGTTTATTTTCTGGTTTTTTTATTTTTTTTAAAAAAACAAAAAGAAACCAAAATAAAATATTTAGGATTGAAAGAAATCAACATTTTCTTTTAGTTTATTCTTTGTTTATAATAGTTCTTTAATGATAAAAGAAAGAGAAAACAAAGATAAATATATTACATTATTTAAAAAGATATTGGTACTGATGTATATTGCACTCAGTTAATCTTTTAGTACTTGATGAAATATGTTTATTTTCACAAGATTAGGTAATATTTATTATTTAAATAAAATAAAAATATATACATATATATATAGTATATATATATATATAAAGTATATACATATATATACATATATATATATATATATATTTATACAATTTATATCATACATTCTCTTCTAATCACACTTTTTTCGCATGTTTGCGCTTTTGAGCATCTTGTGCATGTATTTCAAATTTTCTTGTACATTTATCAATTTCTCAAGAGCAACTCTTAAAAGCCTATAAATATTTTATGAATACTTAAGCTAATAATCAAATCTTTTGCTATATAAAAAAGAAACATTTAAATAATTAAACAGAATTATCTTCTTCTTTTCTTTTCATTATTATAAAAACTGCAAATTTTTTTTCAAATACTTCTTTTATTGAAAGTTAAAACTAAACAAGTTGCTCTAAAAAAATCCTTCTCTTCTTCTACGCACCATCAATTTCTTCTTCGCAGTTTCTTCTTTTCTCAAACTCTCTCTCTCTCCCTCTCTCTTTGTCTTTCTCTATCACTTTTTCTCTAGCTCTCTTCTTTACATCTTTTCTCTTTTCTTTAAAAATATTTTTCTATTTAAAAATGAAATTTTAAACAGAAAAATTTTCTGTATCAAAAGCACAACTTGCGAGTGAAAGTGTGATTGGTGGCCAGAGTGCTTCAAGCCAAAAATATAAAGCAAACATCCACGCAAAATTACTATAACAAACTAAAGAAAAGTAATGTTTTTTGATTTATTCAGAAATATTTCACTAACAGTAATAATAGTATTAAAAAAAGACATTTTATGTAACATTTTTCTATAAGATAATTAATTCAAAATTCGGTCACTTATTACTCAGACCGCTCCATACCTGATGGAAAATAAAAGTACAAACGCAACAGGAAATGATCGTTTTGAAGGTTATTGCAAAGATTTAGCAGATAAAGTGTCTGAAATTCTTAAATTTGAGTATGAAATTGTACCTGTTCCGGATGGTCAATACGGTAAACTACTAGACAATGGAACTTGGACAGGAATGATGGGGGAACTCGTTAGTAACGTACGTAGCACATATTGTTAATTCAAAATAACCAAAAAAATAGAATATTAACAAAACTACACGATATGAAATATTTAAATAGCTTAAGTGAAATAAGAATCTAATTTTATTCTTGAATTATGTATAAATCATTAGAGATCATTCATTTCCTTCAACTTCTAGTTACTTGACCAAATTACTAACCAAATCTTCTCTTTCTAAACATTCCATGAATTTGTTAATTTAAAGGATTTAAAACAAAAAACAAAACTATTAAAGAAACCCTTTTATAACGAGCACCATTGCCACGAATCTCTCGCTGGAAGCGCGCAAGTTGTGTTCAAGAATACAAAAAAAAAACAAAACGCTTAAACGACTAAATCCTATCATTTTATTTTCAATAAAAATAAAATGCAGACTGCTCCGTATCTTTTCCGACGAAATACTACTAGTGATGGTCAATCGTTAACGGGAAATAATATGTACGATGGATATTGCGCCGAGTTAGCAAGAATGATTGCAAATATTGTTGGATTTGAATACGAAATTGTTCCAGTTCCAGATGGAAATTACGGTAGTCGAAACGAAGACGGTACTTGGAACGGAATGGTTGGAGAGTTAGTCAGAAATGTAGGCCTATAATTAAATAAAAGTATATTTTATGAGATAAGGAAGCAATCGACCACAAAGGAAAGAAAAAAAAATATCATTATATATAACTCAGTTTTGTATTTCTTTTTAAATCCACTAGAGAGAAAAAAAAACAGCAAATAAACAATCAAGTAAATAAGCATGCACGCAAACAAACAAACAAACAAACTAACTAACCAACAAAAAAGACAAATAAACTCCTTAACTTATTTTCAATAACATGTTTAAACTAGGAACGAACGAGAAAGAAAGCCAACTAAAATAAGAATTTTAATACGAAAATGAATGCTCTATTAAATAAGTTGTTCATTTCTTCTTTTTTTTTTAAATTTCGTACAGAGAGCAGATTTGGCTATTGCACCTTTAACAATAACTGCAGTTAGAGAAGAGGTCGTTGATTTTTCCAAGCCATTTCAGTCTCTTGGAATATCAATCATGATTAAGAAACCTTCAAACGAGAAACCTGGAGTGTTTTCTTTTATGTACCCTCTATCTTCGGAGATATGGATGTGTGTTATATTCGCTTATATTGGAGTATCTGTCGTTCTGTTCCTAGTCTCAAGATTTAGCCCTTTCGAATGGAAAGTGGAAGATTCTAATGAAGGACCAACAGTCACAAACAACTTTACAATATTTAATTCTCTATGGTTCTCTCTAGGGGCCTTTATGCAGCAAGGATGCGACATTGAACCTAGATCAATATCTGGTAGAATTGTTGGATCTGTTTGGTGGTTTTTCACCCTCATTATAATCTCTAGCTATACGGCTAATTTAGCTGCATTTCTCACGGTTCAGAGAATGAAAGCACCAATAGAGAGCGCAGATGATTTGGCTAAGCAAACTGAGATAAAATATGGTACAATCGATTCTGGAACCACTAAGGAATTTTTTAGGACGAGCACCATACCCACTTATGAGAGAATGTGGTCATTTATGTCCTCCCAAAAGCCTTCTGTTTTTGTTAAAGGCAATGAGGAAGGTATCAGAAGAGTAAGAAACGAGAATGGCAGATACGCTTTCCTTATTGAATCGACTATTAACGATTATATCAACCAGAGGGAGCCTTGCGATACAATGAAGGTAATCAAAAAGTCATGTGACTATTCACTATTGATTATTAAATTATTAAATTTGTTATAGGTTGGGGAAAGTTTAGATTCTAAGGGGTACGGAATAGCAACTCCTCTGGGATCCGACATGAGAGATCAAATAACGCTGGCTGTTTTACAATTAAGGGAAAATAATGAGCTTCCTGCTTTACAAAAGAGGTGGTGGTATGAAAAGGGCGACAATTGCGATAAGGAATCGTCTAAGACCAAGCAGGACACAACAAACGCTCTTAAATTACTCAACGTAGCCGGCATATTCTATATATTGATAGGAGGACTAATCTTAGCTATTACTATGGCTGTTTTGGAATTCTTCTACAGAGCGAAGGTTGAATCGAAAAAACGAAAGGTTAATCATCACCTCTATTTAATTAATTGTTTTCATTAAAACAATTGTTTTAAACTTTCCTAAAAGATTTCGTTCAGTGATGCTATCCGACTGAAAGTTCGTATGTCAATGAAGGGTGGAAGTGAAATAGAAGCTCATACAGTTCAGGAAGTTCCGTCTTCTTCAACGGTATCGTATCATATAAATTTCCTTTAATTATTCAGTTTTCAAATATTAATCATAACGTTTAATTCTATTTACAGAAGTACAGAACATATTCGTTTGAATGAAAAGTAAAAATCCCTGCATTTGTACATATAGAAGTAGCATTCAAGACAGTAATTCATCAACTAAACATAACTAAAACATAACGTCAATATCTCTCTCTCTCTCTCTCTCTCTGTCTGTCTGTCTCTTATTTCATTTCTTTGTTTAAAAGAGAAAAAACAAGCACTTTACTCTTTTATACTCCGTCTTGTAGAGACTGTATACAAAAAAAAATCCATAAAAACTTGTAATATTCAATTAATATTGATTGATTATTAACGAATTAATATTCAAAAAAATAGTGAATAGTCTATTATTAACTATATTAACTTACAGTGAACACTTATATTAATGTAATCATTACAAGATAATGCACTTTATGTTTATGTTATCTTTTGCTATATTATTTTTCTTTTTCTGCTGAAATCTTTAAGAGAGCAAAGCATTCTTAAATCGTATTGAAGCTGTTTAAATTCAATCTTTACCCCAGTTTTTTTAATATCTTTTTACTCGTATAAAAAGTGCATCGTACAGTATACACAGTATATATATAAATACAAATGTATTAATAATAAAGCAGAGAAAATATTGTCTTTCTTAGAAATCATCTTTTAATATACAGTTTATTCATATTCTATTCTCAGTTTTGTTGTTTCTCTCTCTCTCTCTCTCTTTCCTTCTATAACTCACAAAAAACGGCTAATATTCATGAATTAATTTAATAAAATTTCATACGAAACAAATGTCCCTATCAATAAGATTAACAAGAAACGTTGCTAGATAATTCTAAACTACCACTCTAAATAAAAGATCTTATGTATAAAAATAAAGAGTTTTCCTATAATAAAGATTATAGCAGGCTGATAGTTTTCTTTTCATCAATTCTATTATGATGGGGAGGAGTGGAATAGATAGAAAAAGTACAAACGGGAAAATGAGTAGGAAAAGAATAAAGAGGAGGGAGGGAGGGGGAAGAAAGAGTAGTAAGATAAGAGCGATTGTTTCTGTCAATTGTTAAAGGCCTAATATAACTTTTTTTGCTTAATTTTACTTTGAATACTGAATGCAAATATATTCTCTGGAGAAAAGTTAGGCATAGTTAATTTAATATTTCATTCCCCGAAATTTAACAATTTATATTGTAAATAATGGTAATTTTTTGATTTTTTTCTTTAGACAACATAAAATTGTTTAGTTTGTTTTTTTTTAAAAGACAATTCTTCTAAATTGTTCCACTTTTTCCATCTAATTTATTTATTTACTAAATTATTCTATTTTATTCTCTCTCCCTTCTCTCTTTGACTCTCTCTCTCTCTCCCTTCACTTTATCTTTCCCTTTGCGACCGTTCTCTAGCTCTTTTAATGAAAAATTACTTAGGGAACGAACGTTTATTGTTTATTCCTTCTCTTTTTCTTCCTTCCTCATCTTCTTTCTATTAAGATTGAATTTAGTCCAGTCTCAAATCTCTTTTTTACGTTCTATCCACACAAATCTGAATTGAATAAATGAAAGTATCGAAAGAAAATTCTTCTTTTCCATTATCATGAAATACTTCAATGATGAAATCTAGTGGTATTTTATCGAGAACAAATATAACATTTCCCAATCAGGGGTCCAATTGACCTGGTTTTTGACCATAAAACTATTTTGGCTCGAACGTTAGCTTTCTTCTTGAATAAAATTTCCATATAAAGCTAAAAATATATTGTATTTATAGTTAATGTTATTTAAAGCTCTAAAATTATGGGATAGTAGTGCCATCTATCGCTTTTCTTGAAAATTAAAAAATGATGAGAGACAGAAAATAGAGATTATCTTTTATTTTTAAGACCTATTTCCTCTACCTTTACAATATACAATTCTATTAAAAACCAATTTAAGAAAATCTATAAAAAAAACCATGAAAAAAAAAAAAGTAAAAAAAGGAAACTTCCCGCGAGACGGATTCGAACCATCGACCTAAGGATTGCTACATCCTCGTATTGACTACTACAGTCCTCCGCTCTACCAACTGAGCTATCGCGGGCTGATATACAACTGGAAAATTGATCACTATATACCAACATTCCGTCATTTTTTATTAGCCTAAATATACTTTATTTAATTTTATGTATGTATTTCTAGTGTTTAAAAAAACCGGTGTTATAGCTGATAATACAGAAATTCGGTGTATTTTATTAAAAGTAAATAGTCTTTAAAGCATTTATTATTGTTTATAATAATGTATTGATTATACTTTTATCAAGCATCTATATAGTAGAATACAGTGAAAGAAAAGAAATATCTAAAAAACATATAAGATAAAGAATGTTTCGTTTTAGTAAGATAATATAAACCGGTATAAGAGTATTCAAATTCTTTTTCGTTCAAGTGTATTAAAGCAGTTATCTATTGATTTCCTGATGAATCTCTTGAATGATTTTACCAAGATCTTTTACCTCTTTAGTAAGTTCGGTTTGGAATAGAAAATCTAATCTTCTATGATGTTCAAATTTTCTTATTAGATCTCTAATATTGTTTTTGAATTCGTTTTTACATTCAATTAAATTCAATTCCAATTGGGATAATCGTTCTTCAAGATCATCCAACTTGTTCATAGATGTAACGTTAATTTCTTTATGAGTACAATTAAATGCAATCTTCAAGTTTTCTCTTTCCTTATCATTCGTATTATAATTGCCATTTTCAGCAAACTTCTTCTGAACTATTGATCTCAATCCAAAGAATAGACAATGATTCCACCAAGGATTTGTATTAATATTTTTACAATCTATCGCCCAAGAAGTGTATAGATAGACAGTTGGAATTCCTATTCTATCGTACTTGAGCAATTTTCTATCTTTATCCTTAGTTTCTGCTTCTTTTATCGAAGGTAATTCTAAATGTTTTTCACGTTGTCTCTCTACACGATTATGGTTATCGTTAGCACTAATCTGTCCATAGGAATCGGTCCTTTTCTTCTTTGCTTGATGAGCTCTAGTCCTTCTTCTACAACAGCTACTATTGCATCTTATTATAAGTATCACAGTCCTTATTATTCCTCGAAATACGAGTCTGATGAATGAAAGTATGCCAAATACTACTATTTTCAAATTAAAAGCATCTAAATCCAGTATTAATTCAATTCTTAATCGTTGAACCTCTAAGTGAGCTCGCTCCCTTAATTTATTGACATCATCAACAGCTAAGCCAGTCAACAAATTCATAACAATGATAGGCATAAATACTAGAAAAATTGTAAAGACGATATAAGTCGATTCTGGGAAGTTGACAAGATATTCCTTCCCCGAATCTTGTTTGTAGGCAAAGAACATATCATTAAAATCGAATTCGCCAGTCATCATTACAAATGTTTTAACAATAGATATTCCAAAAGATTCAAAGTAGTACTAAAAATAAGAAAAATCATAGAATATTCATTAATATATTTAATAATATAACCATATTTCTTCGAATTTTTACCTGATTTTTTAGTAAAATATGAAAACTGAATCCAAAAGCAAAGATAAATAGGAGCAGTACTGAAAAAAATTGAGAAAAAGTCCTCAAAATAGTTGTAACCATAGAAACGTAAATGCCAATTAAAGGGAATCGTCTTAATTGAAGTATAAGATTAATCCATATAAATAGTAATGTAACTGATCCAACTTCCCATTGCCATGTTTTCATCTAAGCAGAATTTAATCGTGACAATTAAAACTAATACAAATAGAGTGAAAAGTGTAAACTTACATAATTACCAGAGCAGGTAGTGTCATAATTAATTATTATGAGTAAAGGACAAAGGTATGTAAACCAATCAAGACCATTCTTAATATGTAAATATCTCCATTTTAGTATAATTATTTGAAATATCTTTATAGGCAGAAAGGAATCTTATAGAAATGTTATATATTAAGAAAATTACGAGCATCTTTCTTACTTCTAGGAAAATTCCTCCCGCTATAAATATATGTAAGAGTATCAAAACAATTCGAGTTTCATAGGTTTTTTCACAAAATACATTATCTTTTAAAGGTAGACTCTCGTTCTTTCCATCACTTGCATTATTTCTATAAGATGATAACAGAATTATACAGTACTATTGTATATACTGTATAAATTATATAGTGAAATTTTTGTGGAGATAAGCCTCATAACTTACTCTTGTGGTTGTGATGAAGATACCAATAAAAACTTGGTAAATAATATAGCATAAACAACATAGCATAGTAAAAAAGCAAGAAAGTAATTTAAAGAATATTTCCAAATACATTCCAGATACTTTTCGGTTACTATATGTCTCATTAGATCTCCTCTTTCATTTTCGGCCTTTGTAGACGAGTATTATTTAAAAAAAACCAGATATACAGTATATTACAGGAATTTTTATCAACTTACCATTAAATGTAAAGGGTGAGTCAGTCGTTTTGTAGTTTTACCTTTCCTTTCTTGATCATAGAATGAATCAGCAACAAATTCAAAATTATATATTTCGTGATGATGATTATTTTTGCATTTACAATCCCTGACGAATATTGGTTCAGTTTTGTAACTCAATTGATCATCAGCGGAATTAACAATGATATTATCTCCGTCATTGAATTTATTATATAGAAATCTAATTTCTCTTGTTGGTTCAGAAAATTCAACCTTTCCAAAATCTGAATATTTATGAATCTCTCTTAATTCGTTATCTTTCTCCGATGGTTTAATAACGCATTTATCCAAAGCTAAAAGTGCCATTTCTAGACGAAAACAGTTTGGTTATAAATAATTAAATTTCATAGATTTTCATTGCTAAATAATAAACCTGGCATTTTTCTAATCAAATTCTTAAAAGGACTATCAATATATGTCTTTTTCATGAATTTAAAGTAAACTGCTTCCCTGTTATAGCAATGCCTCAGTAAGTTTGACCATTTATTAGATTCTAATAGCAGCAGTACATCAGCTCTTTAAATCATTGGAAAAGAAGTTATTTAAAATAAATAGACAAAGTAATTTTAAAAGCTAAACATACCTCATTCCCATATCTATTGCGTAATCTAAAACGTTTCTTTTATCATCTCTACTTATCATACCATCAATATGTATATCGTAGTTCAAAAGAGTTTCAAGGACTTTTCTATGTCCTCTCGTTATGGCCTCGTAAGCAGCTTTTGTGCCCCATCCTTGCTGGAAAACCCAATATTCTTTGATGATCAAATTACTTTTAAAATCAACTTAAATAAAAAAATTATTACACTTTTGATTTCCTTAAATAATTCTCTCTCGCTGTCACCTATTTGGAAAAATCATTTGATCACTTACAGAGAAATTTATGAGAATATAGTACAGTATATAAAACCTACATAATCTTTCTTCGTCACTCCTATCCTTCTTTTGATGAAAATTTTTCTCCTCAGATTTGATTGAGAATATTATTTCAAGTAGATAATCCAATATATCATGATTACCTTCCAAAATAGCCCGATCGATGGGCAAAACTCTTTTACTATCGGGAATTAGAAGTAACGAACATATCTTGCTGGCGTCCAATTTGCAAAATAGTTCTTTACATGCACTGCAAAAAATAAACTATATTGTAATAGTTTTATATTTTAGATAACTTACTTAACGTTGTTATTGCATACAGCAATATATAAAGGTGTTTCACCCTTATTATTCCTCACCAAATACCTGGCATTGCAGTTCAACAACAACTAAAGTGAGAAAATTTTACAGAGTATTTTATATATGTATTTTCTTATATTAAATATTTACCTTTGTATATAAATGATTATGATTTCTGGCCGCAATATGAATAGGTTTCTCTTCCTTACTATCACTATAATTTAAAATATCGTCAAAATTTTCAATAGTATCATAATATTCTTTGGAGAGCAATATCTAATCGGAAAAGTCGAGTTTCATTAGATTTCTTTTTATGGGTTTACTTGTTATTGCAATAAATATTATGTTGATCGTATGGTAAGCTAACCTGGGCTATGTCGATTAAATTATCATCAATGGCTCTAAAAACTACAAAAGGTTCTGGGAACTTTCTAAATTTCTTTAAATAGAATGGTAAAATCTTCTTAAGGATAGTTGGTTCGTCGTTAATTACGCAGTAATTAACGGGACTTTTATAACCTTTTGGTAAATATTCTAACAATGGTATTTTATTTTCTCGAATGTAGACTAGCGTATCTTTTTTGAGTGCATCATTCATTAGCGTAAGAAAAATATCTGATCTAAGAAAAGAAAAAAAAGTCCAATAGAGCATTGATTATATTCAATTATCGCTTACTCATTTTCAGCAAGAAATTCAATCAAAATCGAATTTTTGTTACAAATTGCCAAGTGAATAATATTTTGATCGTTTTCATCATAAACCTTTACTTTTTCAAATATTTCTGTGTATTTTTTAAAAGGGGTAATGTAAAGCTAATAAAAGAATAAGATCACGAATGATAAGTTTCCTTACTAAATGAATATTTTTCTTTATAAGCTCTAAAAAACGTTTTAATTGCAGCAAGATTTTTTACTTCCACTAAAGACAGTAGTAAAGGATATTTATCCCTGGGAATAAATTGATTTTCTATAATGAATAAATGAATAGATATGTTATAGACAAACATAAAGTCTCGTTTAGTATTCAGGCTTACCTTCTTTAAGTAAAAACTTTAAAAGATCTTTATCAAACAAATTATAATGAATTATTCTCTTTCCTTCTTGATTTTGTATCTTATACAACTGGAAACAAGATAAAATAGATAAAAGATATTACAAGGTATTATACAGTTGAAGAAAAACCTGAATACTCTCTTTCTCTGATAGCATCTTCATTAAATACTTCATTTTATGGATTTCTCTTTTGCTAATACTCTCATTTTTATAATGAAAAGGTGTTGAATGAGTTTCATCCGTTATCACTTTTAATATATACTCTGTATCATTATCTTTAATCTGTTCAAACAGATATTTTGAAACTTGTATTTGTAAGTTGCTTAATGCTTGAGATAAGTATGTTCTTCCTGAAGAATTTCGGCTCTATAATGAAAGTCAAAATATTCCAAAGTAAGGAACATTATTTCGTAGATTATTGATGAAGAGCACTTACTAGCCAACTAAAATTATCATAATGTTCAGATTTCTTAATAAATGAAACTAAATTTTTAATTACACGCCAATGACATCTGCTATCAATAGCCGCAAAGAGTATTCTTTCCTTAGACTTTCCAGTCCCATCTATTTTGAACATGTGATCTAGAAAGAATTCTAGAAACTCCATTGAATCGTCTTTATTGTGGTTTTCATCTGAAATATTTTAATATAGTATTTAAAAGTTTTATTTAAAACATAACCTTCTCCTACCTTCCGTTGTTATTGTACTAGTCAAATCAGGATAGCCTTCAAGATCAATCTATTCAGTTGAACACGTTATAAATCTATACACAAGAAACAAACAAAAGTAAAACAAACATTATTTTGCCCTAAACTTCTAAAATAATAGGAAACTGGTAAGTTATTTTGAGAATCCCTTTCATAGATACCTGAAAATCGTAAGTAAGGTAACGTAGAGTAACGTTGATTTATAAATGAAATATTATACGAACGAGCTCCATATGAAAATAGAATTTTTAATAATGAAAGACTATTTTTTGTTGCGGCATAATGCAGTAAACAACGTCCGTAATCGTCTCGTTTTGTAAGCAAATTATCTAAATCCCATGAATTAATATTTTCCAATTCTTTAATAAGAGAACCTTCTTGATCTTTATCATCTTTAGACCATAGATGAACCAACTGGTTATTTTTTAAAAAAAAAATCATGCATTCCACACTAAAATTTAATTAGTTAATTTATCGAACCTCAAAAACTCTATGCTCTATATCTGTAAATTCGACAAGAGAAGAGTTCATCCTTTGATAAAGATAGTGTTTTGACTTAATGTAGCAAAATGCTTAAGTCAATGCTTTTACCTGTTGACATTTAAAGTACGAAAAGAATTTTGCGTATATATTGACTACCTAGTAAATATACATGACAAATTCTTTTGTGATTGGCTTACAAGGTCAATTTTACGATAGCAATTTAAATAACAACACTTTCCATTTCCCAGTAAAACCACGGAGATAATAGATATTCAAGCGTTATAGCTATTCAATATAAAGTTAGGTATGACTAACTTCTGATTTCGATATTGTTTCAAAGAAGTTGGTCTTAAAGGGTAGACCTTTTATTTTTCTGTGTAATTAGTCATTGGTGGCAGAATCATAATTAATTAAATATTTAAATATGATCAAATCGATTTAAATGAAAATTTAATTATTTATTAATAATAATAAAGCGCTCTATGCAATTTACAAACACTATATTTGACATTATTTTGGCAATTTTTGTTGATCAATTTTTACCTCAAGATCTTTCAAATTTTGTCCCAGATTCTGTACTTCTCTAAGTAGATTCTCTTGAAAGCCGCTTTGATATTTAACTAAGTTAGATTCTAGTAGGGAAAATCGTTCTCTAAGATTATTAAACTCTTGCTTTGTTACAATTTCATTTTGTCTTTGATTCTCTAAGAAAGTTTTCTCCAGGGTTTCTCTATTCTTATCATTCAGAATATTTTCATCATCTTCATTAATTTTCTTTTGAACTATCGATCTTAGTCCAAAAAGGAGAAAATGATTCCACCAAGGATCCGAATTTCTATGTTTACATTCCAGTGCCCAAGATGTGTAGAGATAGACTGTGGGAATACTTATCCTGTCGTAGACTTTTCTATTGGAATTGAATTTCATTACTACTGATTGATCAATTGAAAATAATGCGTTGCATCTTTCCACAGCTTCTCTGGGAACCATTTGAAAATTCGCTTTTTGATTGTCCCGGTTATTAGTAGTGTTTCGCCTTTGCGCGCATAGGGTACAGTAGCACACACATCTACGTCCTGTAATGTGTTTGAAAAATGTAAGTACTTTATAAAACAATCTTTTTTTATCATAAACGTTCAAGTCCAGAGTTAATTCGATTCTCAGTCGTTGAACTTCTAAATGGGCTTTCTCTCTTAGCTTATTAACGTCATCCACAGCCAGAGCGGTTAATAAGTTCATAATGATGATAGGCATAAATATTAAAAATATAACGAAAATAATATAAGATGATGTTGGAAAATTAACGAGATGTTCACTTCCCGCATCATCTTTATGAGCATAGAATAGACTTGTAAATTCAATTTCTCCAATCATCATAACTGTAATCTTAACAAGAGACTCTCCTATACTTGAAAAATAGTACTAAAATACGAAAAATACAAACAAATAGTTGTATAATTAACATAAAAGGAATAACAAACCTGATTTTTAAATAATGCATGAAAACTTAAAGCAAAAGCCGTAATGAAAAGTAAAAATACAAGAAAGAATTGAGTGAATGTTTTCAAAATAGTTGTAACCATCGAAACGTAAATACCAATTAAAGGAAAACGTCTAAATTCGAGTATTAAGCTTATCCATAATAAAAATAGAATGATCGTACCAAATTCCCATTGCCATACTTCTATCTATAAAATATAAGTAATAGTAGTTAGCATATAGTAATTAGTTTTATTCACCTCAATTTCAGAGCAAGTTTCATGAACATTAATTATAACCATTAAAGGTGAAATATACGTAAACCAATCCAAGAAATTCTTAAAATTTATGTATCTCCATTTAAGAATTATAATTTGGCAAATCTAACATTAAATTAATCAAATAATTAATGCCTTAGATTAATTAATTAATAGTTAACCTCTAGAAATACTCCAATACATATTAGAATAATAAAGGCAAACCATAAGTAATTAAATGGCTTGTTGGTTGGACAATCTCTTTCGAAATTTTCACTAAACGTAAAATTCATTAATCGTTCTCTTGAAAATTTTGTTGATAACATGAATAGTATTTCAGTAAATAATCCAACGTAAACGCAATAGTATAATAGAAAGAACAGAAAATAAGAAAATGAATATTTCCATATATAATTAAGGTATTTTTCGGTAACTTTATGTCTCATTAGATCTCCTCTTTCATTTTCAACCTATTATTTACATTATGTATGTCTTAATAACATGTATATAAATATTATTTCTATTCAATAAATACCATTAATTGTAGAGGATGCTCTAATCGTCTTGTAACATTGCCAACTAATTCTTTATCGTAGAATGAATCGGCTACAAATTCAAAATTATACATTTCGTGATGACGATCACTTGTACAATCGCAGTTATCGATATATTCTGGTTTGCTGTGGAATTGATTCTCCTCTTTCCCATTTAAATTAACGACAAAATTTCCTCCTTCATCTAATTTACTATGAACAAATTTAATCTCCCTTATTGGTTCAGAAAGTTCATTGCTTTCCTCAAAGCTCTTGTATTTAAGTTCCTCTTGAATTTTATTATCTTGTCCCGACGGTTCAATAATGCATTTGTCTAAAGTTAGCAATGCCAATTCTGCATATGGAGAAAAGTTCAAAAGTGTTTCTCTCTATTGAAACCCTATTCTTTATAATTTATATTAACCTGGCATCTTTCTGATTAACTTTTTAAAAGGGCTGTCAATATAATATTTCTTAAGACATTTTAATACGGTTTTCTTCTCTTTATAGCAATGTCGTAACAGATTTGACCATTTATTAGATTCCAACAGTATTTTAACCTCTTCTCTACGAAAATTGATGAAACATTATTACATAGTCAAAGAGAATATCGGAAATATGAACAATTAATGTTCAATAACTATTATCTTACTTCATTCCACTATCGATTGCGAAATCTAAAATATTTCTTTTATCAGTCTCACTCAGGACACCGTACGGGTAAATATCATATTTTAATAAGATTTCAAGCACTTCCCTATGACCTTTTGTTATGGCTGTGAAAGTTGCATTTGTACTCCATCCTTGCTGTTACGTTAATACAAAATATAACATTCATCGTGTTTGGCAATACTATTAATAAGAAATATAAGTAATTACACTTTGTATTATATTTAATAGATTCTCTTTTGCTTTGCCTATAAGAAAAGAAACGGTAAAGATATTTATACATAGTGTATATTCGAACAATTAAGGAGACAATGGACTTACTTAAATTCTCTTCAGAGAGATTTACACAAGTACTTTCTTCAAAGCAAATTAAGAATATCTTATTCATAAAATAAGCCAGTACTGTACTATATCCATTCGAAATAGCTACATCAATGGGAAGAATATTTCTGTTGTCAGTTTTCAACATTAATGAAGAGAATTCTATTGTGTTCAAACTATTTAATAATTCCTTGCAGACCCTAATAGAAAAAACATAAATTGTTCTTAGCTAGTATAAAAAATCTTTGTGATAAAATGATAATATCTTACATAATATTATTATTTTTCACAGCTAGAAATAGAGGAGTTTCACCATCGTTATTTTGAAGTGAAATATTTACACGTTTAGATAGTAATAACTGGAAAAAATGATATAAAGAAACTTGTCAAAAATGTCTTTATCTTATAAGAAAGATGTAAAAAATTTCAATTATAAAATATTGAAAATACTTTTGTAAAGAAATGATTCTCGTTTTTAGCTGCTAAGTGAATAGGCCTATCCCCATTATCATCTCTAAAATTCATCAATTCATCAAAATTTTCAACATTCTTATAATTCTCCTCCGATAGTAAAACCTTAAGATAGATAGATACTTTATTTACAAGTAAACGTATTAAGACACATTTCTTACCTTTAATAAATCAAGTAAATTATCTTTAATAGCTTGAAATACTATAGAAGATTCGGCAAATTTTCGAAATTTATCCAAGTAAGAAGGTAAAAGTCTTTCTAAAATTTTCGATTCTTTTTGAATAACGCAATAATAAATTAGACTACAATAATTATTCGGTAAAGTTGTCTTTGATCTATTCCAGTTGTATCTTTGATATAGAATTTCATCTCTTTCGCATATATCATCTAATAATTTTTCAACAATACTTCGCCTGCAAAAACATTGAGCAATTAATTAATTGAATGATGGTTGTAAATTTTTAACTATTACGCCTACTCATTATATAAAAGATAATCTATTAGTGTCAGATTTTTATGCTCAATTGCTTTATATATAATATTTTGCTTATTATCATCGCATTCAATGACTTTTCCGACATGTCCTGTTGAAAAATAGAAGACTAAGTTTTCTTATAAACTTTATACTGTATAATAAAAAAACATGAATTTCTTTTACCATTGTTGGGAAATGTTTGTTTTAAGATTTCAAACAATTTCTTTATTGCTTGAATACTCTGAACTTCGGCAAATTGTATAACTAAAGGATAATCATCTTCAGCTTGAAATTGATTGTCTAAAAGTTGAAATATTACATTTTGTTTGATTAGTTATTAACAATTGAATTACCTTCTTGCATTAAAAAGTCCAATGAATCTTTATCAAAGATATTATAATGAATTATTCTCTTTCCAGCATTATTCTTTATTGTGAATAACTGTCAAAAGTATGAGAATCGAATCAATTTCAAGTTATCTTCTTTAAAATTGTATATTTAAAAACAATAGAATATACTTGAATATCTTTATTTTCTGAGAGAATTTTTATTGATTCCTTCAATTTTTCAATACCGTGTTTACTGAGATTTTCAAATTTATAATGAAATGGTGTTGAATTAAATTCATCAGTAATCATATCCATAATATATTCAGTTGATTTTTTCTTTACAAGACTGAATAGATATTTTGCAACTGATAATTGAAGAGTATTTAGAGACAGGAATAATGCTGTTTTTCCAGAATCTTTTCGGCTCTATTTAATAGAATATACACATTCAAGTTATTATATATAGTATATTAACAAAGAAAGAAGTTATACTAACCAGCCAGTTGAAAAATCCCTCTTCAGTTTTTGAACTTTGAATTAGAATGACTATACTCTTAACGATTTCTTCATTACATCTGTTTTGAACCGCAGTTAACAATATTGTATCTTTATTAATATCCTTCCAATCTTTCTTGAATAAATCAGCCAAATGATATTCAAGGTATTCAAACTTTTCATTTGAATCTTTAAAATCTATTTTTAAATAATAATGATATAAGAAACTTGTTAGCAAAAATCGATATAAACATATTTAAGTCTATAAATTCTTCTCTATTTTACCTGTCTCTATTGTCGTTTTCGGATCAGTTTTATCTTCATTCTATAAATGAAATTTGATAGGCTGATCTACAAATGTATAAACAATAAAAAAGATATATCGTTACTTACATTATTTCGCTTTAACTTGTGAAATACGTATGTTAAAGGAAAATTATTGTATGAATCTCTCTCTCGGAAGCCTATTAAATAGATTAATACTTATAAATATTATTGTTTTCAGACGATATAAAAAAACTTACTTGCTCCATGTGTTTTAAGAATTTTACATAATTTCCAACATCGTTTACTAGCAGCGTAATGAACTAGACAATAACCCAAGTTATCTTGTATTTTAAATAACACTCTTTTTTCTATATCTGATAAACTGTTCAAGTGATTTTCGAGATCGATTAAGGTTTCTTCGCTTTCATTATTCCAATTTTCAGTTAACTATATACGTAATAGTTATTTATTTATATCCATTTATATTTCTAATCTAAAAATATTACACAAACCTTGAAGACTTCTTTCTGTTTCTCTGTTAAATCGTCGTTAAAAACCTCCATTTAACATTAGTAAATCAATTATAGTAAAATATAATTAGTTTATTTATCATTAAGTAAATAGGAAAACGTGTGAAGGTGGGACGACGTTGAAAACATAAAACAGCAGGAATTTTTTATGATTTTGTTCGTCTTCAACGAGAAAAGGTCTATTCACTAGACTGTAGGATATTTGAATAACAACGTACTTCCTTTGTTAAACAAATGTCTCAAGCAATATTGCTGAAGAGTATGAAAAAATAGTACAAAATTTCATATCTAAAAATAGATATTTAATTTGTGCAAAAATGCTTTATTTAGAATTAAAAACAATAGTTTACAAGGTAAAAAAAAACCATAAAAAACAAAACAAAACAAGATAAACTTGAATTCATTATGATTTACACCTTTAACCTATCTTTTTACCCAACTCTCTTATATCTCTTTTGAGTTCAGTTTGAAATAAAAAATCCGATTTTCTACTGGATTCAACCCTATCATATAAAGCTTGAATACTATCTCTATTTTCCTTTTGATTTTGATTTATAATTAATTCTAATTGAGCTAATCTATCTTTAATACTTTCAAATTCATTTTTAGTTACAATTTCAGTTTTTCTATAATCTGAAGAGATTTTTTCAAAAGTTTCCAAACTCTTTTTGTCTGTACAATTATCATTTCCTTCTCCTTGGTCTCTTTGAACAATTGATTTTAATCCGTAAAGAAACAAACGACTTCGCCGTGACTCTGATTTGAAATCATAACATTCGACCGCCCAACATGTAAAAAGATAAACTGCAGGAATGCCTACTTTCCCATATCTTTCAGTATCCGGATTTAATGTCATTGTTGTAGCTTGATTAATAAAGGGTAATTTCTCTTCTTGCTGTTCGATTGAGCTATAGGAACCCCTACTCTTGGAATCAGAACTGCCAAATCTTCTTCGTCGGCTAGGAATACAAGAACAAAGTGCCACAAAAGAAATAGCTTGCCATAAACGGTAAATTTTGTCTCTAACAAATGATAGAATGTTTACTAGTAGACGCCTTTTATCATAAATATTCAGATCTAATGATAATTCGATTCTTAAGCGTTGAACTTCTAGATGAGCCTTTTCCCTGAGTTTGTTAACATCATCTACCGCCAGAGCAGTTAGTAAATTCATGACAATAATCGGCATTACAATCAAAAATATTACAAAAATAACATTTGTTGCACGCGGAAAATTAACAAGATGCTCCTTTCCTAAGTCATATTTATATGCAAAAAACATATCTGTGTAATCGAATTCACCAAACATCATTACAGTTGTCTTTATAAAAGATTTTGGAAGTGATGCAAAAAAGTACTGTAAAATTAAAAAAAGAGATAGTAAACATTGGCATACTGATTAAACAAGTTCAACTAATATTTACCTGATTTTTGAGCAAACAATAAAAACTAAATCCAAAAGCCATGATAAAAAGGAAAAATACAAGAAAGAATTGAGAAAATGTCTTTAAAATCGTTGTAACCATAGATACATATATACCAAATACAGGGAATCGTCTTAATTCAAGAATAAGATTTATCCAAATGCTTAAAAGAGAAACTGATCCAAGTTCCCATTGCCAAGTTGTCATCTTAACAAAAAGAGTTTATTGTGATATTAACGCTGTTTTTATTTTCGGTATATTAATAAACTTTACTCTGTTTTCATAGCATTGACGATCAAAATTGAATAGAATGATCAAAGGACTTAAATAAGTAAACCAATCAAGATAATTTTTTATCTCTGTAAAATATCTCCATTTGAGAATAGCTATCTGCTTTAACTTCAAAGCGAAAAAGATGAGAAAAAGAAACATTTTAAATTACTTATAATATACTGTATAAGTACATACTTCTAAGAAAATTCCAAGCAATATCAATAGATATAGAAAAATCATAATTACAAGAAATGATTTGCTTGAATCGCATACCTTTAATTGTCCAATAAACGTATCATTCTCCTTGTCATCTTTAGATCTTTTTTTTAAAAAAAAAACTAGCCATTTATTCAATATTCAATAAATTAAACTTTAATTTACTCTAATAGTGGTGTACTTGAATCTATTAATAATGTCGTAAAAAGCGAAACATATAGAGCGTAAAAGGCTAAATAGAAGAGAAAGTAAATGAAAGAATATTGCCAAGTATAATCCAAATATTTCTCAGTAACTTTATGTCTCATAAGACTTCCCCTTTCATTTTCAACCTATATATATATTTAATATAATATATTTTTATTAATATATGCAGTATATAGTATATACTAATATTTTAAAACATACCATTAATTGTAGAGGATGCTCTAATCGTCTTGTTGTATTTCCCATTAATCCTTTATCGTAGAATGAATCTGCTACAAATTCGAAATTGTACATTTCGTGATGACGATCATTTTCGCACTTGCAAGGTTTGTTATATTCTGGTTCGCTGTTATATTTATATCGATAACCAACTAAATGAACTGAAATATTCTTCTCTTTCATTGATCTTTGATAAACAAATTTGATTTTCTTGGTTGGTTCTGTAAATCCGTCCCTCTCGTCAAAGTCTTTATATAAAAGTGTTTCTGTTAGTTTGCTATCTTTGGGAGTAGGCTTAATGATACATTTATCCAAAGCAATTAGTGCCATATCTAAATAAAAAGAAGACGTTAAGCTTTTATTACTTTATTTTAAATGAAATAAATATTTACCTGGCATTTTTTTAATTAACTTCTTAAATGGACTATCAACGTATTTCTTACTAAAGCAACAATGATATATCTTTTCCTTTTGATAACAATGTCTTAGTAGATTTGACCATTTATCAGACTCTAACAATATTCTCACTTGTTCCCTATGAGAGAGAGAGAGAGAGAGAGAAAGAGAGGTAAATTGTAAGTCTCAATTTGAAGAAGTAAACAGTCAAAATAAAGAATTTATTACGTCATTCCATAATCTATTGCATAATCGAGCACATTTCTTTTATCACTTTCGCTAAGTACACCGTAAGGATGAATATCATACTTTAGTAGAGTTTGCAATATTTGTAAGTTTCCCCTAGTAATTGCTTCGTACACAGCTTTTGTACCCCATCCTTGCTGTTGGAAAAATCTATATTGGTCATAAACCTATGGAAATGCTATTCTTACACTTTCAACTTTATTGAACAGAGTCCTCATTTCCACGTCTAAGAAGGATCAACAAAAAAGAAAACGTTCATTATACTTTATGCTTATCGTAAAATGTTTCATTGAGTAAGTGAAAACGACTTACGTAGATTATTCTCCCAAGTAATACCGACATTTGGTGAAAACTTCATTTGAGTTGATTTTAGAGAGAATATCATTTCAAGAAGATAATCTAGTACATCATTATTTCCTTTTATAATTGCTAAATCCATTGGTAAAATATTCTTTTTATTCGATTTTAATAGAAGTGAGCATTTTTCTCTTGTCTTTTCTTTAAGATTCTCAAATAATTCTTTACAAACGCTTGAAAAGGGTTTTAGAAGACGGATTAATGAATTTACTCTCTTCTTTTACAAATTTAACTCACTCAACATTATTATACTTTACGGCTAAAAATAATGGACTTTCCCCTTTTCGGTTTTCTGTCATAAAACTTGCGTTGTATTGTAGTAAAAGCTAAATATAAAGTAAGATAATGTGAATTAAACAATTTGTTAATTTAGATATCTTACTCTTATAAATAGACGATTGTTCTCTTTAGCTGCCAGATGAATTGGAGTATTTTGATCATTGTCTCCATAGTTGATAACTTCTTCAAAATTTTCAATACTTTCAAATGTTTCTTTTGATACTAAAAGCTGATGTTTGAGGTTTTTTTAGTTTTAATTTCTTCAACAACGGAGACAATTGAAAAAGAACCTTTAATATTTCTATTGAATGATTCGATACAGCTTTAGAAATCATCCTTGACTCTGGGAACTTTTTAAAATCATTTAGATAAATTGGTAATATCTTCTCTAATATTTTATGCTGCTTATATACAACACAATAATAGATTGGACTTTTATATCCATATAAATCTGATATATTTGTTTTTATATAGTTTTCTTTCTTATAGATATAATCATCTTTTCGAAAGATTTCTCTCATTAATTTATCAAAGGCCTCTTTCCTAATTTAAAAATAAAATAAACTATTTATTGAAAAAGCTTTATGCATGAAAGAAAAAACAAGGTAATTGCTTACTCGTTTTGCATAAAATGATCAATTAACGGTAGATTACTTTGAATAATCGCTTCGTGTATTAAATAATGATGACTATAATTGTCATATTCCACAATTTTCTCTCTAAATTCTATTTGAAAAATGAAATTGTTATAGAAAAAAAATTATTAAAATCTCTCTTTTTGTTATATATCTTACTGTATGGACATTTTTCCTTTAAATCGTTCAAAAATATCTTGATTGAGTTGATATTTTTAACTTCAGCCAGTGATAATATTAGTGGAATTTCATCACGTACCTTAAATTGTTCATCTGAAAGACAATTTATAATATTTAATACATTTCTAACAGTATGTAGCATAGAGCGGATCTACATTTTAATAAGAATTTAAGTAATTCTTTGTCATGCATATTATAATGAATAATTCTCTTCTTATCTGTATTTTTCATGTTAAACAGCTGAAAAAGATAGTTTTGAGTTGAAAATTTTTAAGGGTATTAAACAATAATTATACCTGTAACTCTTCTTCACTCGCCAACATTTCCATCAGTTCTTTTACTTTCATCACTTTTCTTTTTGATATGTTTTGAAAATGATGATGAAAAGGTGTTGAATTCAGGTCGTCTGTTATCATTCTTTTAATATACTCAATACCTTCATCTTTCACTAAATCAAATAAGTATTTTGATACTGTTCTTTGAAGGTTGGCTAAAGAGATAAAGAGAGCTGTTTTTCCATCTTCCCTTGTACCCTGTTGAAAGTTTATTCTATAGATAATGAGTATTAGCAAAGACATAAGACAAGATTAACTTACGACAAGCCATTTGAAAAATCCTCCACTTTGAATATATTGTTGCATGAAAAGAACTATAGTCTCTACAATATCTTTATCGCAGTTATTCTGAATGGCATTTATTAAGATTTTATCTTTCTCGCCCTTTTCCCAATCGGTAACAAACATATCACTTAGTAAGTAATCAAGACTGCCTTCTCTATTTAAATCTTGAAAGTTGATATCTATAAGTATATTATAAATTGTGCATTTAATAGACTATTACGTTACCCTACTAGAGATTAGTCTTACCTATACTTTCAGTTGGAGTTCCTCCATCAATGTTATCTTCACTTTCGTTCTTTTTTTTAAAGAGATAATATTAACAATTTATAACTGTGAAATAGATGAAAAATAATATTTTACCTCTGAATATGCTCTAAAAAAATATGTTATAGGTAACTTTTCATAAGCGTCTCTTTCATAGAAATCTATAAGCAAATAATACAGAAAAATGAAATACTATATCTAGTTAAATGAAGAAATAAATAACATACTAGCTCCGTAAGATTTAAGGATTTTGAATAAACCAATGGATCGTTTTCTTGCAGCATAATGCACAATACATATTCCCGAACTATCTTTTTTTTTAAATAGTTTATCTCGATCAGAGATATCTTTTAAACATTTTTCAAGCTGTTCTGATGAACCTCTCCAATCTTTAACTAGCTATATACAATCTTTAAACCTTAATATATAATATATTCTTTATTATTTCATTGCACAAACCTCAAACACTCTCTTTTCTTCTCCTGTTAATTCGTTTTCAATATCATCCATCGTCTAATTGATAATCGTCCTCCTTTCAGTTTTAGATACTCTGCGTTCAACAAATGTATACTATAGCAGAAATTCTAGATTAAAATATTAGTGGTTGTTGGCCTCAAAAGGCCTTGTAGTAACAATATGCTTATTGAACAAGTCACAATATGCTTATTGATATGATTAATAATGGAAATGCCTGACTAGCTCTGTTGTGTTGTTTAAACTTATAGTCTTATTGCCACTAAGTTTTTGTTTGAATTTTATATAGGTATTCGTAAGATTCGTAAGATGAATGTACAGAATGTCGCAAAAATCATATTTAAAGGTTACCTATAATGATATATCCGTTGAAGAAAAATTTGATATAAATGCTTTACAAAGTAAAGCAAACTTTGAATAGTTTGTCAAGATATGAAATGTCGATATTCTAGCCTACATTTTCAACAAATACATTAGAGAAACGGTTGTTTTATAACCCGATCTTTGAACAAAGATAATTAGAATGTATTAATGAAAAGAATATAAGGGAAGGGAGGGGGGGAAAGGGTGAGAGAGGAAAATAGTAAACATGATAATTAATCTCTAACCAACAGTATTAACTTTCTTTAAACTTTTCAACTAATAAATCTTTAATAATATAAATATTTTTCTTAATATCATTTATAGATTTCTTATGATTTTGTTCAACTTCTTTAATTGAATTTTTCAATTGTAGAATAGTTTCTTCCATTAATGTTAAATCTTCTTTTTTAACAGTTTTCTCTTCTTTCATTATTTTATAATTCTTACGAGAATTTGTCTTATCTTCAATACAATTATGTTCAGTACATTCAACTGCCCAACTAGAATATAAACTTATTCCCATAAATGACGATGTAAAATTGAAAAAATTCTGAAATTCTTCACGGCATTTAATTTTATAATAAAAATTAAAATGTTTCGAATCAGTTTCATCTTCGTATTGAACTTTTGAGTAAACATCACCAGTTTTACTATCAATACGACTATTTCGCCGATTCAATAGACAATTTTTCCTTTCGAAGTTTCTTCGCAACCAATTTAATACTCGACCAAAAAAGTTTCTTTGCCTATAGAATTCTGATTCGTTGCACATAGCTACTTCCAATTTCTTTGATGCGAAATAGGTAACTTCTTTTAAATGTTTAACGTTTTCAACCGCTAAAGCTGTTAACAAATTCATAACAATAATTGGCATAACTATAAGAAATCCAATAAATATTATATAAGATGAAACAGGAAAGTGTACAATGTCTTCTCTCTCTCTACCGATTCTATTATTAAAGAATAAATCAGTAAAATCAAACTCTCCAGTCATCATCACCGATGTTTTTATCATAGTTTCGTGAAATGTTGAAAAGTAGAACTATACAAGTAGGAAAATATCAATATATCATTAGCATATAATAAGACGGGAGAAAAATTATTTAATTTCAATAGCATACCTGATTTCTAAACAATCCGTAAAAGCTTAAACTAAATGCCAGAACAAATATAAATAAAACACCGAAGAACTGAAAGAACGTTTGCAAAATGGTTGTTATCATTGATATATATTCCCCTAAATAAGGCATATTCCTTAAATGAAATATAAGATTGAACCAAAGAAAGAATAAACATATAAATCCAAATTCAAATATATTCCTATTTACCTATAAACAAATTTAATATATCAATGATTTGTTTTGATATACAGTGTAATATATTCATATATATTTACTTGATTTCTAAAGCATTGAACATTATATAAGATAATAAATATCAAAGGTAGACCATAAGTAGACCAATCTATTAAATTAGTTAAATTAAAATACCTTTTCCTTAAATCAATCATTTGCATAATCTGTTTGTAATTTACATTAATTATACAGTATATACTTTATATAAAAACGTTATTGTTTATTATTTACCTCTGCTAATAAACTAATTCCTATAATCATATACAATATGACCATAATAATCCATGTACCTTTGTCTTTACTACAAAAGAATTCAATTTTGTTTGTAGCGTTAATTCGTTCGTAATTTCTAAAAACAAACATCTAGGTATTAATTATATTTTGATTCGTTTATTTTATCATACTGGAAGACTGGTGATGAAGATGTGAGTAGGAATGACGTAAACAAACCCAAATATAGTATATAATACAATAGAAAGCCTAAAAATTGTCTTAAATACTCTTTCCTATGGAAAGCAAATAATTTTCTGGTAAGTTTATGCTCAATAAGTTCTTTTCGGCCATAGTCAGCCTATAGAGAAAAAGTTAGCTAATTAATTATCATTATATACAGTATGTTTACCATTAAATAAAGGGGGTGATCTTTCATTATTCGCTGAGAGATTTTAGCGTGATGTTCATCGTAAAATGAATCAGTTATAAATTCAAAATTATACAATTCAAGCTTTTCGTGATTGCTACAATCGCACTTTAATGAATATAAAGGTTTTACAAGTCTCTCTCGTCCATCGCACGAAACGGTCGCGTTGAAATTATAATTGACGTCTCTTTTCTTCATTAAATGAAATTTAATTGATTTTGGATGAAGGTTTTTAGACATTCCGTAATTTTTTGGTATATTAATCTTTTTCGACATTTCGAATAGTGTTTCCTCTTCGTACTCTTCACTATCTGACGGCTTAACAACGCATTTATCCAACACTAATCTAGCCATATCTATTAATGAAAAGATATTATAATTATAAACTATTAAACGTAACATACAGCTACTTAATTTACCTGGCATTGTTCTTACTAATTTTTTAAATGGAGATGAAACATGAGTTTGGTTGAAGAAAGGAAATATATTTACTTCATACGTGTAGTAATGGCGTAAAAAAGACGCCCATTTATTAGATTCCAATAATATTTGAACGTGTTCCCTTGTAATCAAAATGTGAGAAATATATTGTATATAATGTGTATACGCTGTATGCTATAACATAAGATGTAATATCTTACTTTAATTTATTATCGATAGCGTAGTCAAGAATGTTTGTTCCTCTTTTCAAATCGACTAAGCCGTTAGAATGTATATCGTACTTTAAAAGCACTTTTAATACAAAGGGATAATTTCTTCTGATAGCCTCATAAACAATATTTGTACCCCAACTTTGCTAAAAGTAATAAAAGTATTATCATCCAAATCTATGATACTGTGGAATAGACTTACATTTAATATTTTTACTAATAAAAAGTAACAACTGTTGTCGACTAAAATATAAAAACTATATATATATCAATAATAAACATATAGACCCAAGAATATAAGATCAATAGATATACTACAAATTAATTTTAAAAACCGATGATATTTACCAGAGAAAACTGACTTTTCAAATATTATCTCTAATAGATAATCCACATTACTACTCTTTCCATATTTTACTGCCGTCTCTACTGCTAATTCACCTTTTATATTCTCAGTATTTAAAAACATCCAAAAAATACTATCATCAATATTGTCTAATAGTTCCTTAATTATTCTGTTTTCAATGAAAAAACATGAATGATAATAATAGTAATTATAAATATTTCAGGTAATTAATTAATAATAATATATTCACTCATTATTATTATTTTTAGCTGCAACGTGTAAAGGTGTATTACCCTCTCTATCTTGTATAGAATAATTTGCTTTACATTCCAATAGAAGCTGTGTTCAAAATACAGAGATATTAATTTGGAAATATGATGCAATAGGATTGTAGATTAGAATTATTACTTGAATAAATTTACTATTCTTTTGAGAAGCGGCAAAGAAAATTGGCGTTAATCCATAACTATCTCTATAATTAATACAATGAGTAATATTCTTAATATTATCTCTATAATCTGCAGACAGGAATAACTAGATAATGAAAGAAAAGTTATTTGAAAAATTAGTTTTTTCTCTACAAAATATTATCATTAAAATAATAAACCTTTATTATTTGAATTTGTCCTCTTTTAACCGCTTGATAAATGATATCTTCATCAAGAAAACATTTAATTTCTTTAGAGAAATGAGGTAAAATCCTCTCCAAGATTTTGAATTGATTTCGCAGATAACAAATATAAAATAAACTTTTATATTCGCCAGTTGAAAATTTATATTCCTTTATAGCAGCTTCCTCAATTAATAATAGAAATGTATGATACCTGTTTATACATATATATGTGTATATACTGTATACTGTGCATATTTGTAGAAAAAACACATTCTTTAATTATTATCTTACTCGTTTTCTATTAAATAGTTAATTAGATAAGGATTCTTATTATCAACTGCATAATGAACAACGCTATACCCATTCTTTTCATCAATTCGAAGTATTTCGTTAAAGAATACATCTAAAATACAAACAGATGAGTAATATTTATAGATAGCTATTCTAAGAATAGAAGTGGCAAAACGTTTCGCATAAAAACTTTACTAAGTAACCTGGTGAATAAGCGCTTAGCCCGGCAAAATAGATTTTAATAGAATCCATATTTTTTACTTCCGCCAGTGAAAAGATTAATGGATACTCCATTTCCGAAGTTAATTCAAATCCTATATTTAATAAATATCGAAATATATCTGATTCGAATAGACCATAGTGAATAATTCTTTTATTATTATTGTCTTTCCAATCGACTATCTGTAATTACAAGGAATAATATTGTTTTTTATCAATAATGGAAAAATAGCTTACTAGTTCGTATTTCTTATAAATCATATTAAACAATTCCTTATATTCTTGAATATCTCTTGCAGATAGTTTATCAAATTTAAAATGAAAAGGAGTACATCTATCGTGATCAGTAATCATTTCTAGGATATAGTTATCATTTCTCTCCTTTATCAAATCAAATAAGTACATGGAAATGGTTTTCTGTAAGTTTCTTATCGAAAGGCAAAGCGCTGTTCTTCCTTGTTCGTCCCTCATCTATTTTTGAAGAGGTTAAGAAAAAGAAAGGGTCATTAATTAGCAATAAAATTATAAATAATAATATTTTAGCATTTTTCCACCTGGAGCCAATGAAAGAATTCATCTTCACTAATTATATTTCTCATAATTATAATAAGGCATTCAATAATATTCATATTGCAACGGTATTGAACAGCTTTAATTAGCAAGGATTCTTCGCCAGTTTCTTCGAATATATCAGTAAGAAAATGTCTAAAAAGACCATTAAACGTAATTACTCCATTGGTATTAATATCTGTTGCGCGTAAAATAACATGTAGATACTACACATTAAACAGGAAGCAATTATATCACCGTCTAAAAATGTTTCTATACTCTCCATCGGAGAATCATCGCCTTCCGGTTTATTGAAATAATAAACCAATGGTAGATTATCATTTGCGTCTCTTTCGTAAAAATCTGGTTAGTTAATAAAAAAAATTATGGCATGAAAGTTATATATTTAATTAAAACACAGCAATTAATTGACTTTAGGCAACGACTAACTTGCTCTGAATGATTTAAGAATGTTAAGTAGATGAGTACAGCGTTTTCTTGTAGCACAGTGGATAAGGCATAAACCATAACTATTTCTTTTCTTAAAAATTGCTTGTCTTTCCACGTCGGATAGAGTTTTAAGATAATTATTTAGGCGGTCAGTACTCTTCTTTATCTGCAATTCTCTATGATAAACCAGATAGTATTCAACGAGATTCTTGCAATTTTTCTGTCTAATTTTCTCTTGTTCGTCTTGCGATAATTTCAAAAAACAATAGAAAATAACATCCTTTCTCCTTTCCATCTCTCTTTCAGAACTATGAATTAGGCATGAATCTAAACTCATGGGATATTCAATATTATCAATTGTTACTATATCCATCTCTTTTCTAAAAGCTAATGAAAATTCATAAATATTTGTATCTTTATCAGCATTTTCCTTATATTTAGTAATTCGATCAGCAATGGCATCAAGTTGTTTTTCATGTTTGAAACATTTTTCATCATCCGACAAATCGTTAAAACACTGAATCAGAATATCGTTACTCTCTATTATTTCTTTATTTGGATCCCAATTTTCAACAAGCTGTAGAATAGAGGAAGTATATTAAATAAAGTTTTATCCTATTGATATTTGAAGGGGAAGAAAAACCTCAAACACTTTGTCTGCCTTTGATTTTAAGTTTTCTTTTAAATTCTCTTCGGACATTTTAGTAAAGAAGTTACTTTTCTTTCTTCTTTTTTAAGATATAAAAAAATACGGTTAATCCAACTTCAAAAGGATTTTTTTGTGATTTAACTGTATAAATTTACTATATCTATTAAAAAAACGTGATTTATACATTATACCTTTATAGATAGTACTCTCTATGTACTCGGTTTCTTACTCTACTGCATACAATTACTGAGTGCATGTTAAAATAGACTGACATTACTCAACTATTTAGTTACGCCAATCTTGATATGTTGAACGTAATAACAACTATAGAACTATTGTTTTTGGATATGAATAATAGTTTATAATAAAATAATGTAGTTTTAACTAATCTCTAGTTAAATTTAATAGTTTATATTCCTTTGTGTTTGGTGGAAATTTTTCAACAAGCTTTAAATTAAAAACAGATCAGAAAAATTAGACAAAAACCAAGAAATTCCTTAAGAGATCGCTTTACAAGAAGATATAAACTATATTGTTAATTTATTAAAGGTTAACCTTAAAAGTCCTATTACAGACTTGTATAAATTATTTAATTTTACCTTGAACTTTGCTTTATTTAAGTGATTGAAAAACATCCTACAAACAAAATGTTTACAAAGTATAAAAGACCTGTATAAGACACAATTAACTTGGCTTTCGCTCTAAAACATACATTTTGAATAAAAATTTTTCAACTTTAATCAAGTAATTATTTTTAAGGTTTTTCATTTTCTTCCCTTTTTCACGTGAAACTGTTTATTCGTAATAAAACCAATGAAAAAATAATCATTTTTCTCTTATTTTAGAAAATTGAAAAAAAAATGATAAATATAAATTTTCTTCTATTTTTAATGTTGGTGGGATTTCCTTTGGTCAAATCGAGAAATAATCCGGCGAAGCTAACAGTCAAGCAACTTGAAATAACTAAACAAAGAGATTCACTTAATAAGAAATATAGAAATGAAGAGGTAAATTTTAAAATACAAGTACTATTTATTTATTATGAATATTTTAGCGTCTCTTTTCTAATATTTCTATTTTTAGATTATCTGGACTGAATTTGGAATTTTAAAGAAATCAATGTACTGTAGAAATTTTGAATTTCCCCATCTTGAACAGCTGCTAAAGTTTTGCGAAATTATAAAATTTAAAGGAAAATTTATGGTTAAACCAAGAGAATATCCAAAATGGAGAAGATCAATGTGTATTTTATGGAAAAAAACAAATTGTCGTAATTCAGATTACATAGAAATCTAAATTGTTTCTTTTTCTCCTTTTCTTTCAATTTTTAAATATCTTTTGATCAAAATATGAAATGTTTTATAAAAATTGAAAAAAGAAAAAAGCTTAAACGAAAGAATTAAAATAAAAGAAATTTGCATTGAAATCAAACATTTTGGAATTATTATTACTATTGTTATTTTCGTATTTATCTTTTAAAAAGAACAATCTCATTTATACTAAAATTATAAAATGTCTTCTAAAAAAATAAAGGAACAAAGAACATAATTATTGTTTTTTTTTTAAATGTATTTATATAGACATTTTCAGTTTGATTATAGAATTAAAAATGGTAAGAAAAATAAAATATGTTTTATTCCATTTTTATGTTTGACCTAGTTTTTTTTAGACTTTAAATAATTAAAGTAAAATCATTTCAAGATTTTGTTCTTTATTTAAGAAAACCACACTTTTTACTTATTTTACAAATTTTTAACAAATTTATAGCGTATGAAAATAAACAAGTTTAATTTATGCAAATAGAAAGGAAGAGAACAAAAGAATAGGAAAATTTACAAGTTCTTTTAAAATCTATTATTTAGGCCTATATTTCTATATGTAAAGTAACTTCATTTACTATATAATTATTATTCATAATTTAATATATTTCCATTAAATAATTCGCGGAATATGGTTAAAGAAATGTATTTACGTAGTAATATCTATATCGATATTTGTAGCATATACGGCATATTACTTTTATATTATATGATATCATTTATGGCAAAACCAGCTGGTTGTATTCAAGCGGAAGTAGAATTGTAGCCTTAAATAAATTGTATTCTTTATAGACTTTAGTAAATTAGCTTTTTGTTTGATGTTAATAATTTCGAATATATTTTATATTGATTATGTTACTTTTAAAGCAGTTGTATTAAGGATATATGGGATTTTATAATTCCTTATTCATAACTTGTTTTTCTATATAGTTAATAGTTTATAAACGATAACTTTTTAAGAGTTTCTGAAGAGAAGAGGAAGCATTTTAGAAAGTAGAAAAAACCTTATGCCATTAACACAAAATGGAGAAATTCTTCTGTAACCAATGCAAAAACTATGGAGCGGACATTTCTTTATTCTCTATTCGTCAGTTTCCAAGAAATGTATGAAATAGCTATTTATTGTTAACATTTAGATAAGAAACAATTCAACTAGAAAGAGTATTCTCGGAAGCAGTTTGAAATTGAATCCAATTTTCGGATACTATTGTAATAATTGTCAATTATCTAGTTCCAAAAGTTATTAACAAAGATACTTCGTACAGATATTAAGACATTAGATGCAATAATAATACTTTATTTAGTGATGATCACGTGAAAAATAACCTTCCATCGTATTGGAATTCAACTGGGACGAATTGAGAATTTTCTGAAAACTTTCCATTCTTGTAAATAGTTTATTCTTTGTTTAGAAAAGAAAAATACCTAAAGAAAAGAGAAACATTCCTATTTACGAATGAAAATTATTTATAAGAAATCGACTTTTGTTTTTTTCTCCCTTAGATTCTTCATACTGTTAATTAATATTATAATTTTCAATATATTTATTCAAACAGTTAAATAAAAAGAAATGCCAAGAAGTGAATTACTTTTCGATATTTAAGAGTAATAAAGCTTTTGTTGAAATTTCAATATGGTCTATTTCTTGTTTAACTGCAATCATATATTGAAAATATTTTTTATATTAGAAACATATGTTAAATAGACGTGTTTCGTTCAGTCGATATGTTGAATAAGATCTATGAAGTCACATTTTAGTTAAATGCCGGCTTCTTTGGCCATAACATCTGCAATAGTTGATAAAGTTCAAGTTATCTTTGTTTATTTATGAAAAATGATTCAATTAAAGCAGTTAGTTTGTCTGTTATCCTTAATTTCCTTGGCGCTTGTTGGTTATCTGTTCACTCATTTGGAATCTAGAATCTCTAAAAGACGAGCTAAAGAGTTTATATTTAGCGGAGAAACGAAAAAATTAAAATTTCAATCAATGAAAAATGGTGAATGGCAAACGTTGGAAAGGGGAGAAAACATCATCTACTTCCATAGGGCACTCTACGATTCGAGAAATTTCTCTAGATTTTCTACTCCGAGTATTACTATGTATGCCTTAAGTAATACAAGAGATCCTAGGGAAGTGAGCGGAGTTGTTTGTACCTATATCCTACGTAATCAAACGGTAACTGAAAAAGCCAAAGTTTTACTATTTACAACAGCATATAGATATAAAGAGACCCATCTACAGGAATACGTATTCAATTGTCCAGTGTCGAAAGTTTATCCTATCCCAACATATATTTTCCTAAAGAGAGATAATTCTACGGCTACTTTAAAAATTGAAATTCCCTATTCCGGTTCAAATGCAATAACCGTTTGTGTTCCATTCGTCTACGGTTCCATGGATAGATCAATGGTAACTGAATGGTTTGAATATCAAAGATATTTTGGTGTTGATGCAGTGGAATTGGCTGTTTGGCAAGTTTCCAACGACTTATTACAGATATTTAAATATTATGAAAGCATAAATTTTCTTACGTTAACTATTATTGATATACCTTACAAAATACAACTGGATCAGCCTAGTAATCCGTTACATCCTAGCAAAAAACCATTCTATCTAAAGGCTTTTATGCCAATACCTTTAAATGAATGCTATCTTATGAATTCATTAAGATCAAAATATGTTCTCTCCCTGGATTTCGATGAATTTATATTTACAAACTTAAATAAATATCCAAAATATACGGATCTCTTGAAAGCTTATGATACAAAACCAACTTTCGTTAATTTAATTGTTGGCAGGATAAAAGTTGATGTCACTTGTAAAGAAAATGAAAAGACCGAACATTTCATCTTTCAACATAAATATAGGCAGAGACTTTCGGAAATGAGATATTTAGATAATCCTAAATCTTTTGTTAATACAAAAAATTGTCCTTTTATAGGAAATCATTACTGCGTATGGCGATGGGAGAAGAGTCAAAAATACTATCCAAAAGCGAATAAAGTTGATGCTTTCGTTGCTCATTATAGAAAGCAGAAGACTTGCGGAAAAGAAGTAAATAAATACGTTAAAGATACAACAATCGACAGAATTGAAGGCAAATTAAGTGAACATTTTAATATTGTAAAACAATATTTCAAAACTAAAAGTTTATTATCATATTCCTAGGAAAACAAGCAAAAACATTAAAATAAAACCATATTAGTTTATTTAAAAACAAAGTGAAAAATCATCTTCATTTGTTAATAGAATCATAAAGAACGTTTGGAAATAGAGAAATATTGAAATTTATTGATTAGTTATTTAATATTGATAAACGAATAAGATAACCATCTCTCTTTAACTTACATATTTACGGATATTAACTAGATATATTCAACAATGACTATCTGAAACATCAATTCCAGATTCATTAAACGAGCTCTGGTCCCTTCGTCTATACTTTGATACTCTTATTTTCTTCCCTTATAATACTAGAAGATGTTGCCCTGCTACCTTCATCGTCTATGTTGATGGCGTGTTAGTGTCCAGTAAAAACTCGTAAGAGTTTATACATCATCCGCACATCATATTAGAGAATAGCCTTTTCTTCCGGGTGTATTAAAACCTAAGTTAAATAATTTATGCTAGAGAGATTGCTATTGTCCCTCTATGGAAATAATCAAGCTTTATCTTAATAAAGATGGACCACACAATTTAGATATCAATTGCCTCAAATAGTCATTTTGTTCCATCAATCTACAAAAAAGAAAATGATGGTTGACCTATACGTTATTGGTTTTCTTCTAGAATCATAAATAAGAAGCTTATTTTCCTTAATAGAGAATTATGACTTTCAAAGTCAAAGACACCAAGTTCTATTCTTATTACAATGAAAAGATATAGAAAAGTGTATATTATATATTTATAGTTAAAGTTACTATAAGTAGGACAGTGTCAGCTACCTTATATTATCTTATGTATTACTAATTTTAATCAGCACTTATGGTTCTTAATGCAAACAAAGCCTATAATTGAAGTCACATTTCAGCCTTTTCAAGGAGATTTAATACTTTATTTTTCATTCTTAAAAGTCTATCTGAAACTCGGTTGATTTTTTCCGATACAACATTAAATTATCTTATTAAACAACTATGGAAAGTATTAGATTACCTTATAGCTATTTTACTAAAGAGGAGTCATGCTTTTTGGCAATAGATGCAGGTGTTTATATTTATAGATATACATAAATATGTTTATCTCTTCGTTTCTAACAACCTTCCTTAACATGTAGGTTGTTCATTAACCAAACTTGCATATGTGAATAAAAATGATTGGAATGATGGAATAAGCAATCAAAAGGTTTTTATATCTTTTCAATTATTATTTTACATAATTTTTTCATTATTCTTCTTTATTTTATAGAATAAACCGGATTTCGTCAATGTGACACTCAAAGTGTACGATTCAAGTGAAGATCCAATGAATATTATTCAAGATGTAGAAAAGATTATTGCTAAAGGATCGTGTATTAATTTATGCGGAACAATGCTGTCCAAATTTTTAGCTCCAGTTGAAAAATTTCTAAATATACGGTCGCTTATTGATTTACAATTATAAAAACTTATTTATAAACAACTTCTATTTTTTAATAGATGTGTTACTATATCTGAATTTGATTCGATTGGATCAGCGTTTGCAGCTTTAAAAGATGAAAAAGATATCTTCGAACATAATGACAAGGATGTGATTGAGGACGCTCAACGACACTTGATTCCAATGATACTTGCTTTAGCTCCTTTCGGATCGTATCATTTGAATAATTGGGATGAAAATAGCGAATCCAAGACCATTGAGTTACCTTGCATGGTAGCAACTATTGGAGCTAGTTGTCTGTACTTTAAAGTAATATTTCTCGCCATTATCTTCATCTATTTAATATAATATTCAGTAATATACAGTTATCTTTATAGTTAGATAGTGAAGGCGAAATAACTCCAGTAGACGGTAGTATGTTTGCTGGTTCAACTCTACTCGGTCTCGGATCATTATTAACTGGTTGTAAGGTATAAAATCAGCAAATAGAACAAATATAAAAAAAAGACATTTTAAAAATAAATTCATTTATTATGTTTTTTTCCCAGTTTTAACTAACGAAACATTTTCTATATTTACTTTAAAAATAGAATTTCGAAGAATTAGTTCAATTAGCCGAAGCTGGTTCGAATAAAAGTCTAGATATTTTTAGCAGAGAATTAATATATAATTCTGGGGATTTTCAACAAGATTTTATGCCACCGGATTGGATCTCATACGCTTTTGGAAAAGCTAAAGGATGTAAAATAGGTAATCCTATTTTTATCTATGATAATCCTTGAAAATTCTTTTTTTTTATATTTTTTCTCTCAATTTCTTCTACTTCATTAGAAGATTTTAGCAAAGAAGATCTTGCAAATACATTAGTTAATAGCATTCTAATGAATATAACTCATACATGTCACATGTGCGCTCAAACTAACAATTTGACAAGAATTTATATTGTTGGAGGACTTTGCATGAGTAGATTAGTCAGAGATACAATAACTAGAGATATTGTATTACGTTGTGGTCTACGAAAAGGAAAGGTAGCTTTTGTTAAATATACAAATACATTTTTAATATTTATTTTTAATATAAAACTATTCCTCAGGCAAAAAAAATAGATGTTTTCTTCCTTAAACAAGCCGTTTACTTCCAAGCAATTGGAAATCTTTTGTATAACGATTGCATTGAAAATGAAGCAAATCAGACTAATAATGACGCTGAATAATTTCTCCTATATTTTCTTCATTCTCTCCTCTTCCACCTCCTCTCTTTCCAGTATGATCGAAAAGAAGAAAATCCCATTAATTCTTAATAATTTAGAATATTTTCAATGAATATTTATGCTATCGATCCTTTTGCATAATTAATAAAAGATGTATCGTCAACATGTACATTTCTATAGTATATAGGAGTAAACAACAGGTAATTTTTTGTCTGCACTAGTTTATGCAAATTAATTCCAATTAATAGATGGATTAAGCTAAGAGGGAATGTAACATTTATAAAGAAAGAGGAAGGAATAGAGAGAATAGGGAGGAGTTGGGTGACGTGACAGGGAGGATAGAGATAGAGGAAGGGAAAGTGAAAGAGATGTTAATTTAATAAAATAATATAAATTGTTAACAAAATTTAAATCGAATAGCCATTTCATCTAAAATAATTCATTAGGAAAGAAAGAAAAACAATACAGACTAAATAAGGAACACATGGCCTGTTTTATAGTTTAATATAGAAATATTTTTTATTGTTGCTTTTGAAAAATCATTAATTTTTAGTTAGTCAACTTTTACCAGATGTTTATAATTTTTTATTTCATTATTAAACGTTTCAGATTTACCATGGCTTTGATTCTGACCATAGGAATTGCTGCCGCTTGTGCAGTAGGGATTTGTGGAGTTTTTGGTGCATTCTACTGGATCTGCTTTAAAATTAGAGGAACTAATCATCGAGAGAAAGTTAAAGCTTTTGCTAAAGTAAACAACAGGACAAGTATAGCTTGAAATGAAGCTTTTAAAGATTATATCAACTATAACCAACTATTTGATTTAATTAAGTATATACAGTAAATGTTGTTAACATTTTCACTTTTCTAGAAAAATGTATGGTTAAGATTATCATATAACCACAATGCTCAGTTCTAAGCAGTATTTAATCAATTCGAAACAAATGGAACTATAAAATAAACTGTCAAGAAAAATTTTGAGGCGTCTATTTATTTATTTTTTTGAAGTTTGTACAACAAAATGATATTCTAATATAAGAAAATGTTTTCTTGTTTTGTTTCGATGCTATCGTCTTTCATTCTCACTGAAATTGTTATTCTGAAACCATCCGGAAAGAAACCTTTCGAGACACCTACATACTGGCACCTTCAACGTCTTCTCTTATAAACTTTCTCGATCTCTCGAAACACCATAACATTACAATCGTTTCGAGCCTGATGTAATGATGATTTTGTGCAACAGTAGGTGGCGCCTATAGTATCATCAGTTTCCTAACTACCTGATGTTCCAGAAACGTTAGTCGAAGTTTATCAACTAATGGTTTTCAGTTGAGAAAATGGAAAAGTTGTATTTTATATCTCTAACGAGATTAATTAATAAGTCTTTTCTCTATAATTTTCGCTTTTCGTATTTTTTCGGCCTATTTCCTGCTTTTTCGTGTACAAACAACTGATTTAATTTCAAAAACATTGTAAGCTGTTTTTTTCCCCTTTTTTTATGTATAAGTCGATGTGGGAAAGAAATAAAAGACAAGAAAAAAAATCTTACATGACTATAGAATAATAAATTAGAATCAAGATAAAGAATCAAAATTTTTAATACAAACAAAATCTGTACTCTCTTTATAAGTAAAAACAATATGTGTAGGCTTATGTCAAAAAAGAAAAAGAGAAGGAAATAAAACGACACTGGAGAATTTAGATGAGGCATTTTAAGAAAAAAAACTACTTAAAAAGAATAAAATCATAATAAAAAAAAGAAGTGAATGACTTAAAAAGCTCTTTTAAGATTAAGTAAAACAAAAACAAAACAAGAGAGAGAAATTGGCTAACTTATAGAAGAAAAAAATAGATAAGTCGGCAGAAAGAGAGAGAGAGAGGAAGAGTAGCAGCAGGAGAGTGGGAAAGATAGGGATGGAAAAAGAGAGGAAAGAGCCAAAAGACTGAATCCTATATAAATGATAAAGGCTCTAACAATTAACGGAACTTTCGCATCTTTCTTCCTTTCCCAACCCCAGCCCCCTCTCGCTCTCCTTTTTTCAGGTCTGTCTTACTCAAATACACCCACACACACACATATATATACATATGTATATATATGCTTTCTTTCTTTCTCTCTCTCTCTCTCTCTCTCTCTCTTTCTTCTATCTTCTTTTCTCTTTCTCTCCATCAATCCTCACTAACATTCGATAATCCAAATGCGATTCGATCCATTTTCGCTGCAAACTATTCTTGTTTGTTCTTTATCTAATAATCTGATAAAAAATGGTTTAAAACCAAGATGTAAATCATCTATTTGCTGCCATTCGTCTGAAAACAGTTCAATTTTTAATCTATCGCTACATCCCAATAGTATTCCCTCGCTAGTTGAATATATACTAGAGGGAGGTGTTTGAGAATGGAATCTCCTTCCTGGGAGTCCACTGCTTATATCCAGAGATTCAACTTGTTTGTTACAATTGTCGATTAGATATAGCCATTTCTCTGTGGGACTAATAGAGAAAGGATTTCTAAAATTACATCTGGAATGCCAAAGTATTGCTTGACTTGAATCAAAGCAGTACACCACGTAAGGGCAACTGACAAATAATTTTTTGTTGGAGGATGCTATAGCTAGAGGCTTTTCTACGGATACCCACAAAGAAAAGCTTGGTTGCCCATTAGATGTCCTCAAAATTCTACTTCCGGTATAGTCGGAAACAAATAGGTCATCGTCTTCTTCGCAGACACAAGTCTTAGCTGTGTTCATCCATATAACGTCTCTAATAAATTGTCCATCCTTGGAATATTTACTAATTAAACTCTGACCCTGAGGGTGTATTCTAACTATTCTTGAAACAAAGATGGCATTCTTTCCTACAAAGATATCTTGTACTCTAACACATTCAGTGACGAATGAGGTCATCTTTGGTGGTTTTTTAAACGGTTTTACTATCAATTAAGAAAGAAAATAATTTAAAATTCCAATATTCGTTTTAATAGAAAATTCGCCGAAACGTACCTTTCATAACTTTACCTATAGATACAAAATTTTCTGGTCTAAACCAGCAAGAATCTGGTATTATTCTTGATTTAAACAAACTTCTCACGTTAGACCTTAATGTCTCAGCTTCATTTTCAATCTGTAATTTGACTTTTTGCAATTGTAAATCTATTTGCTTTAAAACAACTTCTTCTTCTTCGTGAATTAGTCTAACTCTATCTGTACCTTCTTCCTCGTAAATTTTCAACTTTCGGGCATTCTTAAGTGTTCTATTGGAAGTAAGAGCGTCTACCCCACCTGGTAAAACCTTTGAACGAAATCTACACGTCGGACAAGCCAGAGTTTCTTTACCCACCGCTGCTATCATACTCTGCAAACAATTTCTGCAGAAAGTGTGACCACACTCCAATTGTTTCGGGTCGTTTTCGTACCATGATTTTAAACAAATTGTACATTCTGTAAATTCTTCAGAAATTGTTATGAGTGTTTGTGCCATGGTGGGCAATGGGGCTGAAACTGACACGGGATAGTTACTTAATTTGAGTTATACTTATTATTGTATTATAGGCCTAATGAGTCTCCAAGAGTTAATTACTGTTCTTTTTTATGTTTAGCAGAGTAATAAGGTTAATAAATGTCGGAGAAAAGTTTCCTTTCTTTTCTTTTGTTTATGTAATAAAATTACCCTTTCTATCATTCTCTGTTAAATTCATTAATTAGAGTATCTAAAAGTAATAACGAAGTATAGATGAATAAAGAAAAAATGTCGATTTAATGCCTTGTATTGATATAGATAGAATAATCATGCAGAGATATCTACAAGAAAACAAGGCTATAACAAAAAAATTATTGCAAAAATTAGGAAAAAATTTTGATTGGTTGAACTCTAAAAGTTTCAAGGGAACGTTGTCGGTTGTGCTCTTTCTTAAATTATTGTATAGTTTGTCACCTCTACCATAATTGTACTTTTTCAAAGTTTGACTCCTTCCTCGTCTCCCAATATTTTCCATTAAATGAATAGCTATCCTGCCCTTCACTTTTTTGGAACCATTTCGGTTTATACGTGATATTATCCATTTCCCTTTGCTTCCTGCGTTCTCGTTGCAATTGTTCTAATCTAATTTTCTCACTTTCAGCATCTGATATTCTTCCTTCTTCCAGAGCTCTTTGGTCTGGTCTAAATCTTGTGTCCGTCGGCGCATAATTTGAATCGTGCACTTTTTCAATTTCATTCAGTTCAATGGCAAATCTTGAAAAATTGAAATAATGAGTCGAATCCTCAGGTAAAGTTCCAGGACGCCATATACAACGAGCAGAAGGTGCTTTTCCACAATAAATTCCTTCATTCCATTTTCCAAATATTTCTTGAACAACTTCACCGTTTTCATTATGAATTGAGCCTACAACTTGGTGCCTTTTGTCTTGCCAGAGACCACCCTTAAAGTTGAAGTATAAATATATTATATTGTATCTATCTACACTATTAAGTTATGTATACTTTTTTAAAGAATTTAATTTTAGCATGAACGCCAGTTGTTGAAGAAATGTGAATAACTCCTTCGTGTTCAATCCAACATTCACCCATTAAGATATTATGAATACAAGTTTTAACTTTATTCCATTTATAATGGTCCTTAAATCTATAAGAGAAGTAAAAATATAAGCATATAGTATGTTAAACATTAGACTAAAATGATATCCTTTTAATGAACGTTTTATTGATCTTTAAATTTTAATACATACTTTGGTATAATTAGATTTATCAAGCCAGTAGGTTCTACCTCGCAAGAGCGGCCATAAAGTTTCATTTTAACGCAAACATCTTTAATAATGCAAATATGTATATATATATTTAAAATTTTATTGACCACTAAACGAAAGATAATTTTTACCTAGCCAATAAATAAAATTCTTTGAGGTGCAATGAGCTGCTGATATAGGTGGATGGTGGCTGACCTGTTATGAAAAGATTTCCGTTTTATCATAAGCTATTATTCGTAATTGTTCTTTTTAAAAAAGGGATGGGAAGTCTCTAGTGAAAAGTACTCTTCTTACATTTATGAACAAAATAAAAAGATCGTCTTGGTTCGAACTTTCATCATTTGAGATATATTAGAAAATGTAAAGGATGTTTTTTAAACATACTTATAATCAATATAATGCTTTAAAGAGAGAAGAATAATGAACCGACTGATTTAGGTACTTGTTTATAGACAATTATTAACGCGATAATATACTGTATAACTAAGTAACTCTGAACTTATAAGAACGGTTGTGCATCTTGAAATATAAAAGAAACAATAGTCTGATCAATACTATCAGAGACTTCATAGCCTATATAGTATAAGAAAACCATTGTTTATTATATACATCTGCAGTAAAATCGAAAAAGGAATTTAAAAGGTCATTTCGTACTTGCGAACAAATTACCTATTTTCAATGTTATAAACAGCATTCGAGTAAAAATAGTTCCGTTAGATGTGTCATTTTATAAAAAAATTTTATATACGTGCTACTTATGTATTAATCTTGTAAAATTGAAATATACATAGAGTAAGTGAGATCACGTTATATAACCGTAGTTTTTGTACATACCTGTTCAGAAATAAATTTCCAGCCCATGTCCTCTCTAACACATTCATAAGTCTCTCCTAATAATGGATTAAATGGCTTTTGTTTTGGTCTATGAAATGTATAAGCATAACAACTTATACTAAATGCAGCTACTAAGACCTGTAGGAGGGAATTGTTAAAGTTAAACAAAGAGAAAATTATTTCTTTTCGAAAGTATACCATTCTCTCAATTGGATCTTCGGTAGAAGCAGCTTTATCCAATAAATCAGAATATTCAAGTTCCTCACAAAGTCTCTGTTTAAATTAAGGAAAAAACAACATGACAATTGCTTGGAAAAATTCGATTAATCTATTTTACGTACTTGTAGAGCTCCAAGTGGTTCGTTTAAAGTAATTGGCATAGAAATCTTAGACAGATCTCTGCCCATATTATTTCTTAAGATGCCCCATATATTAGCCCCAGTAAATGTCTGCCTAACAGGTAACTTAGTTCTTCTTCCCGTGCCATGATTAGGTAAGTCATCATCAACTAGAAATTCAAAGCAAGTTTTTTATAATAGTAATAATTGGAAATTCTAAGCTCTTACCATCCAAGCCCATTCTAGTTGCGGCATCTTCATCATCAGACTCTGTTCCTTCTTCTTCTGTATCATCTGATGATTCTGCTGATGATTCTCTCAGAGATTCTTGAGCATCGTAGAACTCTGCCAATGATGTTGAATCCAATGACATTGAACCAGTCAAAATTTTTGTTTGCTACACGAATATTTGATAAACGTTTCAGTATTTGTATAAGAAAGGAAGAATAAGGGAGAAAAATCAATGAACTTACTCTGTCAAGGGTAGATACTCTTGGTTTGAATTTATCAGCATCGATACTAGCTTCAGCTTGTATTCTTGATAATTTTAAAGTTAGCTCTTCATTTAAAGCAGTACTCTATTTGTTTAAAAACGTAGAATTCAATGAAAAATTCAGATAACTAATAATTTTCATCTGAGAAGTAACACTTACTTCATTGAGAGCTTGTTTCAGGGATGTTATCATTTGATTGTTTGATTCCATTGTAAGATTCTCATCGTTCTCTAGAGCAACCTTTAATTTTTCCTTTTCTTGACCAAGCCTCTTGAACAAAGAATTGAGCGAATCGTGAACTGTAAAAATACATACGTATCAAGGAATAGTCTATAATTGTTTTTGAAGTACATCGCCAGATGTAAAGAGAAAGAAACATACTGCATAATAACATTAGCGTAAAATCTCTTATTAAGACTAATATCAATTTATTTTCGATTGAATATATATATACATGTGGAGTATCTAACTGTAAAAATGAACTAAACTGAGTCTACGTACTTTTACTAAGCTCGTAAACACAAAATATGGTTCGATAATTCTTAAAATAGCAAAACTATACATTCTATAAAAATATAGAAAATTCCCAAGGTAATTCCAAACAGAGCAACAGATATTTTAAAAATATCATAAGTAAACTTAAAAGTTAATGATGCATTAAAAAAAATTCATTTACCCTTAAATTAAATTAACAATGGAAATTTCTTAGGAAATTTCATTAAGAATTCAACTAAAGTAAAATAAATAGGAGATGTTTAATCAACTCACCAGCTTTGGCAATAGTTAGGAAATCCTCTTTAAATTTTAGCTCTTCAATATTTCGATCACCGAAAGCTGCAGGAGATGGAGTTTGCGGAAATGACATAGGCCTATTTTTCTTTCCATTTGCAGCTAACTCTGATAGGTTGGGATTAGAACTACTTAAAAGCGATGCAGAACCAGTTGATGAGGTGTGTAGACTTCCCTGTAAATAGTTTTCCGAAAAAGAAAATTTAGTGTACTTGATTCAAATACATATTTTTCTTTCTTTTATTATACAACGTCTTAGGAATGACTTTATTTAACCGTCAATAGATTCAAAGCACGTATGATAAATTTAATAATAAAAAGTTCATCATAAATAATCGAGACTAATAATTAAATAGAAAATATTTTAATATGAAGATTAAGCAAATATGTCATTCCCTTATTTGATTTGAATAAGTTTGTTACATTAAAACTATTTAAAACATTATTTAAAAAGAATGAAAGAGGTGGAAAGAATGAAAGAGCATACCGAAGAAGATGGACTCTCTTTTTTCTTCTTTTTGAACGCAATTCTTTTGGATTTTGTACTTGGATTGGGTGATGGTGAAATTTGCTGTGCTATTTCGCCATTACCATCGTTATACTTGAAAAGTGAGATGAAAAAATAGATAGAGGTTCAGTTATTAGTATTAGAATCTAAAAAAAAGTCTCTTTACTTCTTTAATATTTACAATAGTTCATATAAAAAATTTAATAAAATTAAAGATGAAACAGCCATCTAGATTTAGTCCGAAGCATACATACTTTAACCACGTATTCAATGCTTAGATGTACAATAAAATAATTTAAACGAAGCAATTTAGCCCTAAAATTAGTTAGGTTAGTCTGAACTTCCGATTCCGCCGGGTATATTTTTACTGTATAATTTCCTTTAGCTATCTCGTACTGTGTTGGTTTAATTACATTTTATTACTTGCATGGTCTAGTAAATAAAACTATTGTACTATTCTTCAGTGAAGCTACTATAATGAAATGGATAGAAAAATTTCATGCAATTAACCTATTGTAATTTATAAATAAAGCGTATTCTTTTATATGATTATCAGAAACTTCAGTCGCTTGTGTAATAACAAATGTTATATAATATACAGTATACTATATAAAATTGCTACAAACTATATAAAGGTGGCTGAATAAAACAGAGATGAAAGAGACTTATTTATGTTCGATTTCGTTAAAGTTACAATATTTAACAAATCAACAAGTTTAAATTTTAATCATTCGTTAATACAATGGCAACTAAAAGTAGTATTTCAATCCAATCACTACAGAGTATACTTACATTCTCCTCGAGGAAATTTTCTGTTTCGCTGGACTGATGAAGTCGCTCCAAAATTTGCCCTAATTCGTGGATTTGATTGTTAGCATTCTTTAGATCTGTTATTGACAAAAAGAAAAAGTATATTTTTTTTCACAGAAAAGTGAACAGTTCTCATTCGAACTCATTTTCATTAATACAATTAAAAGATTACGTATTAACTTTTATTTGTCATGTATAAATATTTGCTGCTATGTTTATTTTTAAGAGGCCTCTTACCAAAATAAGTGCCAAAACTTATTGGTATCTATTCGATAAGGTAGAATAAATATATTCTTTACTCTGTATTATTACCAGTGCAAAAACTGATAGTATTAGTATATTATTTTATATAGAAAAAGCTATGATTATCAGATTATTTACCCTAGAGCAAGTTCGTGTAACGTGCTTCAGATAGCAACAACGAGAAAAGAATATCTATATTTATGTGTCATATGTTATTGATATAGATATTTTCCCTTGAAAGCTGCTAAAAACGTATTAAAAAAATCCTGCACTGATGGTAGTGATATTATGTATACGGTTTGTTTTATGTGAGGTTTCAATATTTCTTGTATAAGAAAAAGACATCAAAAATTGAGTTATATCTCCTTCATTGTGCTGTTTTATAATGTTTAGACATACATTGTTATAACGAATATATATATACTGTATATATACTGTGTATATTTAAACGTAAGGCTATATTTTATTGGGATAAACATACCTCCATTACACATCTCCATTCCGCTATCTTCAGCAAGCCAGGCGTATCCCACTTGGCTTTTGTCGACCATACTAACTTTTCTTTTTAAGCTACTTCTTGTTGAAGCTGTTGAAGAAAGAAAGTATATGAATGTATCATTCATTAATATTAGACAAATATTAACCAAGAGGAGATGTAATTGGTGTAAGCTCCCTAGACACATCTTTTTGAAGGATATTTTGCCTAAAAAGCCTATGTTCCAATAAGGCCTTTATCCAGTAGTCAAAAGATTTTGGATTCTTTTCCTAAAATTAATAGAAACTTTAATTTTGCACACATAAAAGACATAAGAAACGTAGGGATTATTTTTTTAGTAAGACTTATTTATGATCTGTATCGCACTCTAAATACTTTATATTGAAAATATTGTAGTATGTATCGTATCATTAAGAAAAATTTAAAGTATTCAGACTAAAGCTTTCTGAAAGCATTCAAAGAGTGTTATTTGTTCTTATAATTAGACGTTAGGAACGTCACTAAAGTCAGGACATCAATAGTATTAAGAGGGTCTTTCGGGATGTTAGTATAAAAAAATTCCATGCTAAAGATAGATCAATAGAATAAATATTTCCCTCCCCTCTCCTTCATCAACAAAAGAAAATCCTTTCCTTTACGAAATCCCAAATTAGGTTTAATAATAATAAAGTCATGTAATATTGAAAATTCTCACCTCACACTGAAAAATTTGTTAAAGAGGAAAAGTACTTCTAATTGGCTTATAATTGCAATAGATTTCGAATATTAACAAACCTTAAGATGAAATATAAAACTCCCGTTGTCAATATGTATTCTACGGCTGGAAGGTTTATACGTGATGCATGAGAAACCTACATCCGCCTCTCCGTGTAATTTATGCTTGTCGATCTGAAAATAAGGACAGTTTAGTTTAAAAGAAAAATACTCATATGAAAATTGTATATTCTATATATTCAATTAAATTTGAAGCTAAATTTGCCATATTTTAAAAATAGTATGTAATCTATTTTTATATATATAAATACTCTGCTAAATAACATACTTTTTAAGATTTTAACATTTGTAATAAAACTCTAATAATGCCGGCATGACAAATTTGAGTATATAATTTTACATCTATAGATAAATGCAGAGTAATACAAATATGATCAATTTAGTATATTTTTTATCTGATGTTAAAGAAGGCAAAATAGAATGCGACAAGAATCCTCTTTGATCAGAGAAATATCAAAAAATAAACGTGGCGATATATAGATTGAAAGTAATGAATAAAGAGGAGAAATATTAAATGGAATAAAGGTATAATTAATAGAAATAGAGAGAGTTTATTAAAATTCTTTTGTCAGTTTAAGTAGAGAGATTTTTCTATTCTTTATAAACTATAAGTTAAATAGAATAAAATTAGAAGAATTTAGGAATGGTGAATTCTTTTTTTAATATGAAAAAAACCATCTTAAGTAAATTTAAGTTAAACCTAAACCGCATATTGATCACAACTAGAGAGAAACTTACATCATTAGGAGTTCGGGCGTATATAAGTATCCCATTTTCCAGAACAAAATATCTCTTATGCCACCCTTTCATTGGCCATTTTCTTCTTTTCATCAAATATCCATCGTGCTTCAGAGGAGTTCGGTCATATTTTACTCCTTCTGCAAGATCCTCCATCATCTACACCATACATAAAAAATTGATTATTAAACTTATAGAAAATTTATTGACTATCTGAGCTAATAATAAAATATTACAAGCCATTCTTTTCCAGACACTTTGTCACTCTTAGAAGGAACGGAACTCGACAATCTATTAGACGGATCATTATCGCCACTGTCATCGTCACTATAATCCTATATAAATAAGAAAGTATTGTGATGAGAAGTTGAAAAAATATTAAAACAATAATCTAAAAGTAAGCAACTTATATTCTAACACATATTTTAATATATTATAGAATTGATAGCAGAGTTATTTAGCTAATTATTTTTAATGACAGACCGAACAAATTACCATTTTGTAACTATTCGCATTAGAGTTAACTAGAGAAAACGATGTGCTAAGAATAAGACATTTCTCCCTAAAATTTTTAACCTTTCATCATGTTTATGAAATTTCAATTAACATTCACATGGCTAAAGATATATTTTGCTCTCTTTTACCCTGGCTTTTTCATAGGATGAAAACTATTCATCAATAAAGCTAATACATTATCTTTTTGTAAATATTAGCAGAGAAAATGATATTAAAACCATCCTATAAAACTTCATTACAACCATAAACGTTTAGAGAGGCATTTAATATTTTATGCAAAATTACCAATACATTAAAATAGTTTAACTCTTGAAACAAAAATATCATTTCAGAGTCCCGTAACTAGAATGTAAAACAGATTTTTAAGCTCATTTCACAAACGATAAGCTTCACAATTTATTGACCTTTTTAGCCGCACTACTTTAAAAAGTCTTTTCTTTTATATACAGTTTTATTCAAAAAAAAGTAACAGTTGGAATACAAAAAAACATATTGAAAGAGCTGATCGAAGTAAAATAAGGACCTATCTATTATTTTTAACTTTAAATATATACTAATATCAAAAAGATACTCATAGAATAAATGTACCACTGTATGTACAATTAGCAATGCATTATGTATTGCATATAAATATATCCATAAAGCAGATATATGCAACATATATATATATATTTATAATATACACAAGCAAATATATCATACATCTATATATTTATAATATATACAAGTATACATACACTAGATAATACTACAAGTTGAATAGTTATTGTCAAATGGAATAAATATTAAGACCTAACGGTGAAAAAATCGGATCATGTACACCTAAATTTTAAATATCATACTATAAACTAAAACCTTGTACTGGCTTACGAAATCACAAAGTAAAGTAAAACTCGATAATTAATCGAAAGGGCGTCCTATTTATTGGCCGAGAATGTACAAAATGTAGGCATGGAAACAGTAAATTGAATATCGCACGATCTCATTTCATGCTAATCAGAACAGCAGACGGGTTTGACACCAAAATTTTCTAGTAAAGATACGAAGCAATATTTATTAAGAGCAAGAAATCGAATATAAACAGCATTCAAGCATGTAATCTAGAGTTCATTTAAATTAATCAATTTTTTTCATCCTATAGCATTAAGAGAAAAAAGAGTACATCGTACTTGTAATAACATCAAATCTTCGAAACATTATTAAAGAAGGAGCGACGATCATGATATTAATAAGACATTTGAATAACAATAACTCAATATGTCTAAACAGAACTCTATTTGTCAATAATAAATGGCGTTTAATATATTGAATTTATCTTAATGAAATGTTTACAAGAGATATAACTGAAGAAAATTAGTTGACTCTCCTACCTTTTCTCGACTTATAGCTCTTTGAAATTTTTGTTTAATAGTAGTATTTTTTGTAGAGATTTTTTCTTGATCACTTTGAAAATCATCACTACTAATTGACCAAGTAAATTTGCCATTTTCCTGACGAGACGTGTCTTGACGATATATAGGTCCGCTAAAACTTGATGATTTACGATGTTTTTTCAAGAGAATCTTCTTGTGCTGCTGTTGTTTTTTATCCGACATGGGCATATTTCAATACGGAATAGAAAAGTGTTCAAGATTTTTCAATGAGATCTCGCTCCAAATCGATTGACCATAAACTGGTCCGAAAAGAGAAATATTGTGGTGAATATCATTCGGTTCCTTCGAGTGATACACCCACAATATATATGCATGTGCAAAAAAAATATGGCCGAAGAAGTAGGCCTAAAGTAGCACTAAATATTTAGATGAAGGTAAAGAGACACGCCTTAAGCCTATAGCGAAATAGTTCATGGTTCAATAAACAAACTAAGAATCGTTCTGCTAAATAGCGTTCTCTCTCTACAATTGAAAAAGTCTATCTTACATATTTATATGCATGGACACTGTAAAGCTTCAATACTAAACTGTAGCAAAAAGTAAATTTATAATAAAAAATAATCAAAAAAAAACACACAAAGGCTCCAAATATTATCTAAGATACATTGATTTTTTATGAACTCTTTAATAGTATAGGTGGCGTTCTCTAGCGCACAACTTGACAAGAGAAAATTTCTATTTCGGTTAAATGAAAATCACTGGATAGTGTAAAATATTTATAATTTGTAAACAACAAGATCAATAAGTATATTAAAATCTCTTTAATTCCCAGGTTGTCTTGAACGGAATCAGACTACTTCTGATATATTAGACATTTCAAAGATACCAGAAAGTTAAATTAATATTTAAACATATTATGTACACTTCAGCCGACATAAAAGTACGTGTAAAACGTATGAAAATGTATACCTTTCTTAAATATGAAACATGTGTCTTCCATATTCACATAGTTTTTTTACCGGCACCACCCAATGACTAAATATTTACACCATGGTATTCAACCTATGTTATACTTCCATTATACATATATTATATATATAACAATATATCTATGTTTATGTTTATGTATTTATTAGGTTATTTAGAGCAACAGGACCATTCCAATAAAGGAATTTTCTAAATAAGAATGGAAGACTTTTTAAATTGTTGACTGAACCAAAGCATAATTTTTGACTAATAAAGACATTCCTTTGAAAATAAAGGCAAAAGAAAACACGTATTCAATATTCACTTAAACAATACTTATCTTGGACAAAAAAAATCCTATCTATTTTTGTCCTCTTACGTAGATCGGGTAACAACTAATCTTATGACTAAAGCATTATTAAATGTTTATATATTACAACAAAATAAGGTAATCAGACGACTAAATGAATTACAAATGATAAACATTCGATAACGGGAAAGAAATAGTCTATTAAAACTATAATATATTAATTTAATATTGAAATCGATTTCTGTAGCAGATTGTTGAATTTGAAAATTTGTATGTTTTTCTATATGTCTCTACTTCTTCCATGATTTCGTTGATAATGATGTTGAGGTTAACTTGGATTTAACTTAAGGCCTATCGCAGATTTATTTTCTACATATTAGGACTACTAAACAAAGCCAGCTTAATCACACTCTAAGTAGATGCTTTAAATGGTTTTTATAGCTTTATCAAAGACCTATAAAAATGGTCTTTCTATTTTGTTATGTTTTTATTTGAAGGAACACCTTAAAAATGATACAGTTAGATTTTGACACTTCCATCTATTAATTTCTAACTTGACACTATAATAGATGTAATAATATCAATTAAAACCGTAACATCTGCTAGGGATGTTACAACTTCAAGTAACTCGTCAAAATTATTAATATTTCGCGTAATATGCACAATTCTATATCTTACAACAAAAGATATACAATAAATTTATCACTATCCGAAGCATTTGAAAAAAATAATAATAAGAACATCATTAGAGAATAGAAGTAAAAATAGGATAGACAGATGGATAGATTGATAGAAAGATTGATTACAAAAACAGCAACAAAACAATTTTTCATTTTAATATTTAATTCTTAATAATCTAATCGTCATAAAGACAAAAGAAATATTTTGTAATTAAAAAATAATTTAGCTCTTTCTTGCTTCTAGTTAAGTTATTAATTTTTAATTTATATTTTTATTTGTCATTAAAAACAACTATTTCTCATTTATCTTAATTGAAAAGAAAAAAAAATAGAATATTAACACTTACAACATGCTTTTGTTTCTTTTGATTTACTGTGTCGATTTGAGACAAGCTTGATGACGTGTTTCTTCTTGTAGCAGCTGGTGAAGAGGAATGCTTAGTTTGTCCTTTATCCGATAGTTCTAAGGACATTGGTAGTTTTATCTGGAATGAAACACTGTCTATGAGAAGCCGTAAATAATGAAAAATTTCTCATCAAGAATAGGAAACCAGCTCTTACCAGAATAGCAGACCATATACCCGATAAGAGTAGGAATACTACATTATTAGTAATAATATGCTTATATTATGTGAGATATGAAAAAGTTAATTATGGTAGGGAACAATCACAGTAGAATATAATTTTCTTAAATACAAGTACTATCTCAAAAGTACAGTTTTTTCTCGCAATCTAAATAGTATTCATTATACATTACATCAACTTAATGTAATCATAATAAATCTATATAAACATTTACGTACTGGTTTATGTCGATTTTTATATTATTTCACATACCGCTTCAAACAGGAAAATGAAGTCATGATATGACGCAGGAAGAGTGCGGGCACGAGATAGTGACTGAACGAGAGAGAGTAGGAGCGGGAAGAAATAATACATTTATATGCACATATATTTAAGAAAAGTAACATACATCTATCACCGTGTTTTGCAATTGTAACAATAGGATTTTACCCTACATCTACTTTGTTAGAAATAGATTCTTTTTCATCAATACATAATGAAACTCCAAATGATTAGTAGAAGAGGTTATCACGATTGATAAGAATAGAAACAAATATATAAATATACCTATATTTATTTTTATCATGTGCTGAAATAAAACTGAAGAAAATGTGCAAGAACCAATGAATAATAAAATTTCTTGTGACAAATATGAGAAACGTTCTATTGTGTCTACTAACAATCATAGTATCTGTAAAAACTGTGCATAAACCGGCATGATATCGAAAATGTATACAAATTATGTTTACACAATCCAGAAAGGGAGAGGGGGAGTGAGTATGCGTACGTGCGTGCATGTACACAAGAAAGAGAGCGAGAGAGAGACGGAGGAAAAGGTGGTTGAATTCCAGTTCTATATTATTTAGCTTAATAGTCTCAATTTATTATTAGATAACTTAATAAGAATTATTAAAATGACCATCTCTAAGTAATAAAAGCTAACTTAGACTGATTATTCAAAATTAAAAGATAAAAGGAAAATCGTTTCAACTCCCACGTACTTGTAGAAGTGACTCATAAATAGAATATGTTCTGGAGGCGAAATAACCTACTGTTACATAAAACATAGTCAAATTTATTTAAATGTATTTGTTTTAAAGAAAAAAATATTGAATAGCTGAACTGTCTACTAAGAATAGGTTTAAAATAAGACATTATTCATAAAATACTACTATATACTTAATATACTGTAATATAAATATATAAGTTTTTAATGAAAGATATTACATAGATGATTTTGCTACTTTGCATACTCGTATATTCAGAAAGGGTATATTTATTTCATAAAGGCGTTTTCTCCCTCTTTTTTACCGTTCAATATTTTCCAGGTAAATTAAACAAAGTGTGTGACATTTAGAAACTATAGCTGTCTTAGATGTAATTTTTACTCAAATCATAGAGATAGAACTCAACTAGAATGTTCCAAAAAGAACAAAATATATACAATAAAATACTACTTATTTCTCTATGCCTTGTAACGATGATTTTTTAAAGTAAAATTAAAAGAAAAAGCTCTTAAGTGACATTAATAGATTTTATAATTATAGAATAAGAATATATAAATAAGTTTGATACCTTGGAATATTTTCCACCACGCATCCTTTACAATAAAAGAGGTAGAAATGAAATAATTTTGAAATGTATAGTTCTAAAGCTAAAGCAGTCAATAGTCAGTCAATGACTTTATACCTTATCATAAAACTGGTTAAATAAAATTATTTTTTCGAGATAAGGCAGGTTAAGGTTAATGATTAGGACTAAGTTTTCATAACAATATTAAAAATATATAACTTTGTTGTATTGAAGTTTGATAAGTAAGATGATATAGCACAGTGAAATATTGTGGGGCGAAGGTCGAATAACTACATCATATTAACAGAAAAATTTCTTAGCAAACCGTTATAAGTTACTGGTAAGGAATATCGAAAAAAACGAAGGTTAAGCCTAGAAATTTTTATCATATTTTATTTATTTTTAGTATTATAAAACTTTCTCTTCGACCAAAACTCGTATAGTCTGCTCTTTAAAACGGAATGAAAATAAATTCTTTAAGTCTTATGAATAAACTATGTCAAAAATATCAAACGAATGATCTAGAATCATCTAAGATTAACGAAATAACAACCAGAGTAATATTGTTAGAATGCTTTACCTTTTACTTGCAACTATCTGAACTTGATTAGGTAACTTGTTTCTCAATATTAGTTCAAATGTCATCAAGTTTTCTATTGCTGTAATTCTCATATTTTAATGGAAAAGGTTTGGTTAGGCTTTTCGTAACATTATTTTCGTAATTTGGAAAAAATTCGATATCTAAAGATATATTTGGGAAATTTTTTTCTTCAAATTTCCTTAATAACTGATTAAACAAGTGCTGATAATTTTGTTTCGATAATCGTTTTATTTATTTTTCTGTCAGTTTTAACGAATGCCGATAAGATTTATAATCGATTTAATTTATCACTTCGATATTTATGGTTAACCTAAATACTGGATAGTATTTATTAATCCAAAAATCTAAATATTCCCTATCAAATACTTGAAACTTACTTTGTTTTTTGATAATTTTGCTATTCGTCCCATTTTCTGTGCTATTTTCCTTTTTTAACATTTTATTTATGTAGCCTATAAAACTACTCGATAATTTTTTTTTAAAGCGTTATCAGATCGAATAGATAACTCGTACTTCGTAGATTTGTCGTTAGTTTTTCTTTAAGAGAGGTAAATTGAATAATATCTAATTAATCGTTGCGTTTTCTATTGATATGGACAACTTATCATTGGAAGTGGAAAGGATGTTTTTAAAGTGTTTAAACAGTATCAGAATTCTAAAAAGGATAAAAGTTAATTTCTAGAGTGTGTATGGTATATTGAATAAATAATGGTTTTAAATCTGTTTTTGCGTTATTTACAAAATTATGTTAAACTAATTCTGAAATATTCGAACAAATAAATAAAACTCGAGAGAATACCCGAATGAGATATTTGGGTGGCACAATAACAAACTCAATGCTTGAGTGGCAGTCGCTTTTAGTAGCACCGCTATTGTTGTTTTCGTAACTGTCATGGCGTCGGAAGGTAGAAAATTATGCTGAAATCTCGATTAAAGCAGCAAATAGTGCACATTTTTCATCGAAGTTGCGTTGAAATTTTAACCGAGTAAATCAACGTTCGATGGTGATGCATGCCGCGAAATATCCGCGGTTAGAAGTTGGGTAAGCCTCATTTAAACTTTTGCATTGGAACCCTCCGCCATTTTGGGAAAAATTTATCCCTTGAATTTTCTATTTTTATTGCTTAAAACACTCTTATAGCAATATATAAAATCATCTCTTTTTAACAGATATACTGGACATGTTGAGAAACCGCGGGCCCACCGATGCGATGTATGATTATATTGAAATAATTCATATTAAAATTTTAATATAAATAAGTCGCTTTTTTTACCTCCGCAGAATAACGATCGGTACGGTTCGGAGAAGTCGCACAATCGATTAGAAGCCTCTTACAAAGGAGAACTCGAAAAAAGTCCAAGATATCCTAGCAAAAGTCGAGATACTCGATCACATAAAGGTTGATTTCTTTTTTAAAATCTAAATAGGAATCAAATCAAAAAATAAGTTTTTTTAAGCATTAAAATGATCTAATCCAGATATTGTTTTTAATATTAATCGATTTGAATTATTATTTTACATTTAAATTGAAAAATAATAATATTTGTATGACTGATTAATTTTAAAGTCTTTAATTCCAAGCGTAAGCAAACTACCTGTTTTGTTATGTACTTATACAATCTAGCTTACAAATAACATTATAAAACTGTCTAATGGCAAACTGTAATTAAAACAATAATTTTAACTATGATTAAGACTTCTTAGAATTTTTTTTCGAGACAAGAGTAACATTGTGAGCTTACGATGTTTAAAAAAGTCAAATATATCTTTTTTTTATTTATTTTTTACTATAAGATACTGATATATTGTTTATTTTTAGGTGAAAGAAATAGAACAAATCATGTACATTCAAGAAACAGTGAAAAAACACGATCGGATAAGGAATCACAATTTCGGTCCAGAGACGAACCAGAGCCTGAAAAAAGAAGGGATGACCAACGACGAAAAATAAAAGACGATGTATGTTATTATTTTGCATAAATTAAGCCACAAAATATCATATATTTTTAAATTTCAGTCTAGAAGAGTTGCTATTCGTTATTGCGGTGACTGGACTGAGCAGAGAAGTAGCACAAGTAATAGGTAAGAAAACACTTTTTAGTTTATATATTTAGGGTTTAATTTAAATTTATTCCTATTTTTTAACAAAAAAGAATATACTACTTCAATACCGCTACTGAAGAATCACGTTGGGAGAAACCACCAGAGTGGGAGGATTCGTGAGTATACTACCTGTGAAATACAATAATTGCAATAGATTTAATATATCTATAGACGAGCCAAAGTTCCTGATCATTCCACATCTTCTTCTATGCCACATCGCCGACATAATTCACAATCATCAAATAGACCATGTGAGTAAAATTGAAAGAATAGTTTATTAAAATAATCCAAAAATAGAAATTAGTGCACCATTAAAGATAATTTGTTAGCTGCTTGCGAAAGGATATACAACACAAATAAATTTCAGTTGCACTATTATTAAAAACTGTACAATGGCTACAGATTTACCATTGGATATGAATGAAATATATAGAATTATTCCTAACACTGGTTTAAGTAGTTTAAGTTAATATTTTTTTTAATCATTAATTCTAATTGTTTGTTAGCTGTAAGCATTAATAGAAACAATTATTGTCTTTTCAAATAATTGCTATTGTAAGTATTGTAGATAATTGGCTTAAAATTTTTAAAATAACTCTTCTTATACAGATGAACGCCCATCATCCTCCGCATCTGCTAATCATCAGAAATCTTGGCATGAATCGTCTCGTGATACTCGCCATTCATCTACCAGACCTGCAGACTATCATCGGACAAGTAATGGACCCAGACGTCCCATTGATGATCGACATACTTCATCATCAAGGAGAGATTCGTCCTCCAAAGACGCTCGTCAGAACAATGAACGTTCCGGTAGTATTACTTCCTCCGGAAATCGAAAAGACAGGAGAGAAGAAGCTAGTCGAACCCAGGGTATGCTAATTTATAATTGTTTTTAAAGGATCCAATTCAAATTTACATCTCTTATGGATTAGTAACGGAAGTAAAAGATTTGGGTGAAGACATGGAAATCAGTCCAACATCATCCCCATGTTCATCAACTCATTCGTCGCCTTCAATAAAAGGAAAGCAAAATTCGAAAGGTTTGTAAATCTTCTTACAAATATTTGTATAAGGATTTTTTAATAAGTATATTTGGAAAACCCTGATATCCAAGCGAATGATTTAGATTTGACATCATTTGAAGTGAAATTAATGAAGATGAACAAAGCATCCTTTTATCAGTATGACGATAGAGATAGTGATAGACTTTCGGAGAAAAAGCTAGATACTGATTCTGAGTGTGAGATAGAAGCTGGGGAAATTGCTGATTCCCCACCAAAGTACAGTTATAGTTGGAATAAACCTACCGAGATAAAGATTACTGAAAAACACAAATTTGAGACAAGACAGCGTTCTTGTTTGAATTTAATTGACCCAAGGCTCATAAAATCACATACAAACGAAGAAGTCGGAAGAAGTTGGAACCAGTACAGACCGTTAACAAATAACAATTTCAGCTACCAGCAGTTTCAGAATGGTCGCCAATTATTTTGGCCAAAAGATATCCAAAGCAGAAACCATTCCGAGGAAGAAATTAGAAAAAAAAGAAGAGAAAAAAGTGAAAAAGATTATTTTCGTTAGTTATTAGGACTAAGTGAATTTTAGACATCCCTAGTCTCCCCCAGAAATCATTATAATCTTTTAGAAAAATTAATATCTGCTTAATTCAAGAATTTTCAAATGTTCACAGAAATTTATTAATTATGTATTTTTTATATTACAGCTATGGTTGAAGTTTTAAAAAACATACAAGAAGCATTAACCAAAAAATCAATTATTGGTAAAAAAATATGTCCAACCGATGGAGGGTCCAATGGTAGAATTCCTACTGCCAACAACGATGAAGATCCAGACGACGACTATGAGAGTCCAGAAGATGGTTCAGATCAAGATTCCCGAACGAGTAGTGTTCCACCAGAAACACCAGAAGACATGAATATTGTAGACAAGCTTAATAGGTAATGGATTTTTTTTATTTAATGATAGTGCTTTTTACGATTAAAAAAGATACTAATTGTTTGTTTTAAACAGTCAATTACCGCCGTCAACAGGCTCCTTATCCAAACTCAAACCACGATCAAGGGATACAGTGCCGACTCTTCCGCCCAGCTTAGCCGATTATTACGATGAATCCTTAATTGGACATGTAAAAAGTTGGCCATCCGAACTAGCCGAGACCGAAACTTGGAAGTTGGGAGGTGAATTGCTTCAATTAAAGGCCTCAAATAGCCAAGTGTCTGTCGATTTGAAACGATACCGTAGTGCGGTGAGACTCGCAAACGTTCAAGCAACGCTGAAAGAACAAAGGTAATTAGCTATTTGTTTTTCTTATTTTTTATTGCTTTTAGATTGAAGAATATAAAATAAATTAATTGAAAAATTTTTTTTATCCCAAATAGAATAATCTTTCTGCAAAAATTACAAAAGAATATTGAAGAGTCAAAACCGGCACGGCATTTTCAAGACGATTGCGTGTCTTAGCACATGTTACAAAATTCAGAAAGATGTGCTTGTGATTTGTACAAAAATGTTTTTGCCGGTTTATTTTTGTTTAATGTATTTTTTTTAAGTGTACAGGTTCCGTTTGTTTCTAAGATATGTATTTAGAACTATATCATATGCAATTTTTGAAAAAAAACTCTAGTAAAACATTCAAACAAGTAATTTATTTTTAAACCTTTTCAACACAGAATAATCATAAGTAAGAATTAATTAGTAGTTTATTTTTGGAGAAAAACCCAAAAACTTGCAAGATTTTTAAATGGAAATGTACTACCAATCATTTCATAATTTGTTGTTTTAAAAAGACCAATATCAAATGTATTTTTCTAATTCATTTCTGCTTGAAGCCATAAGGGCAGTTTATTGTAAAACCTTTTATGTTTCATTCTAATTAAATAGAAGTCGTTTACTTGATTTCGTACGAAAATTTACTAAAATCTTGTGTATGTTAAATCTTTATGATGAAACTATCCAAGGTATTACCTTTTTACACGATACTTTTTTTAAATTGGTATGCTTTTAATAACATTTTAATTTAGAAATAAAGTCCCAGAAATATTAACTGTATTCCGAAAAGTCCATAATCGATAAAACTTTTGTACAATATATAATAGATGCTCAAAATATCTAAAACAACAAATGCCAAAATTTAACGAGAAAAAACAACGGAGCTGTACACAAGTGACAAAGGGCGATAAAAATTCAACTGAATAAATTAAGCGATCTTTAATTTAATACCATAATTAACGATAGAGCCTAAGATAACAATTTTTTTTCTTTTCTTTACCTGAAATGGTAATTAGGGACATTATGGATTTTGTTAATATTGGAATGTTGCTTCATTCCTCAACGTTTTGAACATTATCTTCATTGTCAGAATCGGCGCTCATGTTATCATTATCATCGTCTTCCATTAAACTGGAAAATTTATTTGTATCTCTAAAGTCCTGTTGAAAGTGAAATAAAGTTTAGTTTTATCTCTTAAACAGATAGGATAAATCAAGTTAAAAAAACTGTTTATTTACCTTTGCCTTGCTTTCTTCGTACTTTGGCATATCCTCTACAGATTTAGGAAGAGACTTTTCGGGTTTTCTATTTGTTGTTTTTGAACGTAAACAAGATATTTTTTCAATAAGATTATAACTTACTTTTGTCTATCAGTTTTACCGCCAGGACCGCCTGGAGCTCCTCTCTTGTCTCTTTTAGCCCCGCGGCCACCTTTCACAGGGGGTCTTGCTTGATTTTTAAGTCCTTCTTTAGGAGGAAACGACTGGTCATCAATAGGTTGCTTTCCTCTTCCAGATGAACCCTGGTGTTAATATTAAATTTGTAATTTAAATTTCGTAAGATAATAGTTGACGGCTATGAAAAATAGAATTTATTGTACCTTTCTTGCTGAGGGAGTAGTTGAAGATTTGTTTCTTCTTGAGGGAGACTGTTCATCAGATGTCGGTGGTCTAGATAAACTTTCTTTTCTTTCGACTGTTGAGTCAGAAATGGTTGTCTGAACTCCTGTTACTACGGAGACCTCAACTTGCTTTCTTCTTTGAGTCCAAGCGTTCTCCTTAGGAGCTGGAGCCGGGACTATTTGACGCTTTTGATCTGGAGACGATTCTAGTGCACCTGCATCTTTATCTTTTGTATGCTCAAAAACCTGAAATTCATTTTTCAAGAATAATTAAATGTCATATAAGTAATTATTTTCACACGTACATCATTCTCTCCTTCAGAGACACTATTTACTCTAGAATTCGAGGGTGGAGCTCCTGCAAAATTGAAACAACTTTAACAAAGGCAAAAATATATATAAATTCCAACATTCATAGCAACGGTAACTAAAATAATAATGAAAATAGAATAAAATGATTCATTCGAAAACAAGAAATACACCTAATAAAGAGAAAAAAGCTAAATGTATTGGTCCAATTTGAAATGATTTAAAAGATAAGAGAACTAATTTCTACGAAATGCAATCAACTACTCCACCAGTCAGGATGTTTGAAATTTAAGATGTATATATATATATATATATATATATATATATATATATATAAGTATTTAAGTCTTATTGTCGGTCAAAAGTCAGAATTTCACATCATTAGATACAAATCTATTGAGAAAACACATTCGAAAGTTGCGATATTGAAACAGTTTAACTCAATTAATTAAACTACAACTCTTTTCACAAACTGCCAACTTTTTAAAATAATCTAGTATAATAAAGTATTAGTAGAATCTGACTACCAAAAATTCCTTACTTTAAAAGGAAATTAATTAATTCTCTTGAAAAATGAAAGATCACAACGGATACAATCTAAAGCTAAGTATTCTGTATCCAAATTAATTTGAACAACATAAAACATTCCAGGAACGGGGTGACAAACAAACGGGACCTTAAATCTCGAATCTTACCAGGAGCAGTATCAGTCTCAGATATCACGGAGCTAATACTACTGCCATGCTTAGCGGCACCGCAAAGGGATGATGTTGATGAGGTAGGTCGACGCAGTATTGCGCGAACTCTCATATCGCTACCGCTCCCTGTTATTTTTTTGTCAAACGCGGAATAATTGATAAGAAATTTTAAGAAATGATTTACTTAAGTTAAAATTTAGTGAGAGGCGGATGTGGAAATATTTTACTAGCAATTAAGAAAAGAAAATAAACCTGGTCTAGACCCTCCTCTACTGGATCCAGAAGAGAATCGTCTTTCACGACGTCCATTTGAATCTCGTCTTTCATTACTTCTTCTGATTCCCTCTTTTGCTTCCTGTAATCACGAAAAAGAATTATAATTTGACAATAAAATACTGGTAGACTGTAGTTAATGTAGCTCGATATACTATTACCTGCTGCTCTCTTTCTCGAACAAGTTTATCTTCTATTTCACGTTCCTTAGCAGCTGTATCAACAGGTTTGGCTTCACCGAATATTGAAGAAGGTCTTGTTACTTCCGTTGGTGTTTCAGTTGATTTTGTGCGTGGTTGAAGTTTTAAGCGTGGTCGTTCAGCAGCTGTTAGAGCGAAATATTTAGGCTATAAAAGAAAATATCCAAATAGAATAAACATACGTTCTACAGGTTTCTCTGGTGGAGGTTGTCGGAAATCTGAGCGATCATCTTCTCTCCTTTGACGAGTGCTGAAAAATATTTTTTATTATTAAAAATTTGTTTGAAAAGAACAAGATAGTTCTTGAACGATTTAGTTGACAATTCTATTTAAACAAGAAAAAAACAACACAAACCCATTTCGTGGAGGTTCATATCTATTCGACCGGTATTCGTTCCTAGGTGGTTCGTAGTTTCTACCGGTAAACCTATACAACATTGCATTCAATGGAAACAATATAAAATATGTTAAGTTTGAACTTAAAATTCATAAAATATTTGTCCAGCATATTATGTATGGATCGTTATTGGTGTATCATGCGAAAAAACTTGTTTTGATAGAAAGGGATAGCTCAGATAAACATACATGGCCAATGTATGGATACTACACTTACAGGCTTGGGGTAAGGATAATAATAATCACAATCATAGTAATAATAATAATAATGGATGGAATCTGTACACAAACCTTTCACGATTATCTCGGCTACCAAAATTTGAAGAAAAGCCTCGTCTTCCGCGATCGGAATCACGACGATCGTCATTGCGAAATCCACCGCTTGACCGTCTCGAATCGATGTCATCTTTTCCTTTATCAGCATATCTAATATCCTGATAACCGGTAACCGCCGAATAGGCAAGATCAGACGATCCTTGAAAGCCACGACCTGTAAATTGTCAAAATATCTCTAGGTGAATATGCTGAAATACGTTGTTAAGCAAAAAATGCATATTAACTAGTATTTAGAATATTTTATATTCATTAACAATAACAATAAATTGTTTTCCTTTATCCAATCAACGGACTTTACCATCTTTACTCAGAAAAGTAACGCCTAACTTGTTGATTATGATTAAATATGTATAAGAGAGAAATTAATTTCCAACAGATGGACTGCTATAGAAAATAAACACTAAAAATTCCGAAATAAAATAAATATCTCCTGGTCATGATTGAAGGACCAGTTTATTTCGATGCAGGCGATAATTTTTAGATGTTTTTGAAAGAAATAAGATAGAAGCAAGATGGTAGAACTATTATACTAAACCTGCATATTCACCTCGGTCTCTAAAACCGCCGCCTGATGGAGCAGGAGGTAATTCTGAACCACCTTTTCTCCATTCCCCTAGGGTCCTATCATCTGTTGAGTCTCTGTTGAAATTTCCGTGACCGCGATCTCCTCTATCATTACGTTTCATTTGATCATTATCCTTTCCCCCCGTAGCTAAGTCTACTCTCATTTTTCGTCCGAGAAACAACTGAATATTAAAATTAAAATAATTATTTGCAGTGAAAAATAGAATGCTGTAGTATCTACCTCATCATTTTTCGATAAAACTTTAATTAAAGAATCCCTATCTTCAAATTCGACATACCCATAGCCCTTAAAGCGACCTTGTTCGGATATAAGTCGAACGTTCTTAACCTGAAAAAAAGAACTTTATGGCTATGGAAACAAGAACAACATGAAACACGTGTACCTTCAAAGCACTAAAGACTTTTTGCAAACTGTCCTCGTTTACTTCATAAGACAAGTTTCCGACGAAAGCCGTAAAGGGTGGTTGCGTAGGAACTTTTTCCAAGTTAAGGACTGGTTCCCTGGTAGCTTTAGGTGCAGTAGGTAATATAGATTTGTCAATAGAGAATGGTGCTCCATAGTTTGAACCATCATCTGTAAAATAAGCAATGTAAAAATTCTCTATTTACTTTTTACAAAATATATATTACTTATTAGTAATAAAGAGAAGGAAATAACAAATTATTAGGCCAATTAGTCCTACATTAATTTAATATAATTACTTTTTAACAGAACGAACCAGTTTATTTAGGCCTACGAGGCAAAACCAATATAAACATATCTATGTATAAAATTTACCTATGAAAAGGTAAACAATGGACAATATAAACCAGTTTGTGTAAAGAACAATTTCAAGGTTATTATGAAAATACGATTAAAAAGTCAGTTTCAGTATTACCTTTTACAATCTATGGAGGTTCCTTCACCCTTTTCTCTTACTTATACAAATATATCATGGCTGTCTCGTATTAGTCACACGTTAAAGCATTTTTCAATACGCTTAAGAAAAACTCTTCCCACTTGACTGATTAAATACTTGGTGTGTATACGATAAAAAAGATTATAACTAATAGCCTGTTCCTTATTCATGTATAAAATTTACTCATGAAAGGTTAGATATAAACCATATAGTATATGTAAAGAACTATTTCAAGGTTATTATGAAAAAGTCAGTGCACTACATTGACCGAATAATCTAGAAAAAAAAAATTTGACACCATTATCAAGCGTCTAATAATGGAAGACTCTTATACAAAATACATCGAAATAGAGACAGTATCTTTACATGTGGACGGGAGAAAGTCGAGTTTCGATCAACTACGGCTGGTCTCCTTTTAACCTTTATTCGGTAAAGGATGTAGAGTATACTGGTTGGTTTAATAGTGAATATGCGGTCTCTTAATTATTCAATCTCAATCATAATATTATAACTGCTATACGTGTAGATGAATGATTAACAAGAGATGCATCTGTAAGATAAAGATAAAAAAAGAACCTGTATCTAACTCTGCGACCTCGTCCGCCCAATTTTTCGAAAAACTCGGAGTGTTGTCCCCCAGAAATTCGGTTAAAGGTACCGTTTTCCCCTTTTGTTTCCTCTTTTCTGTAAAATTAAAAATATGTTAGTCGGATTTACGATTTATATTCATTAAAAGAAAAAGGCGTGCATAGTGTTTCCAGAACGCAACAGATTATTCCGAAAATTCCACTATTACGGTTTATTTAGCCATTTAAAATTTTTTAGTTAACCCGAAAGGATTAAATCGGTTAATTCTGGCAGAAATTTCGATTGATTAATAAAAGAATACTCTGTTTCTTTCGGAAAAATGCACGTTTTTTTTGACACGAGATAGCACTTACGAGCCGCCATGTTTGGATAAAGCGAGTATGCGCATGCGTAAATTGCTTCAATGAAGGTGAAGGTTAATAGGAAAGCAGAAGTAGGAAAGCGGGAAATTGATCTTTTCTCGTATTCAAACTGATAAATTTCAATTAGTAAGATAAAAAATATTATAGAAATATCCAACGAACGATAAAAAATCAAGAAACCTAAACAAATTATCGTAAATCATTAAAAAACGTATTTATTTTTAAATAACATAAGATATAATTTATCAAACACGTGTACAGAACAAACGAATAAAAAAGGAATTGTTATATAAAAGTGTATATAAAAAAAGTATAAAAACTAATGATTTATTGAATATATAAATATTTTCAAATTATGTTACACAATTGTTTCTAATGTTTGTAGTATTTTCAAGCCTTATTCATGAATGATGATTGAAATGATTAGATCATTTTTTAACATGAAAAAAGGGGAGAAGGATGGGAGGGGGAAAAGAAACAAGTAGGAATTTGTCTTATCTTATCAATTTTAAACTAGTTTTCATTTAAATATACTTTATCATTGAGTATAATATATTATATTTATAAATATATACATTAACTTTTAACAGGAATGTTAAGAATTTACCGTCAGAAATTTAATGTGATAGATGAATCTTATAAATTGAATATACTGTTTTAATCATAATCTAGTCGATATGTATAACTATAATTTATTTAATGGGAAATACAAATGTACAAATAGAGCTGGCTTGTATGGAAAAAATTGACATATCTTATAATAATATTATTATTTATCCTCCTCTCTTACTCCACCTTCCACTCTCTTTCTCTCTCTCTCCTTGTATATATACTAATATATTCAGATTTTTTTACGTTTTTATAATTAGGGATGATTTTTTACACTATGAATTTCGAATCTGTTTAGATGATTTTTTACATTTTCTCACCAGTTTTTTTATTTGTCTTAATCAGATAGATAGGAGAATTACGTCAATTTTGGCCATGGTTTTCATCTTGTTCTTACATTATACTATCAGAATATCGCGTCCTTGTATTGAAATAAATAACAATTATAAAGATCGTTTAACAAGAGCATTGGTGGTGTAGCGGTAGCATTGGTGCCTTCCAAGCACTAGACCCGGGTTCAACTCCCGGCCAATGCAGGAATTTTTTTTTTAATACTTTTTTATTTACTCTCATCAAAATAGTTGTGGTTTTTTAATATTTATATTATCTTCTATTGTCAGTTGCTTTCATAGATTGAAACAAAAGCTATTACTAACCGTTGTAAAATAGAAATTTAAACTCGAATTCGAACATAAGTTCGCAACATATTGTAAATTTGATTTTAGTTAGATTATTTCACTTTGTAAGTACAAAGCTCTCTAAAAGGTGTGATCCGACAACACATATACTGCTATGTAATTTAAATGGATTATTCATGGATTATTCACGAATTATTAAATTGATCAACTGTATCCTGTAATTGAATTATCTTTCCCGCCATCTTCCTCCTCCGTTTCATTTAATTCATAGAATCTTGTTTAGATTAATCTGCATTTTATGAAGATTATGATAAGCAAAGCAGTTTTTATTTTGTTTCAAAATAGAGAGAGGAAATCATATTCTTTAATGATAATTAATCTTTTTTTCCTTTCATTTCTGAATAGGATAGGGAAGTAGAAGAAATCAAAAAATTCATATGTTTCCTCGTTCATAACCAGGGCCATGTGTACAGATGGATAGACAGATACGTCAATTAGTTAATTAATTAATTGTCCTATTATAATGTATATTTATTCCAATTCAAATACAACATAAAAGAAAATCCTTTTTAAAACGAGAGAGAGAAAGAAAAAGTGAAAGAGTAAAAGAGGAGAAGTTGAATTTTTGAACAATAAAAGTTCAACACCTAAACAAACAACTAAAGTAGAAAGAAATAGAAATAGTTGTTGTTGTTGTTTTGTAACTTGGAACAATATTTATATTTATTTGTACAACTTGAACATTCAAGTGAAAATTTCACTAAGTTTTTCACTAATTTTATTTAAATTGTATGTCTTTTGTCATAATCACTTTAATACTATTTACAATATAACATATAAAACATCTTTTTATACACCTAGGTAAAAACTAAAGTCAGAAAAGTACAAATTCTAAAGACATAAACTGAAAAAAAGTATTTCTTTCTTTCTTTTCTGTTTTTATGTTTTTATTTTTAAAATCTTGATATTCAATGTTGTTTTTACCTTTATTTTGTTTATAAAATCCAAAAACTAAAACATTAAAGAACTGTGGGTGATATATATGAAGAGAAAAAAAATTGTTCATAACTACTTCAGCGCCATCTGTCTACTAAAAGGAAAATATAATTTTTGAAATGTTATCCCACAGCCTCTTTTTTTCAAGTAAAAATTAGTAAAAATAACTTAAAGTAGAAAACAATTGAAAGGTTTGATAATAAGGAAGAAAATAATGAAAGGTTACACTATATATTTATATATATTTCATTATGAAATATAATAATTGCACTAGTTATTTTTATTTGGAATTATTTAATTAAATAAGACTTATTTTTAATCTAGTTAAAATATTTCTTTATATTTTTCTATCTTATATTTGTTTGTTTGTTTTTTCAAGTTAGAATAGAATAAACTGGCTTGTTTTTCACTTGTTTTTACTTTACATAGGAAGAAAGAAGATGACTTAAAACAGTTCTTTTTTGTAAGTGGAAAGTAATATTAAGCTAGGATTGAATACTATATTTGTATCATACAAATGATAAACACTTATTCAATCGTCAATCAGTGTTCCTTTAAAAAAATTATTTTTATACAATTTTCAACAAGTAGAATGATGGATATGAAAGTTAATCCATTAGCGTTTCTCTCTGCGGTGAATTGAATAATTCTCCCTTGGATTATTACATCATTTATCATTTCTTTTATTTTTTTTCTCTCACCAATTCACATTGTCAATTTTTAGTTTTTCAATTAAAGTTGTTATCCATTACAGATGACACTAGTATCTTTAGTTGAAAAAATTTCAATTAAGTTATTGTTGTTTGTTTGCTTTTATAACTCTATGCTTTTAGCTTTCATTTAGTGAAAAAAGTTTGTTTTGGTCTCTTTTCAATTCATGGCCTTCAAGTTTACATTTGTGTTTTGTACACAAAAGTTTCTCTAGAAGACCCTCGTAAGAACCTAATGTACTTTTTTTTTTATCTTTTGATGATATATGAATTACGAACGGAGGATAATAAGTATGGAGAAGGTCAAAAGAACAAAAGTAGCAATACCATTAACGATAATGAAAAAAATATGAAGAGATAAAGAAAAAAAGAAAGAGGGAATGAATTAGAAGAATAGAAAAAGAAGACGAAGAAGAAGAAGAAGTAGATGGAGAAGCAGAAGAAAAAGAAGAAGAAAGAGAAGAAGAAAGGGAAATTGAGGAATAGTTAAAGATACTATCTATAAAATTATTGACAATTAAAAAAAAAGAGGAAAAATAAAAACAATATGTAACAGCAAACAAAGCAAAAGTACAAGAACGAATATTTTAAGAAATAAAGATTTTTTCGTATTAGCCACTCGTAAGAATTTGCTTAAGTTCCTTTAATTAACGTTCCCATTGTATGCGGTTGTTAGGAAATTATACCTAGTTTTCTACCCAAGGACCTAGCTTTTGCTATTACCTCCTCCTGCATCAAATTGAAGCACATAGCGATTAAAGCCAGTCCAAAAACCAGATAGAAAGCACAGAGGATAAATTTCTCTTGAGATTGACCCTTCAGGCTTGCTCCCGGCACAAAATCACCAAAGCCAATAGTGGTGAGTGTAATGAAGCAAAAGTAAGAAGATTCTATATATGACCAACCCTCTAGTAGTGAAAAGAGAACGGCTCCGCCTGGATGAATATATTTACTGAATTAGATTAATCAGTCGTTTCTGTAAGATCTTTTCATTAATTTAAAATGATAAACAAGAAGAAATTCAATGAATTTTTAATGAATGTTTCCTTATTTCAGTTTTCGTTAAAAATTCTAATTGTTTTAGAATTTTAAATGAAATGTTTTATTATTTTTTTTGTAAACCTCGATATTGAAATCTCCTAGAAGATGAAAATGGAACGACTATTAAGATGAAGCATGATACAATAAAATATTAACGTAATTGAATCACTTACCTACTACGTAGGTTACAATCAGCATGAATGAAACAAATAGCGGAACCGTTTGAATGTGTGAACTGTCGTCATCCCATCTAACGTGAATTGCTGCTGCGGCACTAGCAACACCTCCCCCTGTCGATGACATTCTACCATTTGTCTTTTTTACGGTTGATTTAGTAGAGGCTGTCATAGTTGACCCTGCCGTCGTCCCAGTTACCGCTTTTGGAGCTTTTTTAGGGCAGCAACAGCAACAGTAGCCACAGCATACTTTATGATACAAAGCTCGAAAAAGTATAGACATATAACGTCCAAGATTAGCCATTGTTAAGAGGGTCAAGGGGATACCGACAAGGGCATAGACGAGCGTCACTACTCGTCCCCAAGGCGTCAACGGGACGATATGACCATATCCTAAAAATAGATTGAAAACAGTGAAAATGATATAATATTAGTATTTCGCAATATTATTATTCGATTTGCAATGCGTTTAATAATTAAGTTCAGCATGCTTTAACCTTGAAAGGCATAAACAAATTGGATAAATAATGAAATCAAACCATAGACAACCTTTTGATTCATTTTTTAAGTAAATGTCATCTGGTGATTTTGATATACAGAAAAATATAGTATCTGATAGTAAAAAGGTTGGCTTAATTAAAGGATAAAGTTATATGAATACGTTCAATTATGGAACGGATGGATTTTTGTTTGTTTAACGATTGCACATCGGAAAATGAAAGATTACTATGGCTGTTTACAAGGGCAACAGTTCGTTGACGTATGCATTTCTGAATGCCATTTTTTTAAAATAGTAATCTATCTATTCAATAAACTTTTGACGGTATCGTTTATACGTTTGAAAAAAACAATCTTCTATTTACAGTAAACTTTAGCCAATCATCTGATTTATTTTACATAACATAGGTGTTTGTATTCTAAAATATTTACTAAATATACTTTTTGTTAGATGAAGGATATTACAAATTTTAACACAATCTATTTATGAATAATTAAACAATATAATGGAAATAATAAATATTTCCCTAAAGATTTAGGCAATTGTTCATATCAAAACTTTTATATTTTTATAAAAGGTTATCAACACAAATATTACATACTGGAGGTGAAGGGATAGACGGGGGAGGGGGAGCGGGAGGGGAGGACTGAAGTAAAACAGGCTGAGTGCATGTATAGTATAAATATATATCTGCGTAGGTGTGGGCGAGGGAGAGGCAGCAGAGAGGAAGGAAGGAAGGAAGGGGTGGGAATATACTTTTTATTTATATAAAAACATATACAATTTTTTTTATTATAAAAAGCAGAATCGACAAAAAACAAAAAAGAGGGAGAAACTCTAAAACAAAAAATCATTTGTTTGGTAAGGCTAAGATGGGAAATAAATATACACAGGTGTCAGATGATGCTCTAAGAATCAAAAAAAGTATCAAATAACCAAAAAATATATTGAAATATTTAAAAAAAATAACATATATTATGCATATAAAACGTTGGCATCATACACCTTATTGCTGAATAACTAATGTAAAAGTGATAAGTTTTTCGTTTGTAGGTAAGATTCTATTGCAATAATAAATTGCTTCATTGAACATTTTTCAACCCTATCAGAATAATAAAATAAATGATAAATAAATTTGAATAGGTAATTTAAAAATAATTGTTTTCAAACAAACTATGGATGTTGGTTGCGATATGATCTAGTTTTATCAAATTTTCCGATATTGTTAAATGATATCCCTTATAGAGTTTAGCTTTAAGGAGGATAACTTTGTGCTATAAAAGGTAAAAGACAGGCGAGAATATTTACTTACGTATGTATATTGAAATATAGAAAGACGGATAGCGACAGACAGATAGATAGGAAGATAGAGAGAAAACAAGACAGAGGGAGGGAGGAATAGAGTAAAGAGAGATAAGTCTATAAACGTTTGGACATTTACTGTAAACTGTCTTATTCTTTTTATGAATAAAAAAAATCAAATTGATTGTAACTTTATATATATAAATTGTTCATTGAACTGCCAATTTCTTGGTAAATTGCAGTTGGATTTTCTATATATAACCATCTTCGTTTCTTTCTTAAAAAATTCTGAATCATGAGTAACATTTAGTTTAGCATCTTTTTACCTTTTCTTTCTGTTAAACTTTTTTAAGCATTTCTCAAGGAAATTTTCATTTATTTTAGCAACGACAAATCATGTGATAAATTGTATGGCTAAAACCCATAATGCTATCATCAATATACTGAAGACTTAATTTTCAGACTGTAAATCTGCAATTCCTAGATACAGCAATATTTATTTAGACGCCTAAATTTCATGTCGGAAAATTTCGTTAGTACCGAATACAATCATAATCGATTTGAGGCTTTTATATAAATATTGGCCTATATACAGTATATATATAGTATATTTAATATACGTATAAACTAAAACTGGAATTCAATGCATGATTATAAGCTCTACAAGGTTATCCTATATATACAGAATATACTATATTTATACTCTAGACGGACAGGAAAGAATCTTGCATTTTTTCCTTGTAAATGATCTATAACAATTGATTTTTGAACCAAAAATGAGAATTAATGAATGGAAATGCAAAAATTATTCGTTGAAAGTTTCACCCTTCTCTGTAAAAAAAAAAGAAAACAATAAGATATTTAATCTTTTCCTTTCAATAATTTTTAGTAAATAAAAGTATTATTTTCGAACAGGAAAATGTGGTTAATAACCCTGATTTCAAACCATAGTGGTATCACTTTAATGGTTCGAGTAAATAAACGAAAAGCGAAAGTATGTGCATCATATTCAATAGCGTTGTCGGTCTTGTTGACTATGCCCATTAGACTGCGTTCAACTGTAAATTTTTGCAGTGTTTACACGAGGCGCCCGATTGATATGGCGCAGGTGGTGAATGGCAGAAAATTCGCTCTTAATTGGCAAATTTTCAAGATAACTCTCTTTGCCTACAAGTTAAATCTAAAGTGCTTTTCGCCGTAAGTTTTCCCCTATCCTGTCAAGCTAAGCGTTTAATCCATAGACCTAAACTATTAAATTACACATATAAGTATATAAATATATTTGTTATTCTTTTGTAATTGATTTAATAAACATTCAAACATTTCAATTCATTCAATAATTTTTTTACTACTTTGAAAATCGGCCTAAAAATTAAAAAGTTGTACACAAATTAAATCGTTAACTGTATAAAAACAATCTCAGCATGAATAAAATCATTTTACTTTTGGAACAACAAACTTTAATCGTTTTAATTGGTTACATAATGACTAAAGAGATTTAGCAACGAACATCCATTATTCATTATTAAGAATTGAAGTTAAACTTTAAATAATTATCAGTTTTTTAAAATTGCTACAAAATGTAATTATTCTTTATTATTATTTAATAAAAAATTGAAAAGATCCTCTTCCCGTAATTTTTTTTCCAATATAAAAATATAAAAGGGGAAACTTTTTGATATTTTGTTATTTTTTTTTTTTAAAAAAAACCAATTACATAATAATTTGTTTAAGGTTTTTTGTTAAATAAACTTGACATTTGCAAGAAAGAGCCTTTTTGAATATTTCGTTTTATTTTACAGTATTACTAGAATTTTTAGGTTAGAGTTTTCTCTTTCTTTTCTTTTTGCATACTTTGAATTTAATGTTAAAATATATAACATTAAATACTAATCTTATGAATAATATAATCAGAATAAAGACTATTGTTTATATTATATTATATAGGAATGGTTGGTGACTAATCATATTTTTAATATTAATTGACAAGAGCGTACTATATTGTTAATTAATAAGGTAATCAATCATCATTTCGATTTTGATAATAAACGATTATATGTATATTAAGAGAGAGTTGAAGATATCCAGCACCTTTTTTCACGCTTGGAGAAAAATAAATCGGCAGTTTACCAACACCCAATAAAGTCCAGTAATAAAGAGGGATTTATACTGAGAGCCTATAGTCTACTGTATATATATATACAGTATATATATATATATAAATTTATATATAAATTCCAACTATTTACTATAGTTATAATTGTAAACTTAAATTTACTAAAGGAGTGAAATAATACTCCTTTTTTTCTCTTTAATCCTTTTCTTTCCTTGTCTTCATTCCAATCGGAGGCTGCTTGTATCGTTTCGTACAACAAAGTGTAAATTTAAAAGTACTTAGGGAAGTAAGAAAGGAAAATATTAAATAAAAATCAAATATGGATAGCCTAATACAATAAAATTTCCTTTTTGGAGGTTTTTAATGCCGAAAAATAAAAGAAAATAGATTGAAATGGAAAAGAAAATTTATAATAAAAAGAATTGAGGCGAACTAAAACATTGCCATTTGATACTGAAAGCATGACAATCAACTTTGTCATACATCAAAGTAAATTTTAGAATAGGAAAAAAACTTTCCCCTTTTTCCTAATTTTTCTTTTCTTTAGATTGTTTTCATAGTTTCTATATTTCAATTTTCTCTTTTCAATTTAATCTTTAAATAATTATTACTATTGATAGTTTCTTTATATTTAGAGAGAGAAGGGGAAAAGATAGAGAGAGAGAGAGAGAGAAGATCGATGAAAAAAATAGTCATATTTTCTTTTAATAAAATTTGTCCATAAAGGAGATGAATAAAGATTTATGCAAATTTTTGTTTTCTATTATTATTCGATAAAATTAAAAATAAAAGTATTTTAGGTCAAATTTTATATTTTGTTTAATAATTCAAGATAAAATTATTGATATGAAAGATGCTCATAAACGTTTCTATTATATAAAGAATTAAAGCTATATTTCGGTGTTAACATCATCAAAATCATATCAAAGGGTATTGACGTTTATCGCCGTATATCTTCCATAGTTTACGTTGTGGGCGAATGGGTTACAGAGCTTTATGCAATTCTGTTATTCCGGAAGTACTCTCAATTAGGAATAGATGTTTTACATACGAGTAAAAAAAGTTTGCCCATTCCTAAAAAAAATTCTTCTCTCTCTCCCCCTCCCCCCGTTTCTCTCTATCTCTCTCTCTTTCTATATATATATATATATCTTCGTCTATTTTTTATATACTTTTACTCTTTCTTTTTATTTTGCCAGTATTAGATAATCAACTGTAAAGTGATTTAAAAATGTAGATAAAGCATTAAGTTATCCTTCTTTCCATTAAGTCTTATGATCTTAATGTTAGATTGTAACTTACGTAAAGATAAAAAAAAGTCTACTTATATCTTATTCAATTATATAAATATAAACAATGTAAACAGTATATGAATGTATATAAAAGAAATTAAAAATACGTGTTTCGTTGAGAGTTTCCTGTAAGAACGTATATATATAAAAAAAGAATAATTGAAAATGGGAATTTGAGTAGATTCTTATCGAATCACGTTTGTAAAATAAGTCTATTTATTTTCAGACTTTGTTCTCAAAATATTACAAAGATATTATTTAAATAAAACATTCTTTAATAGGTTCATTTGTAAAAAATATATATATCCTTTATATTTTACTCAACTACTCATGGATGGGAGAGATAAAATAGATGGAGAAAAAAAACTTTATCTCAAAGTTAATTGACAAAAAATCAGGCCTAATTAAATAAATAATTGTACTAAGACCGTAAAGGATCTTTTGTTGAAGAGGTAAATAAGTAAAATGGATGGAGAATGTCCGAGAAAAGAAATATATTTGCTGTATAAGCGTTTTTTAACTTTTCGTTTATCTATTGATGCACTTTCTACAGAAAATTTTGTAAAACTAGTCTGAGCATCAGACTTTTATCTGATAAAAAGACACATTGCTTTCCTGAAATTTTCAATCAAATAGATCGCTCTACTTTACCCTTAGAGACTAAGTTCCGTATGTAGGTCTACACTCTTGCAGACTTAGTATACGTAATCAGTTTGGTGCTTTTTCTTTCCAACCCTCTCTCTCTCTCTCTCTCTTATGCGCTGAAACCTATAGTCCTAAAGCGCTTTACAACGATAATTTCGCACAAAATCATGAACTCGGTCTTCCGGATCAAATCGCTTCGTTTGCTCAATGCCAAAGAGTAATGATTTTTCAAGTTAACTCTGATGATCATTAATAACAAATACATTTTTATGAAACATTAGAAAAGTAAAAATAGTAACGAATCGTGAAAAATCGATGCTTTTACGGTAAATTTATAGTCACTATCAACAATAAATAGACCATGTGTCAGAGACAGAATCCATCAGGTGTTTTTTGATGCTAAATTTGCTAAATTATTATCATCAAGCGGCTATTACATAGCGCTTAATAACTGGTTAAAAAGACGAATGCGATTCTAGGGAAAAATCACGACTCTTCGCCTATATGAGAACTTTTAATAAAAGAGTTAAAATAATAATAAGCTGTTGGAAAAAAAACATTCACTTGTTAAATAAAATAGGATTATTTAAATAATCCTTCAACAAAATTTGTATTAGCTTTTAGGCACTTTTACAAGGATTAATAGCCGAATAGGTGGTATGGACCATAACAGATTTTCAACACCCATCTAGCTCTTTCACTTAAGGTTGAGTTTTCGCAATTAAATCACGTGACCCCACTTATTTAACTCTTACGATAATCACGATGTAAAAATTACTGTTAACCTCCTCTTCCCGCCGGGAAAAATTGAAAAGAGATCAAGTTTTCTTTTCATTTTCCTTTCAGATTATGAATTAATTGATTGAATGTTATTTTTCTTTATTAGATGGATTTAGACGGATAAGAGGGGATTTTGATAATAGATTTGCCCTTTTACAACCAACTACCTTCAATTAAGGATAGATGATAAATTATAGTTTGCAATCAGTTCAATATCTACTTTTATATTGTCTATTAAGAAATTATAATAAATTATCATACATTACCTATAGTAGTGATTACAGTAACTGAAAACAGCAAAGCTCCCGGAAAGGTCCAAACTAAATCGTCTTCATTATCTTTAGCCAAAGCTTTCCTTTTCGAGCCTAGTTCCTTAGCCGGCTTAGGCGTGGTTTTAAGTTGTTCTTGCTGAAATCTTCTATATCCATCCCACCAAGAATTTTCAAATCTCTCCAATAATCTACTTGCATTTTTCTTCCATTTCTCCTCAAAAAGAACATTATATTCCCTTGTCATTTTCCACAATAATTCAACAGTTTTTTGCCTTTCCTTAGCAAAGTTGGAATATTCATATATTTTATAATTATCTGCCGTAGAATTTGTTAAATTCGTCAAAGTATTATTTCTTTGTAATTTCATTTTAATTTCATAAGGCTGTTCCAATTCTACGAAAACGAAGCCTCCTAATATAGTATAACCTACTAATAGACAACAGAGTCCCACTGTTGAAAACAGAAAAGCTAAAAAATTCTTGCAACAAGTCGCGCATTTTCGACGAATAGGAACAATTTCTTCCTCCAAGTCAGCCATCGGCGATTCGACGATTAATGATATCGAAACGATAGTTGCGCCTTCTAACGGTCGTAAAAGTTATTAGCTTTTTCAATTAATCCATTCTTGGAAAACATGAATACTTTTTATCTTTTGTCTTAAAATTTCAAAAATTTCATTAACATTGTTTTCATTATAAATAGAATGTATAGTCTTTTTTTTTCCTTTTACATTTATTGAACGGAAAGAAATGTTGTCATTTTATTCATCAAAACTTATTTTTCCAAGAAGAATATCGCTAGGAGAAAGTCCTCTTTTTACCCTTCAAAAAAATGTGTGGTTTTTATTTCCCTTCCTTTTCTCTTTCTACTTCATTCTTGTATTTTTTTTTGTATAATAGTTTATTATTAATATAGTCTAGACGCCACATTCCTATCCTTAGGTAAAATTTTTGGTTATTTCTTGAAAAGAAAACAATGATATTCGGCCAAAGATATGAATCTTTCATTCTTAGAAAAAGGAATCTTTGAAGAGAGATACGGAGATGTTAATTATATGTATTTTATTAAAATTATTCAAAATTTCCAGCATTCAACTATACAACATTTTATCGTTAAAATCCAATTCCTCTAATGATACTATTATGTGAATAAAATGGAATTTTGTTTTTTAAAGAAAATAGAGAGAGAGAGAGAGGGAGGGAGAGAGAGAAAATAAGAAAGATTGAAGGGAGAAAGATATCAATTATTAAAAAAAAAGTAAAAAAATTTCACCATTAATTGACATCGTTGTTGATAAATTTATAAAGAAGCAGAGAGGGTATCCGTTAATACCACGTTTCTGATTGGTTACAGGCTACTCCCTAAGATAACAGTAATAGGCCTATTTTCGGTATTATATAGTTTAAGATCGTGTGAGAAAAGTTGTCGGAATCTGGACGAAGAGATGTATATATATATTTTGTTGTAGTAATAAATAGAAAAAAGAGTTTCAGCTGAATTTTATCTTTTAATTTTTTACATATACATATATACAGTGTATAATAGCTTAATATAATCGATATAATGTATTTCGTTTCTTTAAACGATTATTCATTTAAATATTCATAAATTGCTTTGAATATCTTTTCCAGTTGTTAACTTATGATAATAAAGATACATTAAAAAGAAAGTTTAATTAGAAATATACTAATCAATAATTCGTTTGATATGTTTATATAAAGCGTAACGAAAGAAATAGTTAAGATCGTATTACATCATCAATTATGCAGAACAAACAATAAAATATCATTTTTTTGGATTAAAAACAACTTCTTTTTAATTAATGAAACAAGGAATAGTGCCAAAAAAAGAGAAGAGAGATAAAAGATTGCGCAATAGTTCAGAGAATTCATACAAAGAGATTTGAAAAAACGTCTTTGCGGTTATTAGTATTAGCAGTTTATATCTGTTATGGACATCTTAACAATCGAGAATAAGTTTTAGCTTTCTGCATGATATTTTTGAAGTATCTATTAGATATCGGAAATTGATATTTTTTCTATTATCGTGGAATAGCTCTTTTTGTATAGCAGTCAGAATTTGCCTTGTTCCTTTACATTTGAAATAAAGCTGATGAAGGAAGAAACTAGGAAAAGAGAGAGAGAATGTCGGAGGGCACTTTAAATTTGTTACATACTCTTCACTGTTTATCCAAGTAATTATTACATTTTCAGATGATAGTTAACAGTTGTTCACTCTAGTTGAGACTTAATATTACAAAATGACAGGAGAAAAGGGAGGAAATTGTTACATCTTTCTCTTGCGCATCGCTCCTCTTTATTTCTTCTTATCTTTCTATTTACAAGAAAATTTCTTGGAATCTGATAAAGTTTAATTGCGAAAAAAACATAAAGTAGTTGATTGACTAAAACCTGTACACAGTAAGAATGTTTGTATGGTGGGTCGTTATTCAAATAAACAAATGCCTTGTCGGTCCGCTTCAGCCAATTTGCAAGATACCAGACAGGAGAATTTTACAGAGACGCAAGAAATCTGCTATTTTTGTAATATAGGCTGAGTTTTTTGTTCCTATGGCAAAGGAATACTTGCCCTTTTTCAAATCAAATATACAAAGAAGATGGAAGATTTTAAATAGACTTTGCTGTGTTTTTAGTATTTTCTTCTCTTTTTAACCTCAAGATTCCATTTGATCATAAACTTTGTCATTTACTTTCTTTTTCTTGGACTCTTACGAAAGAATAAAGAATTTTCCATCGATTCTAAATAAAAAAAACCTATCAAACTAGGTTTTGCAACTAGACTATTAGCGCTCCTTTTCATCAATTTAACATTGACAGGTTGAATATTTGTTAATAGGATAGCAATATAACGTTTTGAGATGGAAAGTCTAATCCCTATAATATAACGCTAATAGCCAAAACCATCAAAAGATTACAAGAATGCTGCTGAATAGGCTAAATCTGTAATAGAAGAATAGTTTCCTTGACATGTACATCTCAAGATGAAATACAGAAAAATTATTTGAAATCCTACAAAAATTGTCCATTTATATCAGATGAGATTACTAAATAAGAGATTTTGTACTCTGTTTCTTTTTATGATGCTTATCCAAAAGAGACATATATATATATATATATATATATATATATATATATATATATGGTTTATACTATACACATACAAATATTTCGTATTTTATTTTATAAATATATCAAGGTCAGTCAATGGTGAAGCAAACTCCAAACAAGAAATTTCTTTTCCCCTTCCATCTGTTTTACTTTTTCAAGAATATAAACAAAAACAATAATTACTAGCGAATGCAAAATAAGATGATAAAGCGGTGTATAGCTATTTGGATTACTGCAATAACTAATTCATTGCTAAGTAGACGGGAGAAAGAGAGAGAGAGAGAGAGAGAGAGAGAGAAAGTGAGTGGGAAAGGAGGAGGGGAGGGGGGAGACAGAGTGTAAAAGAGAGATGATATGAAATGAGTGTGAGAGAGAGAAAAAGAAGAATGGCAAGAGTCGGACAGAAAGAGATAGAAGATTGATAGGTAAATTGTTACGACAGTTAATTCGGTAAAAGTCCTATTTGTTAATATGATTGATGAAAATTTCATTAACTTATGAAAAGTAATCTTATGCATTGTTTAAAATAAAAATTAGTTAAACAATTTCATTAATTTCTTACCAATCAATTAGTTGATTAACGTAAATAGCTAATTAATTAATAACCATATTTATAATTATAACAATAACCAAGGAGAAGCAAACAACTATATAAAATAAGAAGAAAACTACGAGTTGAAGTAAAAATTTGCAGTACAGTACAAGTTTGAATTAAACTTTTGGCTTGCTGAAATATTTTCCATATGTTTTTGAAATTTAGCTCTAAAATAGCTATACTAACTAACTAACTACTTAATCAGTTGGTTGAATAGAAAAGGCAGAAATTCTTTCTAAAATGAAAGTTTCTCTTTAAATTAAGGATAAGATAACAAATAGAATAAGAATAATTTTAATTTTAATATAAACACTAATTATATATTTGGTTTGAATCATTACTGTAAAATTTTATGCGTATTTGTTTACGCTTCTATTACTTTAATGAGAAACTGTAGCTAGTAGATAAACATGCCAAAAATATACCAACTAAAGATAAATTTTAGACATTTTTCTTCCTTTTTCTACATTTCTCTTGATGTTTTATTATTGTTATTATTAAGTTTTATCTGCTTCTAAGCTTTTGTACTTATCTTACATAAACATAATCCAATAACCAATTTTTAATTAGCTAATGAATATTCAAATAAATTTAAAATAAAAATATTTAAAGTATAGTTAATGGATTGTTGAGTATAGATTAAAATAAGTGCATAGTAGCCATCTAATTCAAATATTTAGATAAAAAAAAACAAAATAAGTCAATTTTTTTCAAGTTTTCATATTAATAATAATTAATAGATATGCAGTCTACAGCCTATATATATATATATAGAGAGAGAGAGATATTTAAATGATTATACGATGTATTTTCTAGGATCGTTACGTAATATTACAAATTGATAAAGTTAATATCTTCAATATAAATAGGGATTGCTGTTGACAAACACATTAAATATATTCCTTTTTATTGGTTGTTAAACAGAGCAAAAAAATAGACCAACTCATGTTCTGTTGTTCAATTACGAAAATGTACAATTTCTAGTTCTGATGAATAGTTTAAAAACTTGACATAAAATAATATTATTATTACTATTTAAACGATTATAGATACTTTTACTTCATTTACTAATTCCAATGTGCTGTTCTTTGGAGGAAGAGAAAGAAAGAAAGAGAGAGAGAGAGAGAAAAGGAAAAGAATACACCCTCTATATTCTTTAATATCTACTAAAATTTTCATTGTTTGTATGTTTTTATATATACATATAAGAAAACTTTCAGCTTTTACCGCCATTTTATAAAATGTTTACTATTCCTGAGGGCATCAGAAGTAAATCTATAGGCTTTTATCTACAGTATCTTCCTTAGACCGAGAATTTTCCAACCTCAATCTCCCTTTCCCCTCCTCCAGCTCCTCTGTCCCACTCCCCTTTTATTGCCTATGAATTCGTCGTAAATCATGGAATGAACTTTAATTATATAGTACTCCTTGATTATATAGTATATAGGAAAGCTTAAATGATCCGTAATTACAAATTATCCGAGTGGGCGGATAAACAGATAAAAAAATAGTTCATTAGATATATTCATACGCATTATGTAATCTTTTATGAATAATATATTTAAAGAAATTATTAGTATCTAGTAATTTATACTTTCTTTGCATCAATAAAACTAAATTACGACGGCTGAACATTTTATATAAAGTACTTGGAATAAAAAGACAAGAATAAGGAAATGGAGGATGTAGAACCAGCAGGACAATACAAGTTTAAATATATCGACTTACAATGTTGAATAAAAATTTTCCATGTTTTATTTTACCTATTCAAACTTTTTTTATGGCTTTAAGCCAATAGAAAACGTCGAAAAATCTAAAAATAGATGATAAGGGAAAGAGAATATTCTTTATTTGTAGTTTTATACACTTAACTACGTTCATTTAATCTATTAAAAGTCTTTTACTTTCCTTTTCACCTCCCACCTTCCCTCCCTTCATAGGTAATATTTTTATGTTTTTTCACATAAGTTAATTTAAACTTTTATACTCTAATCTTTTAACTTAGTTTATAATAAAGCAAATCTTTTTAATAAGACTTCTCCTCTATAAGTTTATCCGATTACTATAATTTATTACAGAAGAACCAAATCTTTCTCTCTTTCTCCTCCACTCCCGCCCTCCAATTTCTCTCCTTGTCTGTTTATATCAATAGTTTCTCCATCTAGTGGCGACTCTTTGAAATTGTTTGTGTAGTATATTTATCTTGAAAAAAGAAAAAAAGGAAATTTAAGTGGCGATGAAGTTGACATTTCTGTTGTGTTTCTTGTTAATTGAGAAGAGATTTATTTTAATTAGAGGATAAAGAGAATTATAACGGTAAAAGGTTTGAAACTTATCGATTCTGTCTGCATGTCTGCTTTAGTAGAAAAAAAAATAGTTGGAAACGTTCCCATATTTATTTTTCTTCATTTGAAAGTTGTTGAATAGTTTACACCTAGGCATAAACTAAGAGGAGAATCGGTATAGGAGCCATTTTAAATACTAATCAGAACAAGTTGGAAAAACGAAAAGTAGAGGTAAAAATATTCCTTACATAGCATTTTTGTACTCTACTATGTAAATACAGGTGTTAATCTTTTATTCATAAAAACAATGTTTTATCGAATCTCTGATATTTCTTGTAAGAGTCATTGATTAATTTGTTTCTATTATCATTTTACTAAGTAAAATAAATCTTTGGTTTGCAAGTTTATTCACACGAATATATAACAAATGTAAAAGAGAGTAAAATAAGTAATTAGGTACACTACCTATTTTATACAATATACAGTATATATACATTAACCTTGAATGGAAATTAGGTCGATTTACAGAAATATAAAAAAATAGAAGAGAGAACAAAAATGAATAATGAGCATCTTCCAGATAACCAATATAGTTAGACACCTGTCTTAAAGAATTTAAGTAACATAAAAGTTATAGGTAGAAAAAGATACTCTCTTCTCACTTATTAAACAACAAGCATATGTTGATTAAAAAGTAATGTTCAGAAGAAGAAGAATGAGGAAAAGGATGTGATGAAAGAGGAGGATGAATATCAACCAATAATCGTATTCTCTTTTTTAAAACATAATCTTAGTGGTTTAAATAACTGTTTAAAGTATTCGTTAATCCTTTTTCTGAATTGTTCTTGAAGTATTATATATATAAAACAGTTTGTGCAATTGTTTAAATAAAATGTATCGTGCAGTATTAAATATTTTGGTATTATACTAAATGTACCAAGCCAGAATGGTATCCATGAAACTATAAATATAACAGTTATACCAAATAGCATACTTGCTGATTTAATTTGAATTTTTAATGAAGATAATGACGTTGACCCAATTTCTTGAGCTGAAAAAGAGATAAGAAGATAATCTACTGAAATATTTACAACACGTGTTAAGATTAATGCCTTACTATTTCTATTTTCTGCTGTTTGTCCGTTGAAGCCGGTCCGCCTAGATCGCTTAACTCTTTTATAGATAACTATATAGATTGATGTATAAGAGAAGATAATTTCAGCAACGACAAATAGAAACGTAAAGACAAATAGTATGCCAACTAGAAGAGGCCCTATTCTACCCGTCATATGACAAATAAACTTTCCAGTTTTTTCATTTACTTCATAATCAAAAAAGACGCCGGTGAGCGTTCCAGCAATGAGAGTACTAGAGAAAACATTAACCAAGTTTATAATCATTACGTGTTTCTTTTGTAGAATGTGAGGTTTACGAACGGAGAACCTAATGTAATTTCCAGCGGGTAACATATTAATTGTGCAATTTCTTTTATATACTTATATAATATTTTTTATATGAGAAAGAAAGACCGAGATAGATTTAGTATGTATAATCTTTTGAAACTTTTTAATATAATATCATTTTTATTACTCTACAAAGAAAGAACTTTTTCCTTTTCAGTTATTTCTAAGACATAATGAGGCATTTATACATTTTTTCCTTTCTATTATCCATTGGAAATTACGCAAACCATCTTTCAAGAGCAACCGAACCAACTGTCGTTACCGAATAGGCGGCTAATGAAAAACTTACTGCCATTAGAGATTTACACAAGTATACTTTATTTAAAAGTCCAATCTGTAAACAAATTGCTATTGGAATTGCTAATAAACAATTTAGTAAATCCACGATAGCTAATATTTTAATTAAAAAATTTGAAGAAGTTGACGACTTTATTCCTTCTGGATAGAATATAATGATTAATAAATTAGAAGGTATACCAATTAGCATGTAGGAAGACATAACTATAATATAAGCCAAGAGAGATGTACTTATAACGACAGCCATCATTGTAATGTTGTAAGAATATTATTTATGCTAATCAGATCACATATTTTTAAGTCTCTTGCTATATTTTCTCTTACTATATTATTCATAGTGATGTAGAAGATAATAATAATCCTACTGATTTTAGATACTCGCATCAAATAATACTTTTGCCGCTCCTATTAATCGTAAAACATATAATATTCCCTTAATTTCCTTTAGAATTTTAAATTTTGCTGTCGGATACAATAGAAAAAGAAATGATTATATTATATGTCAATTTATATGGCAATTATAAAAAGCAGTTGAATAGGTTATGTTTGTTTCAAATATAGATACTCTATCCTTATATAAAGTATTAATATCGCCAATTTAAAATTGAGAAATCTAACTGCTTAATGTAACAAAATATTTCTATATTTTCAATAAATTTATATTATAAACAAAATAAAAGAAAGTTGAAATTTAAGATATTATTTACTTTGTGTTTTCTTTCTCTTTTTTTCCTCCCTCCCTCCCTCCCTCCCTCACTCACTCACTCTCTCTCTTTCTTTCTTTCTTTCTTTTTGTTTTTATTGTACGACGACGAATGGGAAAGGAAAGATTACAGATTGAATAGGGGAAGACAACGATAACCATTAATATCAATATATTTAAATACGTGTGCATAAACACGCTTACAAAATCAGTTTAGTACATTCCTAACTTTTTGAATATTTTTGTATTTAAAATGTCTAGTCCTTCTAAATATGAGATCCACGATTTTCATAATAAATCAATTGCTTTACAACCTGCGAGTGAGATTATATAAATATTCGAATCTTTTTCCATTATTTACAACCTATTCAATCAATAAATGACTGTTTTTGATCTCGGTGTCCATTTCATTTTCATCCATATTGAAGGTGGGGAACAAGTCATTGAGAATTCTCTAGAATAAGGTCCTTGACTTCTCGTTTTGCCCTTGAATGATTCGAATGAGAGAAAAAATCGTTAATTACAATAGTCATTAATCAAATCGACAATAACTGTGAGATATAAGGAGTTAATTAGTACCTTTCTATCAAATAATATTTGTTTCTGAGCAGGTAAAGTCCAGTGAATACTCTGAGCGGATTTAGCTGGTGATGGTACCCTCGGAGTGTTACAATTTCTAATTAAACTATCTTCCATTTGGGATTGCGGTGGTATTGGAGTAATTACAGCATTTTTAAAATTTGCAGACTGTGCTGCGCGTATTCTAGCCAATTTTACAAAATCGGTCGGTTTTGTTTTCATTCTCTTTATAACAACTTTTAATTCTTTGTCGCTGTAATATAGAATAATAAATAAATAAATATACAGTATATACAGCATATTTATATATATACAGTATCCAACTCAATACTTGTATATAATATAATGCAATAAAACGAACAGAAAGGCATGTATTAAGCAATATGAAAAATAACAGATATTTTAGCCTATATTACCTTTCTTCTGATGATATAAAACCGTGTCTTGACCATACTAGATTTTGTTCAACTTTCGAAGTGCTTGGTAATCTATAATGAAGATGGCATGAAAATTAGGCCTATTATATACAGTATTATATAATATATAAAGCATATGGCAAATACAAAGAGAGTTTGGAGAGAACTTGTTAAAGTTAGGTTAGCTTCTTATAATTTAAATATTTACAATAGAAACTCTTAAAATATGTCCTATACATGATCAAACTAGTAAAGGTCAACTTAAGTGAATAATAATGTTAGGTATAAACCTATATTATTATAAATAAGCGTATATTTTAAAAGAATCTCTTAACTGAGAATAATTATTAACTTGCTTGAATAAATTGAATAATACCTGAAAGGAACGTTTTTTGTCGCTTTTTCGTTCTTTATTGACAATTGTGTATTTTCTCTTGAAGTCGTCAAATTTTGACCAAGATGAGGTAATCCAGTTTTTCTTGGTCTGTCATAAGAATTAATTGATATATTCAATTCGTTTGTTATTTAATCCGATTTGTCGGCTTACATTGAAGAGACTGGAGTAATTGTCCATTCAAAACAAACCCTATTACATTCCATGGCAGGATTATTAAATCAGATTTTCAAAATTTAAAATGTATAAAAATTTCCTTTCGAAGCTATACAACACTATAAAGTAACGAAAGGGGAACGTTTAGGCTACAAAAGGGCCGTATCGAATGCTTTAATCTTGTTTACTGAACACTTTAAAGCTTAGCTTAAAAAATTCAGCCTATAATATCGGGGGCCTAGTCTTAGACTGTAAAAAGTGATTGATTAGTTAATACCATGATTAAAGGCGAATATATATATATATATATATTGTATGTAAAAATTCAAGTAGATATATATATATATAAAAGTCTTAGAATATATTGTAAAAAGAACGAACACTAATTGCCAGCTTGTACTGATTGTAACATAAAATTAATCCTACTACAATTAGTATCTAAAGTCTTACTTGAACGATTATTATTAATTATTTATTAATCATTTGATGATAACTAAGAACAAAAGACATATTATAAAAATCACAAAACAGCAATACAACTAGACTGATGCGTTGTAAATAATTTATACCAGAAAATATATATATATACTGTATATACTGTGTATATGATAATAACAAAGGCCAAAAGCTCTATTTTCAAATAGAAATCGTATGCCTAAGTTGTTCATTAGCAAAGTATACAGTATGCATAGAAATAAATAAGCAATAGTTTATTCTACTCTAGTATTCTAAAATGTCAGTTGAACATTTATAATCCTAGTATATTTAATCAATCAAACATTTCCTCCTTGTTAAGTTTAAAGGAAATAGACAATTTAAGTTGAATGAACAATTCAATCCAGTTTTATATTTTTATCACGCAAAAGACTTATAATATATTTGTCTTTGTTTCTTTATTAAAACTTTTTAAGTTATTCAGTCTGTAAAAGTAAAAGCGGAAGAATTAAAACTTACCTCCTTAGTCTATAAGCTTCCATTTGGGCATAGAATTATTCCGCTATCCGGAAAAGTTTTCTTTTTTCTCTCCCTCTCTCTCTTTCTTCCTTTCTTTTCTTCTTTTCTCTACTTATTTCCCTAAATTTCATATGGTTTATAGCATAATAATAGTAAAGCAATTTTGTTGAAAATTGAAAAAATATAAGCTTTCGTGCAGGAAAATTAGTAGGACGACAGGCTATCGCAACTGAGCAGCATCGATATTAGAATGAATACTTAATTGATTTACCATTTGGTATTCCTCTGTCAATTGTTTAGTCAATACCTGTTGCTAACAAAACCTAGCGATCGATGATCCTTTTTAGTAAATATCCCCTAATCTGATAATTGTTGATATATTTGTAAGTTTCTACTATATACCTTTATTATATAAGTCTTAAAGATTAAGAAATATTGTATTTCATTACTTAAAGAAAATATTTTATATTTATTATTATAATCTTGTATTTCACATATAAAATCCTATATATATTTCTTAATTAAAAGTCTCAACTACTATTCAATATTTGTTCAAGTACTACAATTGACTTTAGCCATTGGAAAATTTTGATAATCTGCGTGTTGAAGTTTCCACATTATTCTAAATGTCTTTCTCAATGTTTTCTAATTGAAAATTATTATGAATTATAATTTATTTAATTTATTCATTTTTTTTATAAAAACAAGAAATATAAGAATTATATGAATGAAAAAAAGAGAAAGTGTACCAGTTTTACACTTTCATATATTTATGTGCTATTTACAAAAAGATGTACTTGTTTATTTAATTACGAACTTTTTAAACTGTTGTTGTATATTCACTAGTTTTCAGTTCTATCAATTTACTTGTTCGAGTTTGCAGTTTAGTCATATATTCTCTTTCTTTTCGTGACATTTCTCTACGTTTACTTCCTGGCTAGATAATTTAAATTTCTTATTGTATTGAATTATAGAGCAGAAAAAATAATACAAAAGTAATTTACCTGTACAAATATCATAGTTATAAAAAAAATATTATAACCTAAATAACTTCCGGCAAAGAGAACCACAGCTATGATTTCTAAGCGACTCTCCCAATATTTTGGTACTTTAATATATGGTGTTAGAGCGTGCCAACCGCAAACGCTCGACAGTAAAATCATCGCTGCTAGCACATATTTATCCTAAAAACAAGAAAAAAATTCAAAATATTATAAACAATGTTAAAGAATAGAAATTGCTTCTTGAATATTTATTAAGAAAATAAGAAGGAAAAAACATACCAAATAAGTTAGATAGGATATTTTCGGTAAACTTTGATTAACGACAAATTTGAATGCTACTGATGTTAATACTAATGTAAAGCTTAATTGGAGTCTATTCTGTGGCAAGTCTCTTTGAACGGAAAAGGTGGTGAAAGATAGTGTGCAGATGATAAACTGTTTAAAAGGCAATAGGATTAGCAAAAGTAAAGGTAAGCAATTGAAACGTAATAATTATTTAAAAAGAAAAGACACCGTGACGGGTAGTTAGATGGATAGAACAAAGTAAAAGGAAAGTAACGAAAGATGGAAAGAAAAAAAACCTCAAGAATATTTTCAAGAAAAGAAAATCTCTTACTGTTATTAGAAATATATTCCAGAAAAAATAGGCTGGACGTCTTGCTGCTCTGCACTTTATAAATACTGCACTCCTCTTAACGGATTGTTCAGAAAATTCTGAGTGAACTTCTTTGTGTTCAGTTTCAATGTGCTACATGTTTATTACAGAATTGAACATATAAAAAGAATATAATATTAAGGGTTGATTAATTAATTAATTAATTATATAGGATGATAAAAAGTCTTGTTTAATAATTAGATATAATATATAAACTGAAAAGAGGTTTATAACTGTATTTAACAATAAACGTATTATCGTATGAATCGGAAATCTTTGAAGGAGAGTGTAGGTATAGAAAAATTAAAGACTAAATGGTACTTGATACTTGAATAGGCCTTTATGATTTGTTAATTTTTCAATACAAAAACAGATATAATATAGTACAATAGTAAGCTGATTTATTAACTATCATTAAAAAAGTATGAAGGTGTCTATTATTAAATAAAATCATGTTAATAGTATGTGTCCTCTTTTCATACCATATAGGTCTACTATTTTTATGAATTACCTTATACAATCTCCACTCCTGTTCATCAACAAAACTCTGGCCATTAACTGAATGAAAATCGTATTCGTCATCAACCAACTCAATTTCATCTACTTCCCTCTCGGACATAACATTAACAGTTAAATCCTGAACGTCAAAGGGAAAATGTTCTAATTCTAAATTCTCTAGAAACGTTCCTTTTACTCTCTTCTTTTCAATAACAGTTGCCCTCCCATCCCCATCGTATTTAACATTTCTATAAATAAATTCACGTGGGTCACCAATAGTATTTTCAATGAATAACTTGGGATTCCAAAACTTTCTCCAATCTATAGTTGAATTATTCTCTGTTGAAGACTTTTTATCTAAGGTGGGTTCTCTCCATCGAGATTTAATTAAAACATCTGCTTCGTATTGCTCTTTCAAAGTATCAATTTCCCCAATTTTTAGGAAGGTAACGCTCATATAGACTCTGATTCTCCTTCCCAAGGCGTTAATGTCGGTAGTGCCATTCTCTGAATCAAGAAGACAATCGAATAAATTTGATACAGTTTCTAATCTGGCCTGATCTGCAACTATATCACTCTGACGTCTTAAGCTGAAATTACGAACGGCAGACAGAACTGAACTCATACTGACATTCATCTTTTCACAAAATTATGAACAAACTATGTGTGCCAGGTGTTTAAGCAATAAATGGTGACAGGTTTCTCATGTTTTGAACATGCGTAGTTTTATATACCTTTAAATAATTGTCCCTTTTCATTGAATATCAAATCATTTCAATAACAGAGTCATACAACACTGTAAGAATGATAAGAGACATAACTGACAGAATTTTGATGTTGACGAATACACTAGAGCTCTCTAATTCTGAATTTTAGTATATTTTATATGTAATATATACTGAACGCGTACACATCACACACACACACAAACAGACATATCTATCTATATATATATATGTATACCTATATTTAGGCATGAGTATAATCAATAATATTTCTTTCTCCCTCCCATTGTTACCATCTGTAAGAGATGTCTATTGATTATTATACAATATCATCTTCTGGTTTTCACTACGATTAAAATGTATAGAATAAGAAATGACAAACAGAGTTATAAATAACACCAAAACTATGAAAAACCTTTAAAGATGTAAAACATTATACACAAGTTGTAGTTAGTTTATAAATGTTCAGAACTATTTGTATTGAATGAATATTTCTAGCCAAGCTTATACTTATAATCTATTTAAAATTATATACAGGAGTTTATTAAGTATATTATTATATGCTGTACATATATACAGTATTATTCAACTTTCCACCTAACTTTAACTTGATTACCTATTCCGATTACTTTTTAGGTAGCTTTTTCCAGATCAGTCTCATGTATTATTAGTATCATTTTTTTTTCTATTAGAGTCTTAACGACACATGTGTACAGTATATGATAAAATCATGATTTTTATATATGAATAGCACGGAAAAAGGAGAGATATAGCAGGATAACGGCAAAAGCTAAAGATTGTAATTTAGTTGATAATTTTCAATTACTAGCAATATATTGTAGAAATAATATCAAGCTATTTATAGTTAAAGGTATCTCATGTATTCAATTGTTCGAAAGTGTATCATTTCTTCTTTTTCTTTATTTCTCTAAATTATAATTCTTTATATGGTGGAATAAACTTTAAATAGTTTTATTGTTTTGCTTGAATAACTCGATAGAGCGCCCTAAAGCTCCATCTTTAGTGCATTTTAGGCATATTTTAAATGATATATATTTTAATAACTGTATCAAAATTTAATAAGTATCATAATCATTTGCATAATAATTCAATTTTAAATTTACAAATGTGTACATGAATATTTAAATGATATTTCAGCTGTTTCTATTTCTGTATCATGAATAAAGAAAATTTGCTTTAAAGTTCAATATTCATTTGACTTCCCTCAACGATTATTTTTCGTAGAACAATTGAACAAATATATACGAAACCAAATTGTCGTATGATGTTAATTATTAATTGAGAATATAGGAATAAGGAGGATTTATTAGTTCATTGTTTAAGTCAGTAATTAATGTACTCTGTATTTTATCATAAAAAATCTATATGTAGCATATATAGAACAATTTTTAATATATATATATATATAAATATATGTATATATAATCACCAAAAGTGCATTACACGTCGTAGCTAGAATAAACTGTCGTCAGCAAATGATGTTAAGAACTTATCGATGACTAGAACCCTAGTTGATATTCATTGAGTATTTAAGAATATGATATTGTATATAAACATACAGATATAATAGAGGTGATTAGATGGTGATAACATTTGGAGAATTAGCATATTTAACACCTCTGGTAATGATAATGTATAATTGGACTTATGAACAAAGATTTGTCCACATTCTTTTGACGATTCATATACCTATTTACGTGTAATTTTGCTGCAGTGAATAAGATTAATACTGTAGTTGTTTAACTGTCTTTTTTGCCAATTATTTAGGCTATCATCGTATCGTCTCTTAAAAGAAGATCTTTCTTATTTTTAAATACTAGTCCTTCGCTAACAGTATTACTCCTCGAGAACCCTTCATCTATAGGAGTTGTTGCTGTTACAGGGCTTATTGGAGGTGTTGGTGCAGCTTCGGCAGATGACCTAGATGGAAGCTTTGTATCTACTGGTGGATGTCCTGACTTTATTGCTTCTACCATACTAGAGTCGACTTCTCCAACTCTTTTCTTTCTGATTTGGTAAATTATTCAATGGTAATTGATATTTGTAAAGAATTCAAAAACAATTGAGAAAGTTATATAGATGTTTAGACGAGAAAGTTACAAACAATGAAATTTTTCTAGATTAATATAAAATATTTACTTTCTAAGCAGAGGTTTCCATTTGGAGTATGTAATCCATGCAATTATTCCCGCAATAATTAATAAAGCAGCTACAATGACCGGTGCAACTGAAAAAGGATCAAACAGATTGTGTCCTTTTGTTTGTTTGTTTTGTTTATAAGAGATTACAAACCTATCCATGGATGTTTGCATATAACTGATTCGCAATCGTCTGTTTTCTTCTTTGACGGTGCAAGGGTTGGGGGTTTTCTTTCACAATAGAAATTATCTTTTAAGAGAGAATTTTCATCGCATGTACATTTTTGTGTTGTATTACTACAGATTGCATTTTGGGTACCACATTCCCTATTCGATTGGCAACCTCTATTAACAATTTCAATTTTCGTACAGGAAGTACCAAAATCAGTTATACCACTTCCTTCGGGACAAACGCAAGTTTCGTTCAAACAAATAGAATCTTTAAATAGAGTTGTACATTCAGTAGTTGTTGAACATATTGCAGTGGGTAAGATTTTCTTATCGCAAGATTCATCATTTTTCGACGATTGATATTCAAATTTGCATTCACATTTTTCATTTTTACACTCTGAATTATTTACTGAGCATTCAAAATTTGTACAACTATCTCCAACCTTTATAAACTTCTTGCAAGCTGTATTACCGTTAGTTGGTATATAACCAGTTATACACTGACATTTGTTTCCATTACAGATAGACAATGGATCTTGATCAAAACAAATTTGATCATTTGAACATTCATATCCGTCAACGTTTTTCTTTTCGCATTTATTTCCATTAATAAATTCTCCATTTTTACAAACGCATTTATTTAAAATGCAAACTGAAAATTGATAAATAGATTGGCAAGATAAATCGGTTGTACACGATGGTATTTTTGTTGATATACACCCAGTTTCATCAGCATTCTGTTTATAACCGAGTTTACAATCGCAAAAACCATCAACACATCTGGAATTTGCTATTAAACTTGTACAAATAGAATTCGTCGTGCAAGAAGTAAGGCGAATAACAATCTTTTCACACTTTCCATTTTGCTGCCGATAAGTACTTCTGCAAGAACAAATACCAGCTCCACAATATGAATTAGCAATATTCTCACATTCTGAGCTATCACTGCAAAATGATCCGATTTTCTTAGGTATACAGTAAAGGTTATCAGTTGATGCTACAAAACTTGATTTACAAGCACATTTTGATCCTTGACAAACGCTATTTTCTAAAATTACACAATCGGTATCTTTAGAACAACTGTCCCCTGATAATACTTTCTTACATTCACGACCGCCATTAGAGGGACCATAGGGATCGACGCAAGCGCATATACCATCTTTACAAAAGCTATTTGATATTCTAGAGCTGCAAAACGTATTCGACGAACACATGGTCAACCCAATTTGTAATTCGAAGCATCTATTATTCGTTGGATAATACTTTTGTTCACAAACGCAAATGGAGCCTGAGCAAATTGAATGTTCAGTCAAAGTACTACAATCGCTGTTTGTGGTACAAGAGTCGCCAAGATTTCTCTTTTGACAATTGCTTGTGGTAATTTGTTTATATCCAACTGCACATTTGCATGTTCCAGATATACAATCTCCATTAAAAATGACAGATGAGCAGTCTGGATCGACACTACAAGATGCGCCAATTTCTCCTATAACGAATTGTTTTTATATCATTTTCTTTTAGAAAATGCTATGTCAAAGCTAAGAAAGGTACAAACTTTTAGTACAAACGCCCTCTCCAACCAAACCAGCATATCCCAACCGACAGACGCAAGTTGATGCTATCCCGCAAACAGCACCACTGATAGGTGTTGCACAATCATACAGAGTTTGACATGAATCTCCTAAAACCCTCTTTCCACATACAGTGTTTGACGATCGTGACCGATAACCTAATACACAGCCGCATTGTCTAAAAAAATGAAATAATTATGGCAAGATCAATATAAAGTAAGAATTATCAAATAATTAACACTTTACCCAACGAAGCAATCAGAATTCGCAATAGCGTGAGAACAGTCTGTTGATAATTGGCATGTGTCACCAATTATTCCTATAAAAATGGTAAAGTTTTCTTTTTTAGTATAAATTATGCAATCTTTTCTTATGGAATAGAGAATATATTGTGTATACTGTACACAATACGCTCTCTCTATATATTATATACAGTATATACTATAACGTATAAAAAGAAATAAATACAAACTTTTGATACACGATGCAAAATCATTACTTGGATAATATCCTGAATTGCATAAGCATTTACTTCTTGTGCAGTTACTATTTGAAAACGCTTCACTGCAATCAACGTTGACATTACATTGATCGCCGTATCTTCCTGTTTGATGTGAAATATAATATATATTTTATTATAGTTTTGGCATATTTACTTCTAATGCATGAATTTCCATTTAATCCAACATAAAAACCGGTTCTACAACTGCAAACTAAACTAGTACAAGTTGCATCTTGAACTGCTGCTGAACAATCCAAGTCTACCGAACAGGAATCTCCTAAAGTTCCTTTCATTAGAGTGTAACGTATAAATTAGTAATCAATTAAAAAATTCACTATATATAGGATAAGACTCACTTAATTGACACTCTGTCTTTAAGGCATTTACTTTTCTTCCAGCGTCACATTGACAAAGTTTAGGAGATCCAGTACAAACAGAATGTGATACGAAATCTGAGCAGTCACATCCCGCACAGTTATTGGAAATATCGCAGTTGGAACCAATAATCTTCATTTCATCAGAAAAATCCTGACAGTCTTTAACACCATCTGCTACAAAGTCTATTGATATACATGTTAAGTCATTGCATTGAAACTTTGCTGGATTCGCTATTGAACAGTTATAGTTTACTTCATCACTGTTATCCGAACAATCTCGAACTCCATTATTAACTTTTAACCGACTAACACATTCACCAAGATTAGCACATGAAAATTCAGTATTAGAATTGCAGGAACCATTTGCCAAATCTATGTTTTATTTTTAATTATGTAAAAAAAAAATGACTTAAACCTTCACCTTTAGTTCAAACGAAAAGAACGAAAAGATTATAAAGCGTAAAAATTGTCTTAAAAACTTGTAATAAAAGATCTCTTTTTTGTTTTTTTAAAAAGAAAATATAATTAAAATTTATATTTAAAAAAAAAATGTTTTTACTTGATTAGCGTTTTGAAAAGAATTTTCTTACTCTTTTAATAATTTCTCATAAAAAATATATAAAATTATTACAATATTATTTACAAACCGAATGAAATAAAGCCGAAAATTGAAAAGAAAAGTAACCAATTCATTCTCTTATTGCAAATTGGCAAGATCTCTAGCTATCCATTATGCAAAACAGCATAGCAATGACTATAGGAACAGGCCCTTCAATGGTTGTCAATAAACATCTAATCATTAAAAATAGGCTCAATTAACAATTTCAAGCATTGTTTTACTGTCCTTTTGAAAATGAACACTATCAATTATTAAGGTTGTCTCCAGTAGATCCATTTTTTTATACGATTTCCTATTGAATTTAATGAAAATATTCAATATTGAATACAAATAGATAGTAATCATGTTTTGTTCCTAGATAACCTAATTTAAATAAAATGGGTTATTAATAGGTATGTAAAACATTTTTTTTATTACCGGTGTATATGTACAGATATATAAAGTGTGTAGGAATATACGGTATATATATATATATATATATATATATATATTATTTATACAGTATATCTGATTGATATTTTAATTCCTTAACTCTTTTGAGATTGCTTATTTTTCCTTTTTCCTCTTTAATTTAATCAAATAATTTGATAATCAAATAAAATTAGCTCTATTTGGTTTTGATTTAATTACTTATAATTAAATTAATCGACCAACTATTATTTAATAAGTCAATCAACAATACCAATCTTATCTTTAAAAATATATCTAGGAAGAAAGAGCTTTTTTGCTATCATTCAAAAAATATAAAATACCTAGAGGCTGATTAATTTTTAAGGCTGATAATAGAAAGTATAATTTGTTCAAGTGCAAAGTGAAGCTAAAAGTGAACTCGATTATTACTTTCCTTTTGTGAACACTTCACTTTGTTACTTTTTTTTTCAAGATTATCGATTTTCTTCCAGACCATTAATGAATGAATACGATGTTAATATTCCTAATTATTACTTATACTATAATAGTTGGCCTTTAGATAAGCTAAAGATAAGAAGACAAAATTACTTTTTGTAAAAAGCGCAAAGCTTTTTTGATTCTCATTGTCTCAACTTGCTAACTTCAAAAATGAATTAATTATTATAACTGGAGCATAGTCATGTACTTTAGAAGAATATATTTTTTGATGGTAACTCTTACTCTATCATCTTTTTTTCTTTGTTACGTTCAGCTATACTCCAAAAATTCCAAAACCCGTATTCTAGACGACAATGTAATCTTTAGAAGAAGAAATTTTGAAGTAAGGGATTGTTTTACCTCAAAGAAAAGAAAAAGTGTCTTATACACGTGTGGAAGAAATCATCATCTTGTTCCTCACCTGAATTCAATTAATTTCAGGAAGCATATTGATCCTTTTTTAACACTTTATTACAAAAGACATGGCTTATTCGTAAGGCTTTACCTAATGCAAGAATTACTATCATTTCTCCAAAAGCACCAAAAAGATATGTTGATAACGCGACACAAACAAAATATTACACAGGAGGTAACTTCTATGACTTTAGTAAAATCGATTGGCTAAAAGAGAAAGTAGATTTTGATAAAACTATGGTATATTTCGATGATCACCAATCAGTTTATAAAAGAATAATTCAAGCGTCTAATTTTGGATTTAAACATATAATTTTTGATGATAACTATCTTCCTGGTTCAACTAAAGGATCGAATAATAACTTATCTTTGAGACAGGCCTGTGATTTGGGTGGATGTTTGATAAATATTTCTTTCCATTTTCATACTAAATACTATGTGGATAATTTTGGTAAATATAGAAAGGCGTTTCCCTTAAATTCGTCCTTCAGACGCGAAGTTGGTAAAACACTAGATAAATTAATAAAAGTTATATATGAACCGCCCGACTTGTGTGATGTTTTTGAATATCCTACGACTCGTCAAGAGCAAAATACACATAGATATTTCAGAGATCTTGTTAACGCATTGCTTAGTCACAAGCAATGTAAGGCCATACAGAGAAATTTGGATTTGTTATCAAGAGGATTTTCAAAATATGCAAATACCGTCTACGTTCGATTATAGAAGCATTAAGTTGACTTTTACATTGAAAAGTTGTGCCTTTAAATTAATTTAAAAATCCTAAATATTGTGAATTTCATGTAAAAACTATATCATTGAATAAGTATTGCCTGTCAGTAAAGTGAATATAAAGATTAGCTTAGGGTGATGCCCTCTGTAGTTTTACATTGAAAGTAAAAGTTCTGTTGTAATTGATTTTTTGTGAGAAAAATTAAAAGGATAATCAATTCAATTGTCTGAAAGAAATTAAAAGAACAATATTGCTGTTTATGGTATTTTATCATGAAAAATGATAAGACCTTGTCTATGAATTCAGGAATTGATCAACCTGTTGCCTTAATTTTTCTATAGTTTCCTCATCAACACTGTTTCTGTCCTGTTCGGCGCTATCGACATTCCCAGTTATAACATTTTCGATATTTTTGTCAACCATCGCGTCTAATTTATTAATCATCTCCATTCTTTCCGAGTCATCATCAGTAGCATGATCATTTTTCGGACTAGATTCCATATTTGGCTTTTCAGGCTTTATCTTTGTAGCCTTTTTCTTCGTGGGTTTTTTTGGTTCATCTTGATTGCTGATTGGTAAATCTAAAATATCGTCTAAATCATCAATATCGTCTACAATTAGACTGTTTTCTTCTTTTTCTTCCTCCCTTTCTTCGTTCGACTTTTCAATAGGAGAATCAATTTTCCTTTCATCTCCTTTCTTCGAGCTAGGTTGATCGTCATCGACATGGACTGTATCTATAGAATCTTCTTGATCTCTCTCTGATTTCTTCTCTGTTTTAGAATTTTCAATGGATTTATCAGTTTTA